CCGCAAATAATAAATAGGCCATTACCGCGCAGAAACATTTGCCAAAAACCGTGAGTGAAAGCTTGGATATAAATGAAAATGCTAATAATGCAGTAATTTGATTGTAGATATAAAATTAAACGATATTTCAAGTGGAAAAACTCTCTAAAACTTGGTAAACTATTTTTAAAAACCGAAATTTTTGTCGAAAATCGGCCATTTTGGTATCGATTTTATCGAAATCGATTTCTTTGGTACTCTTAACAAACATTTGTAAAGTTTTTACGTTTTTACGTTTTTAATTTCTTTAGAAATTGGATCCTAGAAAATGATTGCATCGAAAGCTTCAAAAAAATTTGGATTTTGAGGAAAATGAACTTTGAATTTTAGAGAGCATTTGAAGTTTTTGTAGTATTTCTAATATTAGCGAAAAAATATAGATCAGACGTTTTCTGCTGAGAAAAAAGAAGGCGCGCTTCAAAAACTGCAAAGAAAACGCGGAAAAAGGCCATTATGCCTACGCAACCAGAGTGGAAAATAACCGGCGAAGCGCCTTTTTGCCGGAACAACGGAAAGTGGATGAGAATGAAGCCGAGCAGGGCGCGCGTGAAGCTTTGAAGGGAGAGGGCCTGATCGGGTTGCATACAGACAATGTTTGTGTAGGGAAATACAGGCGAGAGAGATAGAGAGAGAGAGAGAGGGAGAGAGAGAGAGAGAGAGAGAGAGACTGTGCCACGGCTTGCGCACCCCTTTGGTCGGCCTATATTTATTCAGCACGACCACGGCAACCGGCAAAAACAATCTGAACGATCGTATATTCGGGCGCGCAACTTCAAATCGGGAATACAAAAAAGTGGCTAAAATAATTTTGGAAATCCGGATCCTGATACTTGTACGTCGTACTGTTGCATTATCGGGGGGGAAGGGGAGGGTGCGGATTTATCCCTATAAGTCGAATAGTGCCACGTAATAGTAATTTTTTAATGGTGTTTTTAGTCGAATTTTTAGTAGGTATTTTAATTTTTTTTAGTAAAATTTAGCGTATTTCAAGTATATTCAGTCATATTACATAAGTTATATTTATATTATAAAAATTGGATACAAAAGACTTTATACTCATGCTCGTCGTTCTAAATTACTATAAATAAGTATGAAATTTAGCTTTAGATTTATTATTTTAACTAGAATGAATTTAGATGAATTGGATTTTCGGGTTATTATTTGATTTTAGCCAGTTTATAACCAATGAAAAATAAAAATGCGTCGAAGAAGAGTGACAAAGCCATCCAATCCGAAAAGGAACGTACGCATGAATGGTGGTAACACCCGGCCGATCCCATCGCCCACCTGGGTAAAATGTGGAGAAAAATGGGTGGTCGGGGGGTTTGGGGGAAAACGGAGAGGAGCAGCGGGGCTCCTCCTCTCAAGGTCAGTCTCCTAGCCACCCACCATTTGAATGGAGACTTCTAGAGATTTATAACTGCCGTGTGGTAGATGAAGGCCTCTACGGCCGAGTATTGGCCACTACTACCGACTAATCAAAGTAATGCGCTTTCGCTCTTCGGGAAATAAAGTGGATGTCGAGGGGTGGCGACGGGGGGCACAAATTGCCCTCCAAGTCCTTCCGGCGCTCCCCTCCACTCCATCCGGCAAATCTATTCCCAACCGGGTTGCAAATGGACATGGACGTTGCCGGGCCAAAGGTTGCACCGATAATTTTGGTGCTTTTGCATTATCGGGGGAGGGGGTAACTTTGTTCCGTAGAATCTAATTTTCTAATAAAATAAATAGCGTAAGTGTTTCTAAATTGTTTTGTACTACTCCTAAACATAAAAACCTTACAAGTTTTGTTTGAAAAAATAATCCAATATCGATTTTTCGACCAAAAACCCGGACGGAAACTTCAATAACTTTTGAGTTTTTAGATAGTTTTTCCACTTTAAGATCGTTAAATTTTACGAAAAAACACTAACACTTCTTTTTTTTCTGATCAGAAAAAAGGAATTTTTGAAATTAAGGAAAAATTACCCTCCCCCCCTCCCCCGATAATGCGAAACCACCCGAAGGTTCGAATTCGGCCGATTCAAAAACGGAAAAAAAAACAGTATTCAGGGACATAAAGATAGAAAAGAAGGAAAACGCCACTAAAAAAGCGTCCGAGTGTACAGGGCAGTGCCTGGTACTCGATTTCTCAAGGCGATGGGACAGCATAAGCCGATGAGGTTTTCTTACAATCGTAGCATTATCCAAATTTTTTACACACTGCTACTGCTCTCTTTAAAGGGATGCCCAACCTCAGGGCTCAAAAAGCAAAAACCATGCCGCGGGCGGGGTTCGAACCCGGGACCCCCCGTTTTGTAGGCCTAGATGCTATCCATTAGGCTATAGTGGCAAGCCATTGGATGGGATGGGAACGCCACAGGAGGGAAAGGGGTCCGAATTCTGTGCGGCTTTGGGGCCCATTGCCTCACAAAATTCGCGCGTCATTTGTACTGCCCGGAATACATAACTATATATTTGCCGGCGAAACATTGGGTATCCCTTTAATCCCGCGGCAGTATACTACAAATTGGTACCAAAAACCCCCGAACCAACCCGGGCGCGTGTACCCCATCCGTGCCCCAATTCAAATCCCCACGGGGGGCATGGATATGCAGAAACGGGCACAAAGGATGTCCTTCAAAGCGCATCGAAGGTTCAACTCCTTCCTAGGTCACATATACTAACTAACAACGATGGAAACAGCGTGAAAATTAAGTTGTGGACTAAATGGCAAATTTGCGGGTGTTAATTCACGCAAAAATTACGCATTATTACACAATTCAAAACTACTAGACTAGAAAAGGCTACAAAAAAGCTATGAAAAAATCTGTTATTGACAGCCTTTCCAATCTAAAATTGTAAACCTAATGTATACAGGAGTCAAATCCTTGTAATCTAAGTAGAGGACGCGTTTCTAAACGATTTTTTACTATTCCCAACCGTAAAAAATTACAAATTTTTATTAAAAACACTGAAATACTGATTTTTCGACCAGAAATGGCCCATTGTGGCCAAAACGGAGCATTTAAAACGTTTTCAGATGATTTTTCGTCTTGAAATATAGCTAAATTTTACTAAAACAATTACCAATATATGGTTACTTAAAAGTTATACATTTCTGGACCAATACACCCCCCCCCCCTCCCCGATAATGCAAAAGAACCGGTTGTTAGACATGCACAGTTTATTGCTTTTTCTCATGCTTCGTTATTGCTCGTCCTCTTGTAGTTGGTTTCGCGCTCAAATAGCGAAGAAAATTTTTTTTTTAGTGTCCAACAAATCGAAAAAATAATTTACATACGCGAAGCGCACCGATTTCAAGCCGGCTTTCCATTTTTTTGCATGCCACTGTGCCTTTAAACGCGATATTCCGAGTGCGTGTGCGGAAATTACGGAAAACGGGGCTATGGCAGAACGAATTCGACCAGAATGTGGATGAAGCCATAAGGGAAGAGCATTGATGGGTGGATGGAAAGGGCAAAATGTGAGAAGGGATTGCCGTTGGTGGTCGATGGGTTGATGGGTGCAGGATTGGGGGGTTGTCCTCCTGTCTCTCTCTGTCCCCATCCATTCATAGCACGGACGGGGTTTTGCCGGAGACAGCTGCACCATTTCCTCTCTCTCTCTCTCTCTCTCTCTCTCTCTCTCTCTCTCTCTCTCTCTCTCTCTCTCTCTCTCTCTCTCCACCCTCACCGGGTCGTCGGGTGCCCCCAATTAGCATTGGCATGGGAAAATTAGTGGCGACATGTTGCCCCTGTCCCATTGATTGAGAAGAATAATGTGGATGTGTGCCTCGCCTTGCATCTGAAGGTAGAAGGACATAGAAACGACACAAGAAAGAGCGGAAAACAAACCCACAATGTATAATTATCAAAATTTCATAAATAGTTCCGGTGAAATCTGGAGACGTACCAATACAAATGACACACGAATGATGTGCGCACGGGCCCACTCGCCGCAAAAGCAATGTAGGATTTTCTCTCCGTCTCTGTCGCTATCACTCTCTCGCATTGTCTTTCTCCCTCTCGCTCTGTCTCTCTCGCTCTCTCTCTTCGCGTGCTCTCTGGCTCTCTCAGTCATAGATCGATTTGCATTGCATCGCATTTTTGATAACAATTTAAATGCAAATAATCTCAATTTTCGTCGTTTCGTTTTACTTCCGGGTAAGAAATCCGCCATTCCTATTAAATGGCTCCAACGTCCAAAAGGGGCAAGGTCAAGCGCGATCGGATGAACACCATGAAGCTAATCAGCGGCCAAAAGGTACTGTTATACAGTACCGTTCTTTTGTACTGCTTTTCCTCTTCCTCCTAGCTCTTCCATTCCAGGTACACGACTCCTTAGTGGTTGCCTAATTACAGGGTGTCCCAAAAAAACCCCACCGTGCCGTAAAAGTTCCCGGCGTAGTTTTTTTCACGCTACATTCGAATTTTACAGTTTTAGGCAGCAATTCAGCGCAAGAAATCAAGTTTCGGCTATAAACGACAAAACTACCACTAAAAAAATGAATCGCGAAACGTTCTACGGGGATTTTGATGGCATTTGTTGTCTGAAAGTTGAACCTGGGTAGAATTTACCTTACCCGTCGCCCGGAAGTTCCCGAAAATGTTCGAGATTTCCGCAATTTTGCGGGGATTTTGCCTACGCAATTCGACAGGGTGTCTGAAACCAACGACCCCCCTCTAGCGGTCCGCAGATGCGTCCGATTTTTACGATTTAGGTATGTATCGAAAGATCTCGAAGAGGCGAGAAAACAATCGGGTTTCGTTTTCTAAAATTTTGATCTCATACCATCGATATTTAAAAGGCTAATTCCGTACGGCTCTAAAAATGAAATACAAATCATTTTTATAGCAGTTGAAATACTTTTTCGATATAAAAATTTTATAAAGCGGTAAGAGTCTAGAAACCCCCCCAGCCGGCACCAACTTTTGTATCTCGGCCCCCTTTTGTGCTAACGAGCTCTAAAGTATACCAAAATGTGCGCCGTAGGCTAATTAGTAAGACTACATTGCAGTTCCGTCGAAAAAAGTAGCGAAAAATAAAAATAAGGAAGGTTTTCCTAGACTTGAGCCTATAAAGCTTTTCGAAAATTCTTACCTATGGTTTTTGGCGCGCCTGCTACACATTTTCGACAGCTACCAACATTTTCCATTTCAGGCAATTTCGCTCGGCCCAACTTGACCGCTCAGTTTCGCCGGTTCTGTGCCGTATTGTTGCCCGACCCGGGCGCCACGGTCAGTGATTCGACCGAGGAACCAAGCTGTTTTAGGTGAACATCGGCGATCTGCGGCGTACGGTGGCGGCGTACCTTGGGTGGAGCGGCCGTGGACCGACCTCGGTCGCCCAAGTCTGCGATCCGGTTTACGGCGAGGTCGTCCACGTGAGTGGAGCGCTCTACGTCCCGGGCTGTTACACGTAGGTTTTTGAAAAATTCTTTGTCTTTTTGTAAGGGGGTCAGTAAGCAACGTCGGATTTTCCAAACTGGCCAAAATTAAATTTTTATATAATTCAACTTGTTATATATACAAGGAAAGCTACGATTATACGGGGTGTCCCAAAACAGGCCCCCCTTACAATTAGACAAGTGGCCGCATTGCATCCATGCGATCTCGAAATAGACTATAGACATATAGTCTATCGGATCATAAAGAACAAGGATCTTGCTTGATTTCCAGGCCGCACCGCCTTCACGAGCACATTGTGAAGAAGACGCCCGATATGGAAGAACAACTACAAGCGCTATTGGTGAAGCTGGACTTCGATGAGAAGCCCACTGTCCTGCATTCGCCAAAGGTATTCCCGGACCGTTTGCAATTAACTAACGAGGGGCATAGCCCCCGAATCGCTTGGCAAGCGATGAGAGAGAGAGAGACGGAGAGAGTGAGAGAAAGCGTATGATATCATTCTTTGTCTTCGGATACTGAGGAGTTTTTAGCTCATCGAAAGTGCCAAGGGTCCGACCGCCTTGGCGGCGTCGTGCGTCACCCGGAACGACGAGGGCGCGCTGAAAAGAGGAGCTGAGGAAAGGTACGGAAGAAGAGCCGGAAGTCGAGATTGAGGAGAGATAGCGAGAGAGAAAGAGAGAGAGAGAGAGTGAGTGAGTGGGAGAGAGGGAGAGAGAGGGAGAGAGTGAGACAGAGAGCTAGAAAGAGACAGAGAGAGACAGAGAGGGAAAGAGAGTGAGACAGAGAGAGTGAGACAGAGAGAGACAGACAGTGAGAGATAGATAGAGAGAGACAGAGGGACAGAGAGAGAGAGAGAGAGAGAGAGAGAGAGAGACCGAGAGATAGAGAGAGAAAGGTCCAGTAATGAGAGACCCCATGGCTAGACCAGTTTTTGACGTGTGTCTTCTTGGTACAAAATTAAAATCGGAAAATTTTGGGGCGTCGACGCCCCCGTCGGTACTTTTCCCAAAAACCATATGGTTAGGCGAATCATCGATGCATCACGCCGCAGGGTCCAGAAAAAGGCTAAAGCACAGCACCTAAAACTCTACTTTTGGAAAAATCGCTACGAAATTACACCTTTTGAAGCGAAATATTCGAAAAATTGTCGCAAATAAAGTGAAAACAGACAAATTTTGGAAAAAATATCATCCATCCGCTATAAGCAGAGCCGAAGGCTGAAAAAGTTCCCGGGGATACATTATACGCGTACTTTATAACCTATAACATAACTTTATAACTATAAACTTTATAAACCTTATAAACTTCGGTCGATTTTGCGCCTTCGGAAAGCACCTTCCGTAATTACAGACCAATATGATGCGCAAGGACGCGACGGACGCCCGGGCTCGCGTGGGCAAGAAGAATTTTCATCTTCCCCTGCCGGTGGGGTTTCTCTATCTTCAAAAACTGACGACGATAATACTCTAAACCCTCGTGTATAGTTCCGGGTGAAAATTTTCATATGTACGGAGTGTCCGTAATTCCGTATGACCGTCATTAGGTGTGTTTCGTTTTTTCGGTTTCTTGCAAATAATGCCGCTCACGAATGGTATTTTTGCAATTTTGATGAATATTTGTTCGTATTTCGACTATTTCCAACAATTTGAGTGGTTTAATGAAAGAAATTGCTACATGAGGCCATGAGAACCGGCTCTTTTGGCTTACATAGCTTTTGCGCCGAATTGTACTCTACGCACATGATTTGGTGTTAGTTGTATCGGTACGGAACCAAATTGTACCGGAACTATTCAAGAGGTTTTAGGGTAATGGGAAAAGATTGGGAGTCATGGGGGTGCTGGTGTTGTCTAGGGTTGTTGTTTTCGTGTTGTTTTATTCAGCCGCATTTTTAGTGCGCGATCTGCGGCTCCTTCGACCTGCAAGCCCGCACCCACGGAACCAAATGGGAGTGTTGCTCCTGTCGTAATCTGCTCGAGTAGGTCTATTTCACTTTCCTATCCTATAACCGAAAAAGGTTTTTCCCCTTTGGTGTATTGGTTTTTCCCGCTTTGGTCTACCGCGCTGATGATCGGGGTTCGGATCCGTGGCGATCTCACTTTTTGCTTTTTGGTAGTTCAGCCAACACAACCATTGTTTAATGCGCTATTGGATGGCTTTGCAAAGGACCAATAAATCAACGAAAATATCGAAAAACGGAATTTTTATGTTCTGTCTGTTTTCAGCGAACCCAGCAAGTACCACCAGCGGACCTGCGCGAACACCAGCACCTGCATGCGCTTCCGCAAGGAACGGTTCGGAACCTGAAAGTTTCTCAGATTTTTCGGGTTTTCAGTGACGAGCTGATCGAAAAGGGACGCGATCCGAATGATGCTATCTGCGTAGATGGTATGTTGGCGAACGGCCATGCGTTTCTTAGATCTTCGTATCTGCGTAAAGCATCCCACTGAAAACTGTAAAACACACAAATTCGTAAACCTACACTCCGAACTCTATTGATCCTAGGATCGTGCGCCGCCTGCCGTCTCCTTCGTGCGCGCGACGTCGGGCAGCTTCGCGTCTCGAAGAAGCCGATCAACCCTATGATGGACCGGTAAGACGCGAATCGGCGCCTTTCCGTCTATTTTCCTAAAAAATTTTAGCTCTCGGTTATTTTGCATAGTAGAGGTTCTTCTCCACGTCTTTAGCAATTTCGAGGGGAATAAACATTTTTCATATGGTCCTCATATATTTTCATCGTTTATTAAAAAAAAAAAAACTATCGGTTTTCGACCAGCCAGGCCCGCTGACCATGACAGAAAGACAGAACGGCATTTCGGCGCCACGCGAAAGAGCGGAGAGGTCAGACTGAGCAGTGTCTGGCCTCTCCGCTCCTTCCAACTACTTTCGCGTGGCGCCGAAATGTCGTGCGACCTTCTGTCAGCCCCCCCCCCCCCAGGTCCGATTTCGATTCAATGCCTACAAAAAATCTTTTCCAAGTTTTTAAAAAAGATTTTACCGCTGTACATATAGTTACATTTACTAAATCACAATTAAAATAATTATTAAAAAGCCCTTTAATCCTATGGGAACCCCTAGCTAATAACACCCATGCACTGCCTTACCATTGCTTTCAAAATATCCGTTCTTGCAGCATGGCCATGGCCTGGTTCGAGCTGCTGGGCGGGGTGCCGTTCCAGCGCGGCGGGCGCCGACCCACTCTAGTGGACCCGCGTGCCTGGGTGTCTACTTCGCCATCAAGTTCAGGAGCCAGGGCCGCTGGGCCGACCAGCCGCCGATGGGAAGCGAGCATCCCGTCGAGGCGGTGGGGTTTCTGTAGAAATGCAGCTGATTCCATCCCTTAGATCTTCATCCAGCCAAACACACGGTGGCTGGCGATCGCCTACGACCACTTGCCCGCCCTCTACAAGAATGTCAGTTGATATTAAAACGAAAATAGGTGTTCTGTCCCATTGCGGGTTAGAGATGCCTAGTAGCGTATTAGCAAGCATCTTAAACATGTTTTAACAAAATTTGAACTATAATTCTAATGCAAAAATTTAAAAACAAAAATTTATATTTTTTTGTATTCGTTCTTTCGCATTATCGGGGGAGAATTGGTTTTCTTAGGAGCTACTTTTTCAAATATAAGTAGTTTAAGCGTTTCTAAATGGTTTGTTACTCTTCCTAAAAGTGCAAACTTTACAAAATTTCATTACATGTCAAAAATCGAGATTTTTGGCATTTAATTTCTTGAGCAAATTTTTACTATTTGAAATTTTTTTGAAAGCTTTTCGACAGTTTTTCTAAGTGAAGGATAGTTTTTAGTTTTTTACTAAAGATACTATTAGAAAAATTACTATTAACTCACCAGAGATTTCTAGACTTTACAAAACAATTCGATCCCCTGACAAGGGGAAAGAACCTGTGAATTCGTTGCACGCAAATATTCGTAGTTTTTACGCTTCGGTATATTCAAAATACTTAGAAAAATGAAACCCTAACTAGTGCGGAAAAAAATGGTTCCTCCAGTAATGCAAAAGCACCAAAGTTTTTTAGGAAATCATTCCAATCGCCGCTGCTGGAGACGAGCAATACCATGCAGACGAAATGATCAACTTCTACAACGAGTTCAAGGGCAGGCTGACGAAAATCTTTGGCGGGCCGCAAACGTTTAGCCTGCTCGACCGGCGTGACTTCACTGATTGGAACGAAGAGGTAAGATCCGAATCAAGTGGTGTCACTGGACGATTGTAGTTCGACTGGCTGAAGTACCTCGAGGAGATGAAGATGCCGATCAATGCAGGGACGCAGTTTGTCGCCAACAAGAGCGCCATGCAAGATGTAGGAAATTCCCTGAATTTGATAAATGCAAACGTTGTGTAGTTCTGCACGATGCTTCGCGACCCGAAAATGTGCTGGTGCGCCAAGGAAATGATGGTGCTGAATGAGCACGACGGACTCAAAAATGGAGGACCGGTACGGCAACTTATCTCTCTCTCTCTCTCTCTCCCGCTCTCTCTATCGCTCTCTGCCTCTCTCTCAACGTACGCACTGCAGCACTTTCAGAAGTGAGCACCATCCCCGTCGACGAGAGCCGCACATTCGACTCGACTGGAGAATTAAATTTGCTAATTAATTTTCGTTATTTTCCCTCATTACCGTGTTTTGGTCAAATCGCTGTGCAGTGCTGTGTTTCATGATAATAAATCGAAGGTTTTATTGAGCGACCAGAAAAAGCGGCTAATGCAAACTAGCAACCCTGAACTAAAGGTGGAAACGGGAATACAACCCCTCGGCGAATTGCCAGCCCAACGCGCCGGACAGATGCTCGAGGGGGAGGGCCAATACAAGGAGCGCCATCACTAGAAACTTGCACTTATCTTGTTGGCACAAGGTTGGCAAAAAAGAATGTGGTTGCACTGAAGGTGGTTAAAGAGTTTTGAACATTTTTGTAAAAGTAAAAACTTTGAAGCGATAAAGTATCCTACCTTATATAATTTGGTCGCGTATCTTTGTGTGTGTGTGTGTGTGCGGAGGTCAGTTTCGAGGCCAGATTTGAAGCCCTTCCCGTGTCCAAAATGCCCTAAGTCTTCGTCTCCCTGGGGAATCGACCCTCCACTTTTCGAAGGTGTTTTCTGAAGTTCCGAAGTCTTCTTCCGAAGGACCCGAGCTATCGGAAAGGCACAATTCCAGCGCTCAAGGCCCGCGAAGCGGGTTTTGGGCGCTGGTCTTTTGATAATTTTGACATGCAGCGTATAAAAACGAAGCTCTCGGAGTGCGATATCAAACCAGTGGTAAAGAATATCGATCGGTTTAACTAGCCGTCAATAGGAGCGTTCGGAAAATCCGTATAATTTGAAGAAATAATTTCAGATAGCATTTTCTTGCCATCCGACTAGGCATGCATGCCACTTAAGCTGCTTCGAAACCGTCTTTCCGGACCAAAAAAGTTCCCTCAATTCCTGGTTGCCTGTGGTCCTCTGGTGATATTTGGGATGAAAAATAACTTTTATGAAATTTTTGTATATTTCGACTCAAAAAATTTGCCTGAGTCCGAGACACTTCCCCTGGTTCGCGTCCGGTCCGGGATCGGACATGTGAGACACGGTTAAGATGCGTGGCACAAATGCTTTTGGCCGTTTATATTTGTCTCACGGCCATTTTGGGCCCCGCTCATATGTGTCTCGCTTATAGGGGTCAAAAACGCGTGGCGGAGCATACACTTTCGCTTTGGCGGGAGTCCTCCCCTGGTTGTCTCCTAAAACGCGTCCCCCCCAGCCGTACCCACCTTCTCGAAGCTTTTTGATGTGCATGTTGCTGGGGAATGGCTCACGTGAAATCGCCATTTTCCAATGAATCACGATCTTTTATCGATTCAGGGCGTAATATTTTTGCCGGCCGTTCCGCACCATTCCATAAAACGGCCTCCCATTTCAGAGGCATTCGTCTAAGAGCGAATGCAGAGGAATGATGCGACACAACCCAGCTCTTCGACCAGCCATCAGAATGGAAGCGTGTCGGAGCGCGGGGCAAGCGGAAGAAATAAATCTTCTAAGGTGCAATTGACAAGTAAGCAATTTTTTTATTGATGTTTACCTACCTAAAATCGGGAGAACAGCTAAAATATTTATTGATTCATTTCAGTCGTCTCCGCCAAACTCAGCAAACCTTCCGACTATTTCGTCGAGGCATCCGTCGAAGGACAACCCGGCAAAAAGGCTACTGGCACCCAAAAAAAGACGAGCACCCCCGAATGGAACGAGAATTTGTCGCTGACCGTCACCGAACAATCGGAGATTTCATTACGCGTCCGAAGCAAGGGCAAACTTTTCGATGATCCCCTGATCGCCCAGGCGAAGATGAAGGTCTCCTCATTTTCGCGCAACGAAAATGGTCAATGTAAGCGGATTTCGATCGAATGTTAACCGCTCTTTTAGTCAACGTCTCGCCCACCACAGTACAACTAATTTGCGAAAAGGACAATACGACTGCTGACAGCCTCGTTGTGATTATGAAAGGAGCTCTGGAGAAACGTCGATCAGATGGTAAGTACCGTGATATTGAACTAATAAATATATTTAGTACGAAGAGAAGCCCGAGCAAGAACACATCCGGATTCGGCGCCACCTCTGTCCATTCGGACCGCTTCCGGAAAGACAAGAGACACAATTATCCCCTCCGGCGTGGCTGCGGCAGCACAAACGGCAGCTGCCAACGAAGAGCCACTACCGGATGGCTGGGAAATGCGATTTGACCAGTATGGCCGGAAATATTATGTGGATCACACTACAAAGGTGAGGTATTATCGATTGACGTTCAAAATCAATTTTAGAGCACAACATGGGAACGCCCGTCCTCGACGCCGTTGCCTTCCGGCTGGGAGATGAGGCGAGACCCGCGGGGACGAGTTTATTATGTCGATCACAACACTCGCACGACTACCTGGCAGCGACCAACGGCCGATATGCTCGTCGCCCACGAACAATGGCAATCTGGCCGTGATCAGGCGATGCACCAATGGGAGCAGCGGTACTTGTTGCAGGTGAGCGGCGGAAAAATGTTTTTGGGTGATGATGGGTTGTTAGCAGGGGGGGGGGAGCTAGCTGCCTTTATTCAGCCTGGCTTCGATTCCAATATGCATTGTTTTCAACGTTTATCAGTCTATCCTATTCGGATTCGTAAAGGTCATAAAAATATTTTTAAGAATTAACAAGTTTGACGTTACAACTTTTTACAACTTTTTGCTATCTAACAAGGCGTAATCTGCCAGTAAAACACAAAATATGTCATTATTTTCTGCCTACTGGGCATAGGAAAAATTTGGTTTCCCCACTAACGAACCAGAGCCATTCTTTTGCACTTCCGGTTTTTCTCGAAAATAAGCTTGTTTTTAGACGAGCACAGCCACAACTGATGATCCACTAGGCCCATTGCCGGATGGATGGGAAAAACGAGCGGATCCGACAACCGGCCGTACCTACTACGTGAACCACGTCAATCGCACGACCCAATGGGAAGACCCGAGAACACAAGGGTTTGTCGAAAATTCGGTATTTTTATTGCATAATTTATTTTAGCGGAAACTCCGACCAGCCGTTGCCCGAAGGTTGGGAGATGAGGTTTACGGAGCAAGGCGTCCCATTCTTCATCGACCACAACACGAAAACTACCACCTATAATGATCCGCGCACCGGAAAGCCCCTCGGTCCCTTCAACATGTACGGTGTGACCGTCAACTATGAGAAGAGCTTCCGGTGGAAAATTGCGCAGTTCAGATATCTATGCTTGGTAGGGTTAACCGTTTCTTTGTTAACCTTCTATTATAGTCAAACAGCGTCCCCAATCACGTCAAGATCACGGTCGGCCGCCCCGCGGTATTCGAAGATTCTTTCCAAGAAATAATGCGCAAGAATGCCGTGGATTTGCGGCGCCGACTATATATTCAATTCCGTGGCGAGGAGGGACTGGATTATGGCGGTGTTGCTAGGTATTATCAGTTTTTAAGGTTTTTCAACCGTTTATTTAAAAAAAATGCAAATTCAGGATGCCAAAATTTTAAATTGTCTACATTTTGACATTCCTTGAGTTAATCCATGCTTTCGGCGGCTTGTTTTCAAAATTTTGAAATTGCTAATGTCGAAATCCTCAAACGTCCAGAATGTCGAAATTTTTGACAGTTACTTTAGATTTTGGTTAGATTTTCCCTGAGATTAGTCCATGATAAACTTCGACATATTGAAATTTCGGCATTATGAATATGAAATCCGACATCCTAAAATGTCGAAATTTTAATACCAAATACTATTCCGAAATTTAGGGAATGGTTCTTCCTTCTCTCCCACGAAGTCCTCAACCCCATGTATTGCCTCTTCATGTATGCCGGCAACAGCAACTACAGTCTCCAAATCAACCCCGCGTCTTTCATCAATCCCGATCACTTAAAATACTTTGAATTTATCGGCCGCTTTATCGCAATGGTCCGTTTTCAAATGTTTGCCCTAACTCTCTTTCAGGCGCTCTTCCACGGGAAATTCATCTACTCCGGGTTCACGATGCCCTTCTACAAGAAAATGCTGAATAAGAAGATTTTGCTCAAGGACTTGGAATCGGTCGACAACGAATTCTACAACTCGATCGTCTGGATCAGCCAGAACAACATTGATGAATGCCAAATGGATCTCTTCTTCGTCGCCGATTACGAGCTGCTGGGCGAGCTGAAGACGCACGAGTTGAAGCCGGGTGGAACCGATATTCCGGTCACTGAAGCCAATAAGGTATACATTAATTATTGTTTATACACCTTAATTCAGGAGGAATACATCGAATTGTTGGTGGAATGGCGATTCAACCGCGGCGTCGAGATGCAGACCAAATATTTCTTCAAGGGCTTCACCTCCGTTTTTCCCCTCGAATGGCTGCAATACTTTGATGAACGAGAGCTGGAGCTGTTGTTGTGCGGAATGCAGGACATTGACGTCGACGACTGGCAGCGCCACACCGTTTATCGCCACTACGCCCCGCAAAGCAAACAGGTGTGCTTTTTGATAAAAATATATCTATTTTTAGGTGACCTGGTTCTGGGAATGGGTACGATCGTTGGACCAAGAGAAGCGTTCCCGCTTATTGCAATTCGTCACGGGTACTTGCCGGGTGCCAGTTGGTGGCTTCTCGGAGCTAATTGGCAGCACCGGACCACAGGTAATCAATATTTTCGGGGTTTCCTAAAGTTCAGATAGACTTAAAATGTCGTAGCGAGTATTTTCTTGGTATGTATGGTAGGATTTAACGATATGTCAACTGGAAAACTACCTTAAAATTTCGGAAAACTCAAAATTTTGTTGGGAAATCGTTATTTGCCACTTTTTTATATCAATTTCGAGAATTTCTAGCAATATAGGAATTTTTAGGGTTAGTTAGTTTTCAAAGTTTAGTCAAATAGTGTTTTAGTAGTGTGTTAGTCGAAAATCTTTATTTTGTCGAATTTTTAATAAAACTTGTAAAAGCTACCTTTAAGAATACTAAAAACAGTTTAGAAACACAACCTCTTTTGATATTAGAAATTTCTGCTTAAGGAAGAATCCCCCCTGATAACGCATAAGCACATCCTAGCCACCATTTTTTTTGCAGCTCTTCTGCATCGAACGCGTGGGCAAGGAGAATTGGCTGCCCCGCTCGCACACTTGCTTTAACCGCCTCGACCTTCCGCCATACAAAAGCTATCAGCAGCTGGCGGAGAAGCTCAGCCTGGCCATCGACATGACCGAAGGATTTGGCAATGAATAGCCCGGCACCGCACCCCTCGCATCGTGTCATTCTAAACGAGTAGTTTCTCCGCCGCTTCCGGCAGTAATAAAAATAATAATAATAGCTCCCCCTTTCGTTTTTTTAATTCGCAGCGTCTGTGATACCTTTTGTGATTTTCGAGTGTAAATCCTGTACCTACTGCTGAACTGAAAGTGTAGAAAGGCCTTATATGGTTGTGCTAGGCGTGAGTACGGCTTCCCAAATGTTAGCTCGAATAAACATATTTTGCTTCTTTGATTTTGATGATTTTATAATCTGGCGTTTGTTCGCTAGATCAATATTTCTACGTTTAATCAAAATTATTTTTTAATTATCGTTTTCTTCGTATTCTTATGAGCTCATTTCTAGCTAGCCATCAATCATGGTCGCTAAAGGAAAGGCCGCGAAGAAGGAGGAGGTCATCGAGAAGAAGGAGGAAGAAAAGAAGGTTCGAAAATCACGCATAACTTCATATTTTTGTTCTACCAGATCAACACCGAGGAATCTGGAGACTCCTCCGACGACGAGAACGTCCCCGACCTCGAGGAGGGCGAACTCAACGAGGACCAGAAGAGGCTCGCGGAGGCCATCGGTGGTGACCAAATCGACAAGGCCGGCAAGCAGAGCCGCTCGGAGAAGAAGGTAACATTTATTACACGGTTTTTAACTTCTTTCCAGGCCCGCAAGCTCTTCTCCAAGCTCGGGCTGAAGCCCGTGCACGGTGTCTCGCGCGTCTGCATCCGCAAGTCCAAGAACATCCTCTTCGTCATCAACAAGCCCGACGTGTACAAGAGCCCCGGCTCGGACACCTACATCGTCTTCGGCGAGGCCAAGATCGAGGATCTGTCGCAACACGCCCAGATGAGCGCCCTGGACCGCATCAAGCCGACCGATGAGCCGGCTGCTCGTCTCCCCCCTGTCCAAGTAAGTCTTTTTGATCCGCTTGTAGACGGTTTCGTCGGTTCTGAAAGGCTGAAATGCCTAATCCTAACGTCAAAAATCCATATCGGAATTTCAGGAGGACGAGGATGACGCTGCTGAGGAAGACCCGGGCACGATCGAGGAGAAGGACATCGAGCTGGTCATGTCCCAAGCGACCGTATCCCGTAACAAAGCCATAAGAGCCCTCAAACAATCCGACAACGACATCGTCAACGCCATCATGAGTTTAACAATGTAGCCTTTATGCATAACCACCACCGTATCTCGCCTTACTAGCCTTCTAATCGGATATCTTTGTTGCACACGATCTGTTTTTTGTTGCATCTCTTGTTTGGTATAAAGTTTTACGGCGCACTCTCAACGTAACGTATCGGCATAGAACAACGATTTATTCAGTATCAGCATGGTGATCAGTCTATGAGAGTAGGGTAGCGGAACCCGAGTTTGGCTTGCTATAAGTAACGACATAAAAAGGACGGGGCGGGCTTGCTAAATACTTCATGCGGGGAACATATTATGTGCGATATGAAACAAATCTGGGTGGGGGGAAGGTCGGAAATGGGGGTTAGACGGCTGGGTTTTTTCACAGGTGCAAAGGGGCTACAGTGGCTGGACACGCAGCTTTCAAATAAACCAAATAGGGGTCACCGCCATTTCAGGCCATCGTCACATCAGCAAGCGGGCGCTTCTCCACATCCGGGTAGGGGGGGAGGCAGCGAGTATTCGCAGGTGAAAGCTGGTGTCGTAGCATCGAGTTGAGCTCCTATCTGCTCAGCAACCTGAAAGATTAAAATTATTAATTGGCAAGATGATATATTAACTAATAGCATATGGCAAGGAGATACAATAAAAAAACCCGGGAGCAATTGTTTACGCCACGGCTTTCGGCAAATTAATAGAAAAACAGCGACAACAACTCACCTTCTTATCCCCAAGGTAGCAATAGCAACGCCAGACGACGGTGACACACCAGACGTGAATCATCAAGCCGATCAAGTGCGAAAGCAGCTGAGAAGCCGAGCCCGAGCCGCGCTGATGGGAAGCAGCCACAACATCGGTGAAGATCTGGGCGAATCCAACGAACAGGGTGAAGCACGCGAAGATGATGTATGGCAACAGGAACGATCTGGAATTTGGAGTTGTTGACACGTTAAAAAATAAATTTTGTCAAGCCAAATCCCAACGAAAAGCTCACCTCTTCTCGTGGCGCACTCCGTGCACCAGCATCAGCACCAAAGCCAGCTGCAGCGATACAGCCGTCAGTAGAGACGTCAAGAAACGCGAGCCAGCCGATGCCGCCCAGTGCTCAGCGGGGAGCGCACCCTAATAATTTTTCGTTCAAAGTGTGATAAGTCATACATGCAGCGACTGTCCGTAGAAGAACAGAATCGTCAGCGTGAAGATTGTGATTATGGCCAGTTGCATGTATCCAACGTACAGGGTTGCCTAAATAAACCAGGATGAAGAGCCAATTGAATACCAACCGAGGTGACATGCACGGAGCGGCAAGCCACGCGATACTTCTCAGCATTCGAGTCCCATAGAGCATCAACGCGGTGATGCTGAACACGCGATTGCACTGGTTTCATCGCCGGCATCGTAGCTCTGAAAAATTGTCGTAAGTTTCTGGCTCCGGCAATCAAATACAAAGAAGAAAGATAGTTGATGTAATAAAGAAGGTAAATTGCGATAATTTACTGGCAAATTAGCTGAACAAGTTCTCCTTGGACGATATCCCCAGAGCTGTAGAGCGGCTCTAACACGCGTCACACAACGCCCCCGTAGGTTACGAAATTTGTTTTTCAAAACCTTCCCGCTCCAAATTCCGATTGGATGTAACGCGTTTGCTTGGGATAGATCACAGAATTGAACTGGAATTAGGAACGATTCCGAAAGTCGAAGCCCTGAACATTCAAGGAAAGTTGACGACAGACGAAAAATCGATAACTCGTAGTGACAGCTGAATGCCCCAATTCCGGCTACATCAATTAGTGGCAGATGGGTGAAAATAAGCTTCTAATGAGGGCATCACGTCACCTACAATGTCTAATTGGGGGATATATGTAACATTGCTGGATCATGTGGGCGCGCCGTGATCTATGAAAAGGGAGCGCGAGCGCCGCGACGCGGCCGGAGAGCGCCAGGCCCGGGCCATAATAACGCCCTCTCTATTTAAAGGAGAGCCTCAATTCGGGGAGCCCGCGAGAATTTGAACGGCTGGCCGGAGAGTGGGCCCGCTCCGACATTGCAAAATCAATGGCCGAAAAAAGGGGGAGGCCATGCAAAATGTAAGCCGGATAAGCATGGTAAGTCAACAAAAGCAAGTCGAAAAATGTCCGCGGAAACACTGTTTCACATGTTCCAATTGACCTTTAGTTTTAGAACGTTTTTTACCGATGAAACACTTTGGGGAAAAGCTGATGCGGAGAATGGGGTCTCGCGGCCCAAAAGACCGCCTCAAACAACTTCGAGAGACTCGTGGGCGGGGCAAATGGGGGGTCGCGAGGTCTTGGACAAAAGCAAACAAATGGCCCATGAGGGACCCAGAATTCTTTGCCGAAAATGCCGCACGGGCCGGATCGATGTTATCCCGACAAGGTACGACACAACTAGTTTGCGCCTGCGAATTGGACGAAAAATAGAGCGTAACTTTAGCGAGCCTAACTTCTGATGAAAAACTAAAAACAAACCATAGGCGAAAAATCTAGAGAAGCAACAGATCCAACAGCTTTTGGGGGTAACATAGGCCCTATCATCACGAACCAAAAGCGTTTGTTAAACTTTTATCGCATCATCAAATATCACATCTGCACGCTCAAAATGCTGAGAAACAGTATACACGATCAAGAGCAAAAAGCGGGGGCAGTTAGAATAAAGGGCTACAATGCGAGATCCCATGACTAGTACGGAGATGCTAGTTTCTTTATGCTTTAGCGGAATGTGCGCGCCATCGTTGTCGAGTCTGGATCCGGGACCAACTAAAAAAAATATTTGTACAGAGACGAACGAAGATTTACTATCCGAAAGTAGAAATTTCGGAATATCGAAAGGCATAATGCAGTTTTTGCAAGGTCAAATTGTAGAAGTTTACCAGGCACAAATCTGCCGGCAATCGCTTAATACCATGCCAAAAAATTTCCACATTTTGAAGATAAGCCAGAAACGTACCGTGCGGAAAAGTGTCGAATTGGCACTGTCGTTGGCAAGCTGCGGACCGATCGTCTGGTTGGTCGTCAATTCGAGAACGTGGGGCGCGCGAATCGACAAGCGTTGGCTGTTCACCTAAGAAATGATGTAAGTAAAATAAAATAAGGTATATTACATGAACCCTCGTGCGACGCAGCGTCAGCTTCAGATTGTCGACATCGCCGCGGCTCAAGGGCTAAAAAACTGATTAAAGGGATGCCGACGGCATAGACAATCGGTTACGCGCGGAAAAGAAAATTTCTCTGCGCCTCTCCCCTGGGCGCGCTCTCTCCCCTGTTGGCTACTTGCCAATTTGTTGATGAGGGGGGATCGACACATGCCGTCGGCAGCCCTTTAAGCGAACATTTTAAAACTCACCCATTCCGGCGGGACATCGTACTTTTTGTTATCACCGCCATAAAACGGTTCCGTAACATCGCCGAGGCCCTCAACAACCCGCGCACCACTATAAAGTCGAAGATTACAAGATTCAACACTAAAACACCAACACGGCTTTCTCATTCGCGTAAGCTGCAGCTCTCAGCACCCCAAGTGACTCCGTCCAGATAATGTCCATCACGTAGGCAGGACCCCTAAGAAAAAAGATCGTGAAAATAAGAAGTCACTCACTCATTATTTGATGCAAACGTGTTTGAAACAAATGACCACGAGGATCCCATGTGAGACGTATTGCGAACGCGTACATTGATAGTCTTTAAAACAATATTGATACGAAACAGGAATATACCAATGAGCGATCACGGGAGATTTGGATGCGATTAGACGGAGAAAATAGAGCCTCGACTGGGCGGCCCTCGACATCATGTAGCGAAAGAACAGCACTTGCGGCACTAAAAGTCGAGTGGAAAACGATGGAGAAAATGGTACCGTCCAGTGGCCATTGCGACGAACGAGAAATTATCAATGTCATTTGCACGCAGCACATAGTCACCATTCGGACGCGAGGACAAATCGGGGCGATTGGGGAGAGCCGAGAGCTTCAGGTAAGATACCCAAGGCGAAGCGACGACGGGCAACTAAAAAGTGATGTGGTTGAAACTCAAAAATCAAATAGTTCATCCCGGGCAGGGCCGTAGCGATCCCCGATTTTTGGGGGGCAACCCAAAAAATTTTTTTGACAATGTATCAAAACTATCAAAAACAGCGCCGCAGGCGAAAATTTTTGAAAAACTTAGGGCCTAGACAGTAAAAACAGTCTTAAAAACAACTATAAAAAGCGCCGCAGGCAAAAAAATTTTCACGAAAAAAAAATCAGAAGGGTCCCCCCTTATGAATTTTTCGGCCTTCGGCCGATTTGGGGGAATTGCCCCAGTTGCCCCTTCCTACGGGCCTGATCCCGGGGTCATATTATTAGTAGCAGAAATACTACCTTATAAGTGAGATCACGCTGCAGCGACTGTTTTGCGATGATTCGCAGATCGCCACGGCAAAGCGCCCGATGCATCGACGTGTCGGGTGCGAAACGAACTTCGACCTCTCGCGCATCACCGGGATTCAGAACACGCACCGTTTTATCCACCTGAAAAAAATGAAATTTATTAGAAACAAATCCCAACCGAAAATCCGTTCTTTTCGCTCGACAGGGTCGGGTGGAATTGTAATTGGGTAGTGCCGACGTTGGTGATCGTGATACTGAAGCAATAGTTTTGGACTTTCAAAGATATTTACCTTCTGACAGCCTGCTCCCCGGGTTCGACAAATCCGAAGTAGACCTTGCCCGGTTTGATTGCTAGATAGCGAGCACCGCCATAAGTGCTGACGCTAGTCGCTGCGGATGTAGGCCTCAAAAAGAGTCACAGATACAATGCGTCGTGATGGTTCGCTAGCGGGGATCCGCTTTTTCTTAGGTGCGTCAGCGCCCTACGCTCAATGGGAGCCATTTTAATAGAAAAAACCACCAAAACACTACGAAAATAATGATATTTTTTACTTCAGCGGCTAGGCTGAATAGGCCAGCGAGCCAGAGCCAAAGGAATTACCAAAAAAAAATCAGAAGTTTAGAAGCCAGCTTACCGCGCATAGGATTGAACCGACACTTCTTCGACCGGCTTATACTCGAGCGCAGTAGTGAAAAGTGTTGCTGAAGTCGACTCGGCGGGTAGGACCCTTGAGGTAGAAGACGAGCTTTGCTGGTATTCACGCAGCGGGACACGCGACCTTTCTCCATTCAGAACGGTCCCCGAGCTTCGATCACTAAAAAAACAAAACTGAAAATAGCACATAACCATACGCGAAAGTAACGCTCTTCCCGAACGGCGAAGAATTCTTTGTGTTTTTCTGTTGCTCACGGCGCAGTCGAAGCTGCGCCAACATCCGGTCAACGGCGTTCACGTTTTGCAGATCGTCAAGCGCCGCTGCCTAGAGGAAAAATAGGCAAAAGATGGATGCTTACGTTAATTCCATTGCGCAAAGAAGTAACCGATAGGGAAGCATCTTCATAGCCGGCATATGGAGTCGGAGACGAGTACTTTGGCGAGATTCTTGTCTTCGGCGGGGTGCTCGGGATCGCGGATAAGTTGCCAAATTGATCCTCGAGGCTCCTTTGTAGTGCTCTTCGAGGAACAGCCGCTATAAAAAACCATTGAATGTAGACAAAACAACCAAACCTTGTGGTGTAGAAATTTTATGCATAAATTCATCGGAGACAATCGACTTATCCGGTGTGCGCTGGGCAGCTTCCTAGAAAAAATGACGTAAACGGCTCGTTCTCATAAATATACCATTCTTCTCAGTTCATCCGCACGTTGGATCGCAGAAGCGACAGGCGGGCTAAAGACCTTCTTCAGAGCACTGCCGGTCTCGGGAGAAAAAGAAGGCTTCTCAACCGGTCGCCCCTAAACAATAAGTGTTGACAAAATTTCGGGCAGAAAAACCTGTTGGAACGGCATGCGGTTGTTATAATTGATCGGTGACGGTTCCCACGAGTTCTCCTTAGCCCATACGCGTGTCCCTTGCTGGAATCGCGGATCATTTTCGATGATCACGTTCTCTTTTTCAAATTCTTCGTAGGTTTCCAGCCGCTGTAGACCTTCCTCTAAAGCGAATTTAGCGAAATCTTTCGGATACCATACCACCACACGCAAAATCGTCAAATTCCTGGCCATCTGGGTCAGTGCCCTTCGGTGGGTGGGCTTCGCTCAAGACGTCCGAGCCGACACGAGATTCTTCGGGAATCGGGGCGAGCGGCATGCCTTGATGTCCATCGCCTTGATAATCATCATCTAAAAAAGGAAGAGATAATTTTATGGAGAAAAACGTACAAGTTGATTTCACATCGTCATCGTGCCCGTCCCATTCTTGGCCTCCTTCGCCCTGGTAGTCATCAAATTCGCCGGACATAATCCCTATAAAGTCCGATGTTTCTGTTTCAGCGTTCGAGAGAATATTTTGAATAGACGGAGTGTTTTCGGCCGGTTTTCGCGGCCTCCAAAAATCCATATAAATCAAGGGAAAGGGCGTATTTACAACGAAAAACACTTTTTGCAGGGTTTATGTAAAAGAGGACATTATTTCTAGAGGGCGCGGAGAATAGTGGGAGGTTGAGGAGAGCCTATCTTCCCTGCTCACCACCAGCGCTCCTATTTCCAGCCGGCGTTCCGAGCGTATTGCGAATTTTTTTACAAGTGGTTGAACACTTCAAAACGCTAAATCTTTAGCGGAAATGGCGAATGTGAAGATAAATGAGTCGAAAGGGTAAGAACTGGCGCCGTTCACTTCCGTTCAGAGGAATCCTGCGTAGGGCCCGATTAAAATGCGCTAAATTAAAAATTCTTTTAGTAAAAGAAAGAAAATGGTAAAAGGGATGACCAGCAATTCGAAAAAGGAACTGATTTTTGTTGCTTTTAATTGAAAGAAAGTTTCGAATAATTTTTTACAGTCTAAATTGAAAACGAAAAGATTCTGTGACTTTTTTTAGTGTGAAAGACGCGATTTAATTTGTTGCCTACATACTTTTAGCTCGTTCTTTCTGATTGCCTTAAAATTCTTCCATTGATCTACATGAAAAAATTTTAGGCAAAAGATGGCCGAGCTCAACCTACCCAACATAAACCCCGGAATCATTCAAGAAGTAAGGTTTTATCTTTTTTAGTCCTAGGATTTGATGGCAATGAATTTCGATATTATGAGCTCAATTTCAGGGGACCTATGCATTAATCTCGAAAGTGTCGGGCGATGTCATCCGAACAATAAAGATCATGACCAACCAGACGATTCAAATCGAACGCTTGAGAGTTCAGGTATTCGGACTTTGGCATTTCTATTGGCGAAAATAATTCTAGGCGAATGATCTGGTTGGTGCCCCTTACGGATTGTTCTCCATCAACACTGGCAATGCTGCACCGATTTCCGTGGCGCAGCTGCAGCGAGAGGGCGAATCTATCAATCTGGGTGAGGAGTCTTTATTCGGAATTGACATACATTAGCTTTGTCAAAATTAATTGTCATCGCTTAGTTTTATCAAGATTAATAATTGAAGAAAAGAAGTTCTTGTTTTTAAAAAACGGCTTTAGATATCCAATTTGCCGAGCCCGAGCCATCAGTGGATTCCGCCCCTATCGCCCCTTCCAGCGACCAATTGGCCCTAAATGAAGCACAGGTCTGTTTCTTTCTTCGAACTGTTACACCTTTTAGGCCCGCCAACGCTACACGGAAGAAGAGATTTCCGAGATGAAAATGGCTGGTACCAGCTCTACAGATTTAGTAAATTTTTGCGTCATTCCAATGCTCGTTTCTCCCAGGTGAACAAATTGATCGAGGGTAGTTCGACATTCCAAAACAGAACCGAACACGCCAAAGGGAAATACATTGAGAAGTAAGTGGAACTCTTTCCGTCAATCCAAATTTTTTAGGAAGCGAAAGAAGCACTCTGATCGTATCCTCGTATTGCGCCCAACAGTTCGTTTGCTCTGCGAGAGTTATTACAAGAAGGATCCAGAGCGAGTCGCTAACTTACGGTTTGATGTTTTGGGCACTTTTGATGATGTGCTAATTCAGATGGGACCAGCTTGGCCATGTCCTCCAGCTGGCCGGGATCCACGCCGGAAAGCGTGTCGCTCTATTCGACCAAGTTTGCGGGATAGGAACGACTGCGGTACTTGTCACTTACAAGTGTTTATTCTCTACAGATTCTGGAGCGTCTTGGAGGCCGCGGCTCGCTCGTACATCTACACCGCGGAATGCAAGCCCAAGGAATGCCCTGCGTTCAAGCAATGAATTTTTCTGAACAGGTAGCTCACAAAAATCTGCTTCGAATTTTGTCTGCGTTCAAACCTTTTCCAGCGCAAGTCTAGATATTTTTATGATTTACGGATGCGCTTGTACATTGTTTTTAACTATTCCTAGGCAGAACAGCTTTACAAATTTTCGATTAAAAATTTAATTTTAGGTCGAAAATTGATTTTTTCGATCAAAAATGGTCAAATTTTCGAATTTTCAAATATTTTTTAACATGTTTGGAAAGCGGTTTTTTAAATATTGTTAAAACTTACAAAAAACAATATAGAATGCTTGACATGCGATTACTAGATCGAACATGAAGAAGATGCCGCAAAATACCTTGATCGCATAAAAACCCTTTTTTAAAGAATCCTTTTAGTCGATGCTCACCCTACAAACACTACGAATCGACACTCTGCTGAACGATGGTGTCCCCTCGGAAGAGCGCTATGTTCGTGACCAGCCACCGAGAGAGCCCGAAGAGGTAAGGCTTTTAGCTTTGTGAGAACGCTTAAAATTAGGAGCTGAGTGAGGAGAAGCAGGCCCTAAACGTGATCTCCGCCGAAAGACGGGCTGAAAGGGCGGCGGCACAAAAACTGGCATGGCAGATCTTGCAAAATGGCGTCGACTCGATTATCATTTTCACGAAGACACTTGGTAATGAATTCGTTCTTGAGTGTTAGCGGGGTGGATACTACATTTTTTCTGCGTTGGAGACCCTCTAAAACAGATAAATTTTTTATAGAGTTTGCGCCGTTTCGAAATTCAAACAAAGCCATTAAAAGTACTTTTTAAACCAGAAAAAATGCGGAAACAGTCCAGTTTAAATACGTCATTTCTAGACCCAATCAACGCCCTGGAATATCTTTACGGCTACCTGAGGCCGGCGGGGACGATTGTGGTGTATGGTCCTGTCCTTCAGGTGAGAGTAAATCTTCGTTTCAAATCTTTTATTTTTTAGCCCATCATCGCCACGCACAATTGGCTACGCACCAAGAATGCGGTGAATGTCCAGATGCAAGACCAAATGTACCGGATGCATCAGGTCAGCTTTGATAAACTCATTAATACCAGAGCCTTAGGTCCTCCCCCAACGCACCCACCCGTTGATGAGCCAGATGGTCCTCGGCGGCTTCATCGTTTCCGCTATTAAAGTAAATGCTTAAAGGAACGATGCTTAAAGGAACGATGCTTAAAGGAACAGTGAATTGCTAAATTTGCCCGGGGTGAAAAAGCTGTCCAAACTATACCTGCCTAACAAAATTCTTAACAGTTTATACTGTTTTTATAGTGATTTTAGTAGTTTTTGATTGCTCACAAATCCTAAAAACTTTTCTAGAAAATAAAGAATTCAACATTTGGGCCATTTTCACAAATAACTTTTTTTGATGACATTTTTTGACTACGACCAGCGTAAAAAGCTACATAAAAATCCCCCCACTAATAGCCCAGAACCCGTCTCGCATCAAGATTAGCTCCTTTTCTCGACAAATTCACTGTTTCTTATCATAGGCATCGATTTTTTAGGTAATCTATGACGAGCATCACTTGAAAAGTTAAGGATGCAAAATACACTTAAAAATTGATTGTTTTACGATGGCTATGTTGTTATGTTGTTGTTATTGCATATTGGCGAATGTCGGATCTTAACATTTGCATATCCGGTGGCCATCGCGGTGATGGCATAGGAATAAATGGCATTTCTTACTACTCGTCTTTTGGCGCATACTTGTCTATGCATTATACTCGTTCCGCGTGACTCACTTTTAACCCTGATGGAGAGCTGCGATTTGGAAGACGTAGACAGCATTGTGGAGACCGGCTAGGATTGTTTTTCAGAAAGTTCCGGACTTTGTGCTGTACAGCATTAACGTGATTGCATTCGTCGTCTGGGGGATCGGCGTCGCTGCCGTCCATTTCTTCAAACGCTTCAAGGTTGTGCTTCAAAACGGAGCTTTTGTCTTATCGATGAGGGTCCCCCGTTAAAAAATCAGATAGGTACAGAAACCTATTAGCAAAATCCGCGAAAACTAGAAACAAAGGAATTTTATTGCCGTGCCCCCCGATAACGCAAAAGCACCGACAACGGGATCTAGGATGCCAACGATGCGGTGACGATCCACCACAAGATTCACAAACTGAATGCGGAGAAGCAGCGAAAGGAATTCGAGCAGGGGCGACAGGTAGCAAAATATGTAAAGCCGGAACCCCCTAATGATTTCAGACGAACTTCCTGAAGGGAACCCCCGATGTTGAGGCTCAGAAAAGTTCAGCGCCAGCACCGAGGACACCTGGCGGAAGTAGCCGACAGCTGGGTAGAGTGGAAGGCTAACATCTTGTTGGATTTTGCTTTTTCCTCTACATTATTTTTCTACCGATGTTTCTCGACTAAAGTATATAGTACAAAGAAATAAGAGGAAAGGGAATGGGAATAAAAACTTTTTGGTCGAAAATTTTACGACCAAAAAGTTCAAATTTTCCAGGTTTGTAAAATTCTAAGTATTTTTAACACTTTCTAACAATCAAAAACCACTACAAATAAAAATACATTAGATATTATCAGCACGTAGGCATGGGTGTCAAGATAAAAATTATGGTATGCCCCCCGCTAACAGCCCAGTACCATTATAACTAGCGCTTCATTTGCACGGTTCAGCTCCACTCCCCGACGCCCCATCCTTCCACCAATCTCTACAAGCCAGCTTCATCTCGATGTCGCTGCCGGTTGGAAACCCTTTATATTATCCGGAAACCGCTTTTTTTCAGCCCCAAGGATCCCAACAACTCTCGGTCATCGTCAGCTGAACAGCCAATGTTCTTTGCGATAAATCGTGCATCCATCTTTGATGTTTATTCTTACACGCCACATACAATTTAATGGCAAGAGTCCGATGAGCTGGATGAGCACGAGCCACGGCGGTCTCTGAAAAGTGGCAATTCGGTTTCTGTCGCAGAACTTACACGCAGACCGGTTGCACAAATCCTCCGGCTGCTCCACCGTAATAGGGCTGGTCGAATTGGCCGCCGGAATAGGCCGGGATGACGGCTGGCTGCTGGTAAACATTTCCGCCGGCGACATATGCTAAACGCGATGTAAATGGGCTCTGGTTCGTTAGATCTTATTTTTTTATAACTTTGGGCTTCGTATGTTCCCATAGACGCCAAGTAATTTCATATAACCGTAGTTTACTCGCCAAAAAAATGGGCAAAATATGTATCTAAACATGTCTTTAGAACTTTTTAGGAAATAAAAACTATTAAAAACATTACGAAAATTATTACAATAGAGGCTAGGTGCAATCAGGGAATGTAGCCCCCCCCCGCTAACGAATCACAGCCTGAAAATGTACCTGGAGGCATTACGGCTCCCGGGTAAGCACCACCTCCGATTCCAGGGACCACTAAATAAATGGCATCTACATATTGTCGTAAAACAAACCAGGAGGCGCTACCGGAAATGCTCCACCGCCAATGCCGGGCTGTACTGCTGGGTAGGCTCCACCACCGATCCCGGGCTGCATTCCTGGATATGCGCCACCGCCAATACCCGGCTGAAATCCGGGATACGCGCCGGTGCCGATCACTGAAAACGTCTTCTAAACGTAACTAAACAAAAAAGCCTGCTCGAGTTTAGTCTTAATTTTTATTCTTTTCACTGCTCATCTTTTTATAATACGACAAAAACGTAAGCAAGGCGCGCTTAACGCTTAACAAGTCAAAAACAAATTTTGAGCACGATTTTAAACAAAAACTAATTTTTCCTTTCACATATCGGCCGATTTTCTGTTTTTCTCACCCTGGCCCGGTTGAAGCGGAAATGGCGTCGCTCCGCTGCCAATCACTGCCGCACCAGGAGGTGGCGGATACATTGGCCCAGCTCCGGCACCAATCTGCGGGGCTCCTAAAACCAAACACATTTTCTTAGGCTCCCTTGAAAATGGCGGAAACTGCATGACATCGCCATCATTCTGTACCCACCATTGTTGTAGGGGTTGTACTGAAAAAAAATATAATAGAAAAACGACCATGAAAGCTTACCATTTTCGGGCTGGCAGAGGGATAGTGGCGCCGAGGCGCACAAATGGACCGGCAGTACTTTTTGGGGGGTACGGTATCTTTCTACCGATCCACGCTTTAGGCACCGAAAAATTACGACACCTAAATACAGTATTAGGCAACGTTGTACTCACTCTTTTTCACGTTATTTAGTAGTTTTTGCGTGAGAACGGTTGATAACAAAGCTTTATTGATGTAACAACGGGGGAATAACAATAGGCCGGTAGACCGCTTTTTCGTTCAAATTCATAAAAGTAGACCGGTATCGGGGCTTTATGGCAGCTTTATAACCCGGGTTTTGTTCCTTAATACATTAATTAAGCAAAATGCTTTATTTGAAGCATATTCAACTATTAGTTTAGTCATATTCTATTGTCCTACCACCGCGTTCTTTTTATTTGAAACGTTATCTACACAAAACGCGGAAAACGCGGAAAACGACGCTAGTTATCGGCATGTTATTAAACTAGTCTAAATATATGCTATTTAAAGTATTTACCCACTAAATGTAGTTTTAAATACCACGGATTACTAACAAAGTATTAAACGAGGAATAAATCAATATAATACACGAAAAGCCAAAGAATTACGGGAAGAGCGCGTAATTATTAGACAATGTTTCAAACAAAGAACGCGAAGGTAGAACCGTATGAAATAGAAAAAGTATATTAGTAAAATAATAGCTAAATTCAATTAAAGACTAAAAACCGGGTTAAAAAAAGCTGCCATAAAGCCCCGATACCGGTCTACTTTTATGAATTTGAACGAAAAAGCGGTCTACCGGCCTATTGTTATTCCCCCCGTTGTTACATCAATAAAGCTTTGTTATCAACCGTTCTCACGCAAAAACTACTAAATAACGTGAAAAAGAGTGAGTACAACGTTGCCTAATACTGTATTTAGGTGTCGTAATTTTTCGGTGCCTAAAGCGTGGATCGGTAGAAAGATACCGTACCCCCAAAAAGTACTGCCGGTCCATTTGTGCGCCTCGGCGCCACTCAGAGGGATGCGAAGAGCTGAATGGCACTCAGCAGGCCGACCGAAACCGTGATAACGTGTCGGGTCGAGAAGCGCCAAAAACGCTTTATTTGTCCCCCGCCCTCGACGCGATTCCGGTGACTCACTTGGCAGCTTGCTACGTATAGGAAGGAACCTAAAATCGGTCAAAGAGACCGAAGAATGATTGTGACTCAAAGAAAAATCACACGTTGAATTTCATCAGGTTCTGGACTGTTAGCCAGGGGGGGCTAAATACCCCCATACCAAAATTTTTAGCGTTTTATCATGTATTTTTTTAGTATTTTTTGATTGCTAAAAATTGTATCAGAATTTTTCATTTAAATTATGTATATTATGTTTTTGGGCCCCTACGGGACGATAGGCAAAGGTTGACCCCCCGCTAACTGTCCAGAACCTTATTACTTGGTTCTGATGTTTGTCTGAAAAACCGGAGTAGTTTGTATAAGCGGCGTATTGTCAAAAATGTTTATTTACAAGTATGTGCAACACATAAACTCTAAAAACACTCGGTACCCGATTCGGAGAATGGAAGGGGATGAGGGGACAAATGGCTGATTTAGCCTCGCAGTTGGGCCAACATTTTGTCGAGGTCGGTGTCCGTCATTGCCGTGTTCTTTTCCTGTTGTTTGGGAGCGGATGGCATGTCGTTTAGCTGAAAAAAACAAACAATTTGGCATAAAGGTCTAGAATCCTTACCTTGGCGCTCATGTCGATGCCAATCTCGTCGAGAACCTGCGCGACAATGGCGTCCTGTTCGGCTTCATCACCCGGCTCGTCCATAATGGCATCCAGCGTATCGGACATCATCTGAAAGTTTGGGTTATCGTTGTTGGGTTGTTATTTTGGCTCACAAGGAGATGGTCTCAGCTGGGAATCGAATTCGGATTTGAAAATTTGCACACTTATAGAGCTCGACGAGACAAATCGATTGGTGTAACTTTCAGCTGCTGATACGTTATCCACGCCGAGTTATAAGCATTTTAAGTTTTTGCTGTATTTTGCATTTTTTCGGCCATAGCTTCATAGGCCTTCCCCGCCTCCCCATCACCATGGTCTGGTGGCCTAGTGGTGTAGCAGGCGGCCTCCGGGGAATCTAACGAGGGTTCGAACCCGCTCACGATTTTTATTTTTTGCTTTTTTGTCCGAAGGTTCCTCTTTGCTTTCTGAGGACCTTGCATAGCTTTTTACGCATTATTTTTTCTCCACTGATGCGCCGACAACATCGAACTTCACCGCAAAAATTTTTCTTGCTGGGCATCGAGCCCTTGTCCGACCTATGACTACCATTTCCAAAAAATTTTCGCGGATGAAAGTTTTTGTTCGGATAACACACCATTTACCAAATTTACGTTTACTTCACGATTTTTGATATGCTTTGAATTTTCAATTTATTTTGGGACCGGCATAGTCCTTTCGGGTAAAAATTTCGAAAGTCCTTTTCGAAGAGATGTTTTTTAGCAATTTCGCACCAGAGGAATTAAAATAATGCGTAAAAAGCTATGCAAGGTCCTCAGAAAGCAAAGAGGAACCTTCGGACTAAAAAGCAAAAAATAAAAATCGTGAGCGGGTTCGAACCCTCGTTAGATTCCCCGGAGGCCGCCTGCTACACCACTAGGCCACCAGACCATGGTGATGGGGAGGCGGGGAAGGCCTATGAAGCTATGGCCGAAAAAATGCAAAATGTATGCAAAAACTTAAAATGCTTATAACTCGGCGTGGTTATCGTATCAGCAGCTGAAAGTTACACCAATCGATTTGTCTCGTCGGGCTCTATAAGTGTGCAAATTTTCAAATCCGAATTCGATTCCCAGCTGAGACCATCTCCTTGTCAGGCAAATGTCTAAAACGTTTTAAAATGCCTTTTTAGAATTGCCTAGCAATCAAAAACGACAAAAATGCTATTAAAACACATTGCAGTATATTTTACGGCCCTTTGGTGTAGGCGAGCTAAAAATTAGCTTCCTCCGCTTGACAAGAATAAAGAATTTTTGAAATCCAGCTCGTAGATTTCTATGAGGAATCCAAGCGGGCCACTTTGGCCATGCTAAACGAGATATATGCCATTCATCAAAGCCCGCTTGCGGCCCCGTTAAAGCATTAGGGTCTGGCCCGTCAATCAAACATTTCCGGTAGAAAACAAGGAATTCACCTCCTCCGTGAGCCCCATACGCTCGCTCTGCTCCTGGAAGTCCTTCATCTGCTTCAACAATTTGTCGGCAGGCATTTGCCTGAAATTGATTTGTTTGCTAAAGATAAAAATCTTACTTATTCATCTGCTTCATGGTGGATGCCGTTGTATCCATAGCCTTGGCCATAGTATGCATGCTCTGCATATGACTAAACAACGAAAATTTAGAAGGAAGCCGATTTCCTACCTATTTTGGGCCTGGACACCGCTTAGCTTCGCGGACATCCCGACGCTTTTGCCTTTCTGGTTGCGGAGCTGGACGAGCTGCTTGGCCAGAACGGTGCAGGCATCTCGCTGGCCGGCTTTGGCTAGCTTTTTGATTTCAGCTTCCTAGAAATAGAAATTTATAAACAACGGCTTTCGGAAATAAAAAAGAGCCTCTAAAACTCGAAAAAACATACCAATTCTTTTTCACGACGTTCCAATGTCCGTCGATCACTCTCCAATTCACGATTGGCTTTTCGAATTTCACGCTGATTCGCGCGCGCCTCTTCTTAAGCAAAAAAAATAAATTTATTAACTTTTTATTCAACCTCACCTTTCGGGTCGACTTTCTTGAAAAAATTCATGGCTGTAGCTGATCCGGCTGGTTTGTACGTAGCGGTTGTGGTGGCAAGAACTCTGCTTTAGCTGCAATGAAATGAGGGTAACAACGAAATATGAAGGCTCTCAAATCCCTCTGTTTGTTTGTTTCACAATCAAAAATGACTCAACGGGGACGGGACACTCCTTTTCACCCTCCCCCGACACCACCTCAAAAGGGACACTTTTTCAAAAGTCTTTTACCTCACAAATTAAAGTCTTTCTAATCCAAAAGTAATCTATAAGTTATGACGATTGCTGAGTTTTGGCTCCTGCCTATGTAAAATTCATTGTCCCGCCTAATCGCCCCCCTCTAGGCGTTGTTAGAGCGGATTGGAAGGATTGCATGGTTTCCCCGAATAGAGACCCTTTTTTGGCAACCGGATAAGCCGGCACTCCTCCCCTTTTCTTGGAAAACGCTTGACCTCATCCCAAGTTTATCCCTGATTCATCTGGCTTCCCATTGTTCTCGCCCATCCAACCGCCTTTATTATAGGAACTGCAAACTGGGTCCCTTCAATTCGAAGTTGCCTTCACTGAGCCGCCCGGCACAGTACAGTTCGATGAGTGAGTTCATTTCCCTTTTAGGTTAACCTTCTTTAGGTAATTTAAAAGGCAAAGACTTCTTGATAGACAAATTCGACCAATATGAGCGCGCCGGGACGTGGAGCAGTATTTATCATGTAAGAAAACGGCCTAAATGGTACGCTGATTGTTTTAGCGCCTAATGGTTGAATCGAATCGCCAGGAGAAATCACTGAAGTTGTCCTGCAAAAGTGCATTCTCGATCCGGAATGTTGAGAAGAATCGATACCGGGATGTTGCACCATGTAAGTGTTGCGCGAAGCTCCAAATATTGTTATTCAGGGGATAATTGTCGGATTATGCTGAAAGAAGTGGATGATGACGAAACCGATTACATCAACGCTTCGCCGGTTTCTGTTCCAGGGACTCAACGGCGTTACATTCTTTCTCAGGTAAATATTTTTGGATTTTGGTTTTGGAGATCTTTTTCTTGGCATCCAATAGTTCTTTCCTTTCAGGGCCCACTTGAGGAAACCTGCAATGACTTCTGGAAAATGTGCTGGGAAAACAAGTGTCGCGGCATCATTATGCTGAACAAAATCGTTGAAAAAGGCCATATGAAGTCGGTTTGCTTCCTCTGTCGGTAGTCATCCCAATTCAGGGATGGTTGTCGTATTCCTCCGGCCGGGTGCGTATACTCAAGGGCATCATTCTATTTTCATATCCATTTTTTAGATGTGCCGAATATTACCCGACCGTTGACGGGGAGAATGAGATCGAGTTCCACGCCTTCAAGGTGCAACTGATCGAGGAGAAAGAGCAAGCCAACTACATTGTTCGTAGAATAAAGCTGACAAAGACAAAGACAGGTTGGCAGCGGTGGGTTTGAGTTGTAATTCTATTTAGGTGAGACTCACGAGGTCGTCCACCTGCAGTACACCGAATGGCCGGATTTCGGTTGTCCGCAGAGTACCAAGCATTTCCTTGAGTTCCTCCAAGATTGTCGAGGGTAAGTGAAATAATTTGGCAAAAGTTATTTTTTTTACAGCCGTGGATTGATGACAGAAAGCGTCGACGATGCGCCACCAATTGTCCACTGCTCTGCCGGAATCGGGCGAACCGGGACGTTCATCGTGTGTGATTCTATCCTGGACATGGTGAGCCTATTTATTTATTTATTTTTATTTCTTTGCTCTGTTAGCATGACAGTTTTTAGTTGGAGCATGGTCATGATGCCAACATGGACCCGGAAGCGCTGATTGTTGAGCTGAGAAAAAGCCGCATGGGACTGATTCAAACGCCGCAACAGCTCAGGCAAGCATTTTAGAAGCGTTCTGGTTCTGGTTCGTTAGCAGGGGGGAGTGTAGCACACGAAGGCCTAGCTAACCTTTATACCTGAAAAGGAGCAAAATATTATTAAAAATGTTTGTGCTTGGTTCGATATATAGGATAACAAGGAAAAGCTCTGCCCTTGTTACCCCCCGCTAACGAACCAGAACCAGCGTTCTTGAAAACAAATTTTTATACGACCTACCAACTTTTTTTTAGGTTTTGCTGGATGGCAATCGTCGATTGGATTCACAACCGAGAAAACCCCTCTGGAACTGAATCCGACACAGCGTCTGATGAAGATGAAGAACGGGCTGAGGATCGACCCGGACTAGCCGGAACAGGCGACTCTCCAGACCATGAGCGGAAGCGAATCCATGAGACTGAAGCAGAATTGGATGATCGCCTAGCCAAAAGGTATACTTGCATTAGAAAGCCGTAAAATTCGGTCAGGCATTGTTAATTTATAGACGCGCTATGGTCGCCCGGATGGTAGCAAAGCAACGGAGTAATGAGGAGAAACGATCTAGATATGGTGGCTGGCTACTCGGGGTTCCTCCGCTCTATCTTGCCGCTGCCGGCGCTGTTGCTGCATCCTCACTTTTCCTGTATTTCTATACTAAGGGGCGTTAATGCTGTTGTTTGTATCTCGTGCACTTCTCTATGCCCGCTACGTGGTGATTGCTCAATTCCTAGAGACCAAATTCTATTCGATTGAAAGCCGAGTCTCGTTGCTACCAATTAACTCACTCTTATTATGTGTTCCGAATCGAACAGCCTCTCCTTGCTTTGGTATTTCAGAATTGTTCGTGCAACATTGCCACACTCAAGTACCCGATTGTGATTATCAAATATTTGAGGCCGTATGTTTTGAAAATAAAGGCCTACATTTATGTCAATGACAATACACCGGTTGTTACAACCGCAGTTACGTATTTACGAAGAGTTCATGCCTGACAAATTATTATAAAAAAGCATTCGTTATATGGACCTGTTGGAGAAACGCGCGACGAAAAATCTTTTTTTTTCAGCCATGTTTGGCACCTCATCTTTCGGAAACAAGCCGACTTCGTTGTTTGGTAACACGACCACGACCACAGCAACCGCACAGAGCGAGGATATCCCGGTAAGTGAATGTGACATTTCAAGAAGGTCTGTTTGTAGGTGAACGGCGCTCCCGATGACACGATCTCGAAGCTGAAATTTGCGCCTGCAAACGACCAATGCCTGCTGGCATGTGGCGCATGGGATGGTACCGCCAGGTATAATATCCCGGGGATGTTCCACTTCTCTATTTAGAATCTGGCAAGTCAACGAGCAAGGACAAAGTGAAGGAAAGGCCGAGCAGAAGCTGCCGGCACCAATTTTGGACATTGAGTGGTTTGACGTGAGTTTGCAATAACGCTTTCAATCGTGGTTATTTAGGACAGTTCCAAGCTCTTCTTGGCCTGCGCAGACAAGGAGGTGCGTTGCTGGGATCTCGCGTCCAACCAGATCGCCACCGTCGGCACGCATGACGGCCCGGTGAAGACATGCCATTGGATCACAAGTATGATTATTACGACTTTAGGCGACTATTTTTAGATTCGGCATATTCGTGTCTGATGACGGGCAGCTGGGATAAGACGCTGCGGTTTTGGGACATGCGACAGCTACCTACCCAAAGCTCGATGCAGACTATCCAACTCCCGGAGCGGGTTTACGCGGCTGATGTATCATATCCGATGGCAGCTGTCGTTTTGGCTAACCGGGTTATCAAGGTGCGCAACTGTTTGCATGATTTTTCATTTGTTTTTTTCAGGTCTACAATTTGGAGGGCGGTCCGCAAGAATTCAAGCCGTTTGAGAGTCAGCTAAAGATGCAGGTTTGTGGTTGATTTTGGCTAGAATTTTAGTTTTAGACCCGTTGCGTGTCTATCTTCAAGGACCGTGCGACCAATCAACCAGCCGGATTTGCCTACGGTTCCATTGAAGGCAGATTTTGAGTCGCCAGGCGAAATATAGTTTTTAGGACGAGTGGCTGTGCAATACCTAAACCCGAAGGATCCAAAGGACAATTTTACCTTCAAATGCCATCGCTCTACGGAGGTTGTCAATGGTTTCCAGGAAATATACGTGGTACGCAGGAGTTTTTTTTTGTATTTATTTTACTTTTATTTATTTTGGTTAGTTAACCGACGTTGCTAGTCTATTTGATCGTTTATTCTATTTGTCTTAGGTGAACGACGTGGCTTTCCACCCGCAACACGGCACGCTTCTCACTGCCGGATCCGATGGCCGCTATTCCATGTGGGATAAAGACGCCAGAACGAAGCTGAAGGTAACATTTCCATTGCTGTACCATTTATTCCCATCAAAGGCCTCCGAATGCTACATGGCTCCTCTGACGTCGGTGGCAATGCACGCATCGGGCTCGATTATGGCTGTAGCGGCCGGTTATGATTGGAGCAAGGTAGATAGATTAGCCACGTTTATATTACTTTGCTCTATTCCAGGGACATGAAGGCAACACACAGCCCGGCTCCAAGATCTTCCTCCATAAATGTGGCGACGACATGAAGCCGAAGAACAAGAAATAAGTCCTCTTCTCTAAATAGCATTCCCTCTCCATTTTGCCATCTTACTTTCAAATGTCTGCTCCGGCTTTACAGCCACTCTCCTTCGCCCCCAATGGTCTCATTTTGTACGGTGATTCCCTGTCGACGGGATTTGTTTCCTCCACCAGCTTTCCCCCGTTTTTCGAGCCGTATTGATACGATGTGATACAAAAATTAATCTTTTATTGAAAACACGCAATACGAAAACCGTTGCTAAAATTCATCCTCGCGTCGGGGCCGGGGGCAGTCGGGGATCGTCGACGACTCAGCTGGCTAAAACCGAAAATTGACGGGGTCCACTGGGTTTTTTGGCAACGAACCCCAGTAGATGCTGTGGGGCACGTCTGCGAGACACCATACTGGTTGGACGGCGTCCCGTGGTTCTGCTCTTTATCGCTCCAGTCACTGTCGATGTCTTCGAGTGTGGGGTAGGCAGTCTTCTTCACAAACAGACCCTGGTCGATGGCCTTCTGAAAACGATAGCAGCTGCGGGGTCCTTCCCAGATGATACCTGCTTGTCATCCTTCCCAAAGCTGCGTGGTGTAGGGTCAACCGGAGCCGTGCCGCTGTCGATCGGGGCACTGGAGGCCGAATTCACAGCCTCTTCCTAAAAAAAGACAATAAAAGGCGATACTTTGTGTCCTGGGTTGTCTACCGGGCTGTAAGGTAGTTTTTGTCTCACCTGAACCTCCTGCCCGGTTTCAGGTGCTGGGCCCGGCGCGCCCACGGCAAACGTCACATTCTCAGCGGGGGTAGCCTGCGTTTTCCCGCCCTGAAATATATTCGTAGGAGGATGAGCGAATCAGAATTACCTTCTTCCCACAACCCACGCCAACCACCAACGCGAAGCCAACAGCTAACAGCGGGTGCCAAATCAGGTGAGCGATTTCGATCAGCATACTTTAAACGCAACATTCAAAATTGCAGAATGGAGATACCTTTTTATTGGAACGGCCAGACGACCAAACGAGTAGTTAAAAGGAAATAGAAATGTGCCGGGCATCTCGCTTTTTCGTGATCGAAAGGGCTCCGGTCATTTTCCAGATGCTAATTTTATTTTGATCCTCGAATTCCGGTGTATGGTAGCGTCGTCGTCACGTCCACAGTAACCGATTTATTCCCAGTGAATTTTCAAGCGAGTATTGTTAATTTGGTAGTCTTCAAATGGCCGTCGGCGGTTCAGGCCCTCGACTCGCCGGGCTTCTGGTCGGCCCCGGGCCCGAAGTACCAATCCTTCACGTCGGTCAGGCTGTGCACCTGAATCAAATCTTCAATCCAGGCGATTGTCAGGGGTTTACCGAGAGCTGGTTGGCAACGGCCCGCTTGCTCGTAATGTTGAATCGACGCGGGAAACCGATCTTCAGCTTCTCCTCGGATTTCTTAACTGTGAGCTTCGACTCGAATTGACCACGTAGATCGGGGACGTTGTGCTCGGAGCGCTGGCAGCAGCTGGGCCTGGAGAAAGATCATTTCCAAGCAACTAAAATCAGGTCGTACTCCATATCAGTAATGTCAGAGAAGATGCCCGAGTTGGAAGAGATGGTCGTTTCCGACTGACGGATGGGCAGCAAGTCCAAGTCGGTCCTTGGCTAGAACAGGGAATTCGAGGCAAAATTAGGCAAAACTCTAGTCTACAGTTTAGGTTTAGCTGACGAGAGATGGCCGAAAATTAACCTCAGTGACAGCCGGGGTCGACTTGGTGGGCTGAGCCTTGGTCCAGCGACGAATGATGAGGCGTTCCTTGGTCTCACGCAACGTCTCCATCAATTTCCCATAGGTGCCCGAGACATTCTAAAAATAAATTGCTGGAACCCTACTAAAAATACAGTAGAAGCATCACATTTGACCGGGGGAGGGCGCACATCCTCGATTTCCGGCGCCTGAGTGCAGGTCCACGAAATGGCAGAAGCTGCAAAGCAACAAAGTTCAGATATCGATTGATAAAAATTACCTTGTTTCTCAATTGCCGTCATCGCTTCTCCACCCTCTTCAGACTTCTGCGGAGGCTTATTCAGCCGAGCCACCAAATCGTATTTCGGCTCGTTGACGTCGGAAAGCGAAGAGGAGGAGGTGGAGACCTGCTCCGACTCGTCCTCACTCTCCGGCTCCTTGTCCTCCACCTCTTCAGCCACCTTCACCATCAGCGGCTTCGCCGGAGCGTGGGCAGCCCTAAATTCAATGAAATTCTAAGAGTGACACCAACTTCTTAGCAGCAACGATGTCCTGGATGCGATTATCGTGGGCGGCGGTCAGCAAATTGCGCCAGTGAGCGCCGAGGCCATCAGCGGCGCAGAGGTGGACGTTGCCGAAGGGGTAGCGTAGCTTCACATGGGTGCAACGCTAAATTGATTCCGTTTGAAAGCATAGTTAAAGGTATCTGACCACATTGTCTTTATCCACATCGGTGGTCGTTTGGATCATAGAAGCCGATGGGACATGCACAATGTAGCCTGTAAAGAACGTGGTTACCGTTATCAGTCGACAACGACTTAAAAAAAACTGTTAGCGGGTAGGTGTCTTAATAAAAACACAATTTATGAGGCCTTTACGACATTTTTAAGTCTAAAGTATTACAATCTTCCAAAAAAAAAGTGGTAAAAGATTCATGAAAATTGTCAGTTTTCTAAAAAACGTACAGACTTCTAAACTCTTACCCGTGTTCACACTCGCGTAGATGATGAGAAAGCCCTGTGTGGTGAGGATGGTGGGAACGACAATGATATCATTGTAGTAGTCGAACAGAATCCCCTTCGACTTTGTGTAGATGACGGCCTCGTGCTCGAACAGCACATCCTCAGCGCACACGCTCCAATTGCGCCGGTCGGGCAGGTTCATCTTCTGAAAAAAAAGTCCAAAAACAGCTAAATAAAAAGCTCACCCTGGAGAAGGTCTTGCTGGCCGTGTAGCTCAGGACGCGGGCCTCCATTTCGTTGCGTTGTAAGCTTTGTCGAGTAAAAGAATTTGTAAAATAGCTCGCATACCTCAAGGGGAGGAAGCCTTATACGGCACTCCTCAATCAGATGAGGCGACATCCGGTTTGCCGCGTGGAATGTAAATTTTGGTATTGCCGGCCGGTAATTTGTGACTTTTAGCTTCAGGTCAGCATTTTTGCTAACGTATTGCCGATAAGGCTTAAGTGCAGTTTACCCCCCCCCCCCAGCCCAGCTCCTCAGCCATACGTCCTATTAATGCGCCGAGTATCTCAAAATGTTCGCCGTGGTCGAAAACCCCTGGAAAAGTTGTTTACTTGCGCCAAAAATTGTCAGAAAATTTTTTACAAAATTTTGAAAGTTGAAAAGATTAAGCCGCTATGCATCAATGTACCAGGAGTCAAAAACTCAAATATTTCTGTTTTCCGCTATTTTTTCGACCCAAGCGTACTGTAGGCTTATTCTCCAGAGCAAGAGCTACATTTTGGTACCATTGACAGCTCTGTACGACTAAAGATAGCCGAGATACGAAAACTCACTTTGGAACAGCAAAAATTAACTAAAGAAAACCCAGACTTATAATTCTTATAAAAAATTTTTTAACAATTTTTGGCACAAGTAAACAACTTTTCCAGGGGTTTTCGACCACGGCGAACATTTTGAGATACTCGGCGCATTAATAGGACGTATGGCTGAGGAGCTGGGCTGGGGGGGGTAAACTGCACTCTAACCGCCGATAATATAATCTTTTCTGAGCATTATTTTTATTATTTTAACATAACTGTTGAATAAATCAAAAATTTTTGATTATACTAAAAATTATTTTTTGTTTTTTTTAAGGTTACGTAGCAATACCCTTGCATCGTACCATTCATGTTATTCTTGCGTACTACTGCGCTGGAATTTCCGGAATTCATCTTTTTGATCAAATTCTCCTTTTCGCCTTCAACGCTGACTCATCGAATTCGCCTCCCACCCGCAAACCGTCCCAACAATAGAAAAAAAGAGGGGAAATCGATGTGTGTCATCGGGTCACTTATCGCGATTGATTTCGCCGCTGCTTTTTTCCGCTCCGGTACCCGAGAAGAGACGACACAAGCATGAGCAAAATTCCCTGACACATTGTTTTTTCTCGATTCAGCGGGCCGCCTTGCCCCGACAGCGCTAGAAACAATTCAGCACGGCTGAAATGATTCCGATGTTCTAGAAATCGAGCGTTTAGGCTAGAATAAACTATCCGTTTTTCTCCTTATTTCTTTCTTCGTGATCCGTTCAAGGTTTTCTGGCTTTTTCCTGGCTGCTTTGACACAATTTTTATTCCAGACGCCCTTGAACTGATCGATGTCTGCCGTACGAGCTCAAAAATCCGGCCTCGCCCTTGAGGCCCAGCAGAAGATCCACGGAAAATACGACGAGGCACTTGCCCATGAGATCTTGGAGGTTAATCATTATCTATCAGCAATTATAACGTCTTTTAGTGGGTTCGAGAAGTAACTGGCGAGGATATCGACACCGCAGGCCGCGCCGAAAACCTTTGTGCGCTCTTCAAGGATGGACATCTCCTCTGCAAGTCAGTTTATTTATTTTGTACGGATTCACCGGATGCTTTCAGACTAGCCAATGCCCTCGAGAGCGGCGCGATCAAGAAGGTGAACACGAGCGCGATGGCCTTCAAGCAGATGGAGAACATTTCCTTCTTTTTGGCGTTTGCTGAGAAGCACGTGCACAAGACCGAACTGTTCCAGGTAGACTTAAATTCCTAGCTCATGTCATGAATTTAGACTGTGGACCTCTACGAGGGACAAGATCCCAACGCCATCGTCACGTGCCTGTCCTCGCTGGCCAGGAAGGGCGACAAATTCGGAAAAGCATCGCTCGGACCAAAGGTAATACTTGTCCACTCGCCAGAACCTTTTTTCTTTGTAGGAGGCCGAGGGTGAGAAACGCGAATGGAGCAATGAACAGATTCGAGCTGGTCAAGGAGTCATCGGCCTCCAGATGGGCAGCAACAAGGGAGCCACCGCGTCGGGCATCAACTTTGGACAAACTCGCCATATGTGAGCGGCAACGACTACAGTCTTATCACCCTTTTGTACAGCATTTTTTTTACAAAAAATTGACGGTAGCTCTTCATTTGGTGCAACCCGATTTTCCTTTTTTGCGCATGTATCGATAAATTCTATTTTACAATCCATTTAGGAATGGGGTAAAACACATGAGCTGGATTTTGCTCAGCCTCTAGGGGAGGGAGACTAATGCGTGTGAAGGAGAGGGTTTTTTCCTGGGAGGAGAGCCATTTGTCGTCGCGGGAAATTCGCATCTGGAAACCATAGCCGAGAAGAACATGAGGATTGAGTCTCACTCGAGTCAAACGCCCATTTTGCGCTAACCGACCCATTTCGGTTTTTGTGAGCTATCGCAGCGTACGAGTTGCTTTAGTTTTCTAGATTTTCTGGCTACCTGTCTGGTTAATCTCTTCCGGTGGGTCCCATCGTCTCCGGAAATTCGGTGGCACAGTAGGACTACTACTTTTACCTATAGCGCCTCGACGAGTCGCGGGGATCGTAGTTTTGAAGCCTTGTGGTTTTCGCCTTTAAATTTGTAGCTAACATTAAGTGGCTTTTCTATTATCGGGGGGTGGGGAGGGTGCTTTCTTTCTAGGATACAATTTTTCGACACGTTTTTACGCGGTTGTTGTTATGCTACACGTAAAGCGACAAGGTTTCGTTAATAAGATAAATCATGAAGTTATCGACCAAAATGCACATTTAAGAATTTTAATAAGTTTTTCGGTTAGTTTTCTTGATGCAATATCCTTAAATTTACGAAAAACACTAAAATGCTTGATTTTAGATTACTAGGCAGAGAGAACTAAGATCAGATGTATCCATTCAATTCTGCGTTCAGCTTTTCATGGCAAAGCCCATTCTCCAGCCACCCGATTTGCCTATTTCAGCAAGTGGTGCTGGCCCCGTGAAGGGGAGAAGCGGTTGAAGGGTGGGCAGCTCTTATTAGTTGTGTTGGGGTTGGTGGTGTGGTGGGTGGCTTTCCGTTTGCCGACTACCGGTGTCCAATTAGTGATATTGCGTGGTCGTGGTCAGCAAGGAGTGTGTGCTGGTGGCTCTCTCTAGGGAACCAACATATCTCCGGCCTTACTTGGAGGTACCTATTGTCGGCTCAACGTTGGGAGCCCCGGCTTGTCTGCCTTTTCACAGACCATGTGCCAACACGCATTAGTCAATTTCCGGTGGGGGCACATCTCCCAGAGTGCGGACGTTTCTATGGTGGTTTTTCGGGGGGTTCGGGGTTGATATTTGGGTTATAGGGCTGGAACTTCATAATGATGATCTGGTAGGAATTGAGAAGCTAACAGGAAGAAAACGGTTTGGTGCGGGTATCAAAAAAGTTATCTACGCGTAGGTCTAATCGTCATCTTTTTTGAAAGCATAGAAAGCCATTACCGGATAAACGAAAATCGGCGCGAAATTGAGGGAAAATCGTTATTTATACGAAAAAGCAATAATTTTAAACTTTAATCGGTCCCGCGACGCCTTTAATCCAGGTGTTCTTACCCGCATTATATCGGTCTATTCCCAAAATAAAGTGAAAAGCGTATTATCTCTCCAACGCTCCAAATATATTAATTTGTGCGCATTGTTAGATCGTTCTGTTTTGTTCTCACCCCATCCCAGGCTCCAAATAGCACAGCCGCTCCCTCCTCCTCACCCCGCCCAGATATACAGACCCTAATTATCGCACCCCCGGGCGTGTGAATGTTTCTGTGAGGAAGGCTTTCTCTTTCCAAGCGGCTTTTCGTTGTTTCCGCTATTCTTTTTGAGTGTTGGTCAGTGGCCATGGAAACTGGGTGGTAGTGACTAGCCGGTTGGTAGACCTTTTCTCCAGCGAGCCTTTCCAGCCTCAGCGGCAGCTTCTCCCCCCGTGGATGCCTTCAGAACTGTAGTGGCCGCCGCCCGAGGCCCACTACCCTTTCCCTTTGACGACAAGCTGGATGTGGCCTGCACCTATTGGGTATGTGGCTTTTTATTAAAGAAATGTTTTTCAGATTTTCGGGCATGAAAACCCCTTCGATTTGGATCGGAATAGTTTTTGGGTCTTTTGGCATTTTTGGGACCCAATTTCGCTAAACCAATAGGGGAAAGCATTTCTAAGTTTATTTTTACTATTCCTCACGTAGAAACAACCTTTTTGTACAAAAAAAAATACAAATATAGAGATTTTTCGAACAAGAGTTGCAGATTTTCGACCAAAATTTCCCATTTTTTGAGATTTGAGGGGTTTTATCGCTGGGGAACGGTTTTCTTATTCATTTTAGGCTCCTTAGACAATTACAAACTCCAGACGCCGTTTTGTTTGTCTAAAGCCCGAGTTTCCGAATTCACCAGCGCGATTTTTTTGACAAAAACCTATAAATGGCCCATTATACTGTAGCCGTTACCCACATAAAAATATAACTACCACCCCAATTATAGCCACACGACCGAATTACACTTTTACGAGTCTAACAGTTTCCCAGGTTTACTTTTTGGATTACTTTGATCCCCAGAATCTCATGTTTGCTGCGGGTGGGGGGAAATTGGAGATTTCTTTGGGGTTTCCGCTACACTACTCTAACAGCCCATCTCCCCCCTCACTGGCCATTTCCCCCCTTTTCAATACGGCTTTTAGCGGGGGCATTGTCCTAGCGCGAGTTGGCTAATGCGAAACAAACGGCTGGAAATGGGGCCTTAGGCCTTGATTTTGGTCCTGTTTGGCCCCTAGTTCTTTACTTATTTATACCTGTAAAAATTAAGATTGTTTGGATTTTTTAATAACATTTTATAAGGTTTTTATGTATGGAAATATTAAAATGGGTTTAGAAACCTTTGTAACCCTCCGCCCCCGATATTGTAAAACAACCCGAATCCCAAATTAAATTGCTAAGAAACAAGCTAAAATGTTGTATTTTTTTCTGTTTTATTAGACGGATGGATTCGGCTGGGGTGATAAAGGGCAAAACCAAATTCTCTAATACGCTTCCGGGGTGCCATTCCCTAATTATCACCCTCGGGTACCCCAGATGCCCCCTTATGTCAATGGGAAGGATGTGTGTGGTGGCATATTTGCATACCCAGCCACTCGTCTCGAATTGCCTTTTACGGGGTGTAAGAAGAGGGTATGTAATAGGGAATGGAAGGGTGTTTCGGATGGGCATTACTTATCCTTCTACTAAGGAAGGCGGAAACGGGGTGTAGCTTCGCAATTCCGGTACTTTGGCATTATCGGGGGGGGTGACGGCTTAGGTTTTGGAGCTGGTTGAAGCTGAATTTGGGTCAAGCACTGTGAAAATGATGGCTATTTCGTTAACAAATCTGCAGGGTTTTTTTGAATAACCACCCTCCCCCCGTTAATACCAAAATTACCACCATTTTCTTGTCTTTCCAGCTGATAAGCTCTAAAAATGGTGTAAAAATGATTATTTTTTTTACCGCATCTGGTTCTTTTGCATTAGCGGAGGGGGCTAGCCTTTCCCTTGTCAAATATATGCTCGGGACCTGGAATTACCCACCGCTCAGCCTGGCGGGGGATGAGCCCGTAAATCAACCGAAAATTGCAGAAGCTAGCATTGCTGTAGGGAGAACGAGCATCACGATTTATTTCTCAGATTCCCCCGCATTCCTTTCGACGTAGTTTTGTGAGATTGATTTCCCAATTTCGGGTATTGGCCCTGTGGTTGACGAGGAACACTACAAATTTGCGAAACGAGCAAGGAGCGGGCTTTCAGGAGTCTCTCGGGAGGGGGCTGTGATTTCCGGGGAGACTGGGAGTGGTAGGGGGCCTATTCGGTACTTGGAATCGAATGAGTTGGAAAAGGAATCGAAAAGAAGGAATCCCCCAAGAGATTTTCGACAAGACAGAAGGGAGAATGGATTTAGGTCATTTCGAAAGCCCCCCCCCCCCCCCCCCCGCCAAGAGAAAAGCCCATCACGATTCATTTTTGATTAGAATGTGGGAGGAGGAGGGTTGTGGATTTTGAAGTGTTTCTTTTTTCTGATCTTAAATAACTTTTCCTATTTTATTCTCGTTTTTACCCGCCCTGAGTGTCTTTTATTTTATTTCTTTAAATCTAGAAATTTCGTTCTATAAATTTTGAATTCTTCTTTCTAGAAATTTCGTTTTCGTTTTGTTTTTTCGGTTCTTTGGCATTATCGGGGGGGGGAATGAATTTTTTCTTCGGTAAAACCAGTTGACTAGAATTTAGTTATATTTTTTAAAAGACTTTTTAAAAACTATAATTCGAATTTTCGTGAAAATCGGCCATTTTGGTCCAAAAAAGGGATTAAATCTAGACTACTTAATGGTAGAAGTTAACGAGATTTAAGTTGAGAACTATCTAAAATTGGCGTTCTGGTCGAAAATCGACATTTAGTCAAAATACCGATTTTTTTTTGTATTTAAAACAAGGCTTTTTAATCAGATTTTTACCGATGGTTTTTTTATTTTTGTCATCATTAACCAGCCACCCCCCCCCCCCCCCAATAATGACAAAGCTCCCCTTTTTCTATACCTTTTTTGAGCATTAACCGGCCTCTCCTGCTCCCCCTCCATCTCCGCCTCCCCATTTCCCAGGCTCACATATTTGTCAACGGCGAATAATTCAGGGGGATGCTCTTTCGGCCCCGTTGAAAAATGCGGAATTCCTGCTCGCACGGCTAAACCTAGGAATATCATTTATACATGCGTAATTTTCGGGTCCCTTGAAAGGAATAGATTTACGTTAATTTTAGATGAAATTCCATTGAAATTGGCCCTTTTCTAGGCTGGTAAAATTCGTTTTAGTGGGACAGGAAAGTATGGATTTTTCTTCCTATAGTTTGACGTTTGCCGCGACACGCAACGCGCCCGCCCCGTCTTTAAATTGCGTAATCGTTTGCGACATGTTAACCGCTGCAGCGCGCAAAATCTAAATGGAATCATAATAAAAAAAAATTGATAGTAACGACTTGCCGGATCTTTCGCATTATCGGGGGGTGGTGTACTTTTCCTTAGAGTCGAGAAATGCCCAGTGACATAATAGTGAGTATTTTAATCGTGTTTTTAGCAAAATTTAATGATATTTCAGGTTGCAAAGTTTGTCTAAATTTTGGTCGAAAATCGGAATTTTTAGTCGAGAAGTCTCTATTATTTTATTTTTAACCCATATTTCTAAAGTTCTTATATTTTTAGTATCAAAAATCAGTTTAGAAACAGTTGCTCTAAATCGGGTCCTAAAGAAAAAGTTATCCCCCCCCCCCGATAATGCTCAAGTACCTTGCATTGGCGCTGTCAAAAGTTTTTTTCAGCCTTTTTTCGAGTGTAAAAAGATTAAAACGTGGATGCCATGACGGCAGTTAATTGATGAAAAAATTTATTGTGTATTTGAATTTCAGTGGTGGAGTGGTGGGGCCGCGCGGAGGAGACATGTTCTTCCACGCCACCTTAGCCCGCTCATTCATCAACGCCCTCTCACTCAGGTATCGTTTTATTAAAAAATACAAGGTAAATTATACAGGGACGCATGGACCCTAGCACGCTAAATTGTTCTTTTTTACGAATCCCCCTAAAAAATTTCGATTTCGGTTTGGCAACAAGACGGTCAAATACCGGGGCGTGGGGCTTGGGAAGCACCTTGTATTCCTAGACTATTTTAGAGGTGATGACGATTTTGTGGATCGACTCAACTACTATTACACGCCGATTATGCTGAGCATCGCCTGTCTTGTCATAAGTGCGAAACAGGTAAATTTCAACAATCTAAATCTAAACTAAACGAAATCTAAATGATTTTTATGGCATTCTAGATGATTCTTTTAGATATAAAACGTTTATAACAAAATTTCGAAATATCGTCGTCGATAAATTAAAAATTAGCACCCACCCTACACCATTCCCGATTCCGAAAAAATTCCACGTCTCCAAAAAAGTCTAAAGCTTGATAAATTCCGGACGTTTTTTAATCGAAAAACCAAAATTTGAGATTTCGTTAATCCCCCCGCTAAGGAACCAGTACCAATCTTTACCTACTTAATTACTTTAGAAAAAAAATTAGCGTACGAATTTCAGTACGGCGGTACCCCAATCGAATGCTGGGTGAATCCGCATTCGCGTGAAAGTATGGAGGAATATATTGAGAGCTACTGCTGGATACAAAATACATATTGGGTGCCAATGTATGAGAATATTCCTGATGACCATACGGCACGTGAGGGTACTTTTCACGCCTAATTCCTCAACGATCTCTGCTTGTTTACCCTCCATTTTGTTCATTTTTAGAACGCCAGATTGGGTACTATCAATGGGTCCCATTTATTTTAATCGCCGAAGCTTTGATGTTTTCACTGCCGTGCATATTTTGGAGGCTTTTGAGCTGGCAGTCAGGTATAGATTTTGATTTTTCGGAGCTTGTGCATTACCGGGGGTGGACAACTTTTTGGGATAAATTTTACTTTTATTTGCTTTCACTGAACATAAAAAATTCCCAAATTTTGACTAAAAACAAATATTGTCGATTTTCGACCAAAAATGGCCGATTTTTGACAAAACGACATTTCTGGTCGTAGAGGAAAATCCCCCCTCCGATGATGCAAAAGTACGACAAAGTTCCAAAATTTGGAGAGTTTTCAAAACCACAACTTACCAATACCTTTAATCCCTTTTAGGCCTAAATATTCAACACCTAATCAATGCCGCCTGCGATATCCAAGCCATCGTCGATCATTCGCAACGCGAAAAAGCGGTGCGTTACGCTCCTCTTTACGCCTTTAAACCCGTGTTTTTTAGATAGAATCCCTCTCCGCCAGCTTCATCGACACCATCGATCTACAGGTAATTTTTGGTGCTTGTCTGTTAGCGGGGGGGTAGTAGCGGGGGAAAACTAATTTTTTCCGGGATATCCGCTTGTTGCCAATTTATGTATTATTTTTTAGTATGTTTAGTATTTTTAGTAGTTTTTATTGCCAAAAGTCATCAAAACATTTTCGAATTTTTTGAATTTTGAATTTTTTTTAGATCTGAAAACTGTGTAAATGGTCTATTTTTCATTATTATAAGGCCGTACGGATTACTTTCAAAAATTTGCCCCCCCCCCCCAAATCTGGGTTTTCAAAAAATCTTTTTGAGGGTTCTGGCCGTGATGTCGTCCCCCGAAGTCTCCTCGGCCGTATGAAGTGTAATCGTCTATTCTCTGGCCACTACGTTTCCGTATTATACGTGGTGACGAAGGCGTTATACGCGTTGAACATTGCCCTCCAATTCGCCATCCTGAATGCGTGCCTCAAAAATGATCAATTTGTGCTGTTTGGATTTCAGGTAATGTTTGTAGCTTGGAGTTTGGAGGGTTCTTTCTGAGGATCCAATCTAGATACCTTTAAAATATTTGTAAGCTCTTTTTACTATTCGTAAGCGTAAAAAAAATTACATATTTTTATCAATAAATAAAAAAAATCGATTTTTCAACCAAAAATGGCTGATTTTTAACAAAATTCCAAAAATTCAAACCATTTAGATATTGTTTCCGCTTTAAATAGAGTTGAATTTTGCTAAATACGCAGTGAAAACAGTTACTATTGCGCTACTAGGCATTTCTCGACATAGGAAACCCCCCGATAGTGCCAAAGAACCGATTCAGTATGTCTGAGCTGATAGCGTTAATAAGTTTTGATACCGAAACAATTTAAAGGGTTACTTAAGTTGTGAGAAGTTAATTAGCGTTAAAAATTAAAGAAAAGTTATTTGTTTTCTATTTCTTTTTAGGTATTAAACGATTTGATCGCCGGAAAACCATGGACCGAAACCGGCCATTTCCCCCGGGTGACACTTTGTGATTTTGAAGTACGATATTTGGCGAATCTGAATCGGTGAGTCTCTGCTCTGCGTCTCTCACCTCTCTTTCTCTCTCTTTCTCTTCTAGATATACGGTACAATGTGCTCTTCTGATCAATATCATCAACGAGAAAGTATTCGCCTTTTTCTGGTGTTGGTATTTGGTGGTGTTGCTGGCCACGGTGTGCTCACTTCTATTTTGGCTATCTACCGTAAGCCTTGTGGCTGAGAGGGTCGACTATATCGTCAAATATATGCATATTGCACAGAGTGCTGATAAGAGGAAAGAGATGAAATTTGTTGAGCCGAATAAGGTGAGAGAGAGAGAGAGAGAGAGAGATAGTATGAGAGAGTAGAGGGACAGACAGAAGGCGAGAGAGCTAGAGAAATTGCGGGAGTGAGCGAGAGACAGCGAGTTACAGAGATCCATCGGTAGAAAGAGTGAGGGAGTGAGAATGAAAAACAGATGAGAGAGCGAGAGAGAGAGAGGGAGAGAGAGACAGAGAAATTGAGGATGAGAGAGAGAGGGTGAAAAAGAGAGAGCGAGAGCGAAAGAGAGAGAGATGCCGAGAGTGAGAGATATGGTGATAAAGGATGTTTTAAACACTTTAAAGTTGCTAAAATCATTTTCAGGTACAACCGGCGGACCGTATCTTCTCGGTGATCCCATTTGCTCCACAGCTTCTCGATCGTTTCGTTGGCGAATTTCTGCGAGCCGACGGAGTGTTTATCCTGCGAATGATGGCGAATCACGCCGGGGATTTGGTCGTCGTGCAAGTGCTGAAATGTCTGTGGCAGGTCAGTTTTTAGGGTTTAGAAGATCGAGACAAAAAAGGCGGTTTTAGAGCTATGAAAATTATCTACAATTATGAAGCTAAGAAAATAGAAACTTTAAAACCTAAATAAACCAAAATTCCCTTAGGAATTCCGCGAGCGAAACTGGCGCGAGTTCGAGGAGTTCGAGGAGATGAAGGAGCAACACTTCCGCATGCAGCGGCAAACTTTGGCAAAGTTTGTGGTTGTTGAAAGTTAACTATTGCTTTTATTACGATCTTAATTTTAATATCATTAATACCTATTTTTAGCCCTCGTGTCGTGACAATAATGGCGGAAAGTGGGCCAAAGAGTGACAGCTCCCATTTCATATGACGGTGCGCGGCAGCGGTGGGAAACACCATTTCTCGGCCTTTCCGGTGGGTGAAAATGATAAAAAAGAAGTTTTAAGTTAAAGTTAAAAGAAGCTTCAGGTCATTGGTCTTCAAACCCCTAATTATCTCGGCTAGCTTGCCCGATAGGCCGAAATTACTTGAATTTACCGATGTTTTTGACGATTTACTGGTCCTTGAAGTTTTATTTGACTACATTTAGCGTTTTTGAATTTAAGAAAGCTTGTAATAAAAATATAGCTTTGAATTTAAAGCGTATTCGGTTTTAATTTAATAAATAAAAATAAGGATCGCGTTTTTAGATGGAGATCATCTACAAGAACTCCCCCGGTAAGGCCGAAAAATGAGGAAGACGACGAATTACGACGTGAGGCGGATATGTGGGACTCGTTGATCGGATACGGATGGCGAGAGGGGGCAAAAGCGGAATGAAGCTTTTCAATTACCCATCAATATCCCCCAATATTCCTCAATTCTTCTCAAAAATCCCTCCCGCCGTTGCCATGCTATTTTGTAAGTTGTAGCTATTTTTTTTATTTTCCACCCTTTTCTCTTCCTCCACTGCCCATCCTGGATTTCATACAAAATACGGGTAAACACACGACATCGATGCTCTCAACAGTCGAAAACATCCATTCAGATGTTCGTTTATAATAAAGATGAAGTCAAGATACAAAACGGTTGTTTTTACCCGTCTTTAATAATGGTTCAAATACTTTTGCATTATCGGGGGGGGGGGACGGAATTTTTCCTATGAGCCAGAAATGCCCAGTAAGCAAGCGAAAATCAACAAAAAACCGAAAAGTTTTTAAACTTTAGAAATGAAAGCATGGCAAAATTTCTCTGAAAACGTGTAAAACATTTTTAAAATCCAAATTTGTACGAAAAACCGATTTATTGGATTTTTGTCATGAAAATTTGCAGTTGAAAAGTGTAACAAACAGTTTAGAAACATGTTCTCGATTTATAGTATAAAAATTTGTTCCTAAGGAAAGAGCCCCCCCCCGATAAAGCACAAGAACCGAAAAATTTAACTTCCTCCAATTAAAGAATCGGAACGGGATAGCCAAATAGTGTAAAATCAAAGTAATACATTCTCGTAACCAGCTCCATTAAATGACGGCTAGCCCGAAATTCAGCTTCGGCGTTGCGGCGAAGCTCAAAATTCTGGGTGCTGTGCTCGGTGCGACCGGCGTGAAGCGATTTGTCTAAACACGTTAATCTGTCTATTACGAAGTTTTATAACGTCATAAAAACACTTGTAAACGGTTTTAATTTCAAAAAGCTTTGAAATTATCAAATTTTGGTCGGTAAATATGAATTTATTGTGCTTTTTTAAGGAAAAGTGATAGTTTTTGGTTTTAGGAAAAGTAAAAAAATAGTGTAGAAACATTTTCTCTATTGATTTAAAAAATTAAGAACCATAGAAACGATTATTAATTTACCGATGAATCGCACCGCTTCTTCAGGAACATTTTGACGTCGAAAAACGCTGTATAATTCCTCGAAAAAGGGCTTGGTGTTTGATGCATCATACCGCAGAAAAGTGAAGCGCCCAAAGTTTTCGGCAAATTGGCATCGCCTGAATTAAAAGAAGTAGTAAAATGTTAATATTTAAATTATAGAAATTTGCCTACCAGCTCTGCGGAAAAAAGTGGTCGTCATCAAAAGTGGTTGGCAGCCGTTGGCCCCAGCTGCGTGAGATGATACGTGCGTACATTTTCTCTGAAAATCCCGGCAAGCCTTGCTTTGTTTGTTTTAAACTTTTACGCATTGCTTTACATCGTAACCAACCCGTAAAACACGTCAAATTCTGCTTGCAGCCGTTGCATCGAGTTGGGTATTTTATCCACGTCTTCTCTCTAGAAACTCACGATTAAAGAATACAACTCTTACTTCAAACATTTGTCCACAAACCCGGAGATAAATCGATCGATCGGCTCGCGTGTAATGGCAATGTAGGCCCACTATAAACATCGGTACTTTCGCATTATCGGGGGGGCGGTCTCAGACCCCAGACATTCCTGCTAGCGTACTCAGGTCCTGGGATCCACCCGAAATCCGGTCGGCATCTGCTCGCGACACCGATCGGTATTCCAGTATCGGACGCGACCGGATTCCACGTGGAAATTGACCGGATTGCGGGTGGATGCACGGTAAATCAGTTGGAAATCGACCGGCTCCGCCCGGTTTCCACTCGACTTCCACTTGCCGCGTTGCGTCGTGTTTCCACTCGATTTCCTGTGCGTCCACCCGAAATCCAGCCGATTTCCATGCGTTCCACCCCAAATCCAGGTGGAATACAACCGGGTTTTGGGTGGACCCGAGGACCTGAGTAAAAGTGTAGCTTTAGACAAATTTTTGAAACTCATATTTTGTTCGAAAAATAGCGAATTTGGTCGAAAAAAATCTAAACTTTTTTATATTTCCATAAAATGTTCGTAAGAATTGCGAATTTTATCGAAAATGGTAATTGTTTGTTGAAAAATATTTAGTAACTTCCAAATCCGCTAACCGCCCCCCCCCGATATTACACAAGCATCTAAAACATAGCTACGCAAAAAGGGCCAACTCACGCTTTTTCGTGCTTCTTCATTCGGTTCCCATTTTGCCTCGATTGTTGTCAGATTTGTTCCCTCGTTGCGAGTACCGCAAAAGCTAAAAAGGTGTAATAACTAGACGTTAGGAATATAGGATTTATTTTATATCGACAAATTATTTTCCACAACTTTCTTACCGATGATGAAACTCCTCGTTGAGCAAACTTCGATTGGCGCGTCGAAACGCATCCTCGTTGTGGAGAAAGCACAAAATGGCTGTGAGCAGCGTGCTGGAAAAGTCATTAAAATTAAAGGAAAAAATACCTAAAGTTTTTCTCGATAGCACAGCCGAGGAGCTTGTATTTTTTGGCCAACTAGAAGGATTTTAGGCCCAGTAAAATTGATGCTCACTCGGAATCGCTGTTTGAAGGGCCACAAGGCTTTCCCGCATCGCTTCGCATCAAGATTTTGGCATAAATTTCGGCTTAGCTCGCTGAAAATCAAGGTTCTTGGCTATTATCGTGGGGGGGGTGGTAGTATAGCATCGTTCGTAAAAACTATTATAATTCTCGAAGCATTTTAATTTTTACATTTTTTAGCCGTTAAAAACTACTAGAAACACCACAAAGGTTTTTTGCTAGGTGGGCATAGGCTAGAAAGCCACCCCCCGCTAACAGCCCAGAACATAACGAGCTCGAAGGTTTCTCGAGAAACTCGGTTTGTTAAAACAAACACTTTCTCCACGACATCCTCGACCCTGTTGAAGATGATGATTATCAACAGCGAGATCCCAATGATGATCAGCCATCGACAAAGCCGCAGTTGAGCCATCGATTTGAGAGCCGATGGTCGGACCATTCCCCCCGGTAATCCCTCCACTCTTTCCCGCGCTAACGATGAGAGCCGTTTTGTACCGTGCAACTCTCCTCTCCATTCTCCCCAATACACCCATGTACAAAATTTTATTCCACGAAAAGTTATTGCCAGTGAAAAGATGGAGTGGATGTCATATTCAGAAGGCGAGGTCGAACCTCGTCTGGACGAGGTAACGAATTCGCACCTAAGACCAGAAGTTTAATTAGCAAAATTGGTTTTCTTACCTGATCCTCATTGTAAACAATGTATTCGTTGTAAAGTAGAGAGCAGTCGTTGCGTGCAGGGTTCTTCTGTAGGAAGCCGTTGGGGACCACCAATCCCTCCTCTCTAAAAATAAACATTTACAAAAGTTCGGGTGCTTGTGCAATATCGGGGGGGGGGGGGGATATCAGCAAGTATCATAGTTGCAACTTAGCAAAAGTCAAAAGTCATTTCAAGTCAAAAGCTATTTAGAAAACCGCGAAAATATTTGAAAATTAAGAGTATGGTCGAAAAACTGCTATTTTGCTATTTTTTATTAAAATTTTAACGTTTTACTTAGAGGAATAGAAAAAAGGTGAATAATTCTACGGAAAAAGCTCCCCCCCGTCCGGTATTGTCGTCGAACCAAAAATTTAAGAAAGCCAGAAATCACTTACATTTCCGGGAATTTCGCCTCCGTAGACATCGGGGTCCATTGGCCCATACCAAACGTCGAGTGTTTGTTCTTGGGCAACTTGGCAGCATCATAATCGGCATCCTTCTTCTCGTTCATATTGCCCAACGAGACCTCGGCGAGGATGAGCAGCCCGTGTTCCTTATCCCGCGGGAAGCAATAGTTGGCCGACTTGGAGGACGAGTCGGCAAAGTAGATGCCCTTGCCGAACATGTAACCTGAAAAGGAGTTGATTAAAATTCCGAGGCATTACCTGTTGACGGGGCTTCTGGAGGGGCAATACGGAGACCCTGGGATAGGATACCGCAGAAATTGGTGGGGCGGGAACCATGCCAGAGAAGCATCCTAAAAAACGGTTTTCGAACAAAAATCTAAAGTACCTGTTTCCGTGGTCGACAAAACGTTCTCGCTCTTCGTGTCGATTCACGCGGAACATTTGCACAGGCTAAAAAGTTAAAAAATTAAATTTCGCAAATTGTCAAACGGACCTCCATGCTGAAGGCGTGTGTGCGAGCGTGCGTCACATTCATATAGTCTTTGATGAAGCCAAAGTCCGCCGAAGCTCTGTCGACCACCTCCAGATCGCAGTGCAGCGAGTTGTACATCCGGTCGATCGGGTTCAGCTTCTCTCCCTAAGAAAAGGTTATAAAACCTTAAAAATAAAACACCTCTCCAGTATCGCCGGCATTAATGGTCTTGATCGCAATTTGGACTTCCTTCAGCGTATCCAGCAGCTCACATTTGTCGCGCACCTCGTCGAGCGAGTCGATCACATGAGGGGCTTTCATCCTGTGAAAGAAAGCCATTTTTCATATTTCTCTCTTTTTCTAATTTCATAAAAAACACGTGCCCCAAACTGTGCGGAATATTTGAGTAGAATTCGTTGGTAGCGTGGCGCAGCTGATTCCTATCGACCTTCGGCTTCTTCAGAGCTTCTTCAATTGCGCGCAAACTGGTGTATCCTCGCTCCAGCTGAGCCATCGTTAGCTTACCTAAAAGACAAGGCTCTCGAAAAACCTAATAGCCCTACCCAATGGCATCTTCTCCGAATTTTCGTACGACAACTCAATCGATCGAATCCCATCTCGCAACATCGACAAATTAGTGATAAGCTTGATCAGCTGCTGAACTTCGAGAAGAAGTGTGCTGTCCGGAATCTATAAAAATGAAGCCGCTTCAAAACGACACTTACATCTTCATCGTTCTCCTTATCTTCCGCCTCCATGCCGTGAGTGGCCTCTCCGAATGTCTCGAGCTAAAAGACATGATAAATCAAGAGAAAGGCGCAGACCTCAATCATCCGATATTTTCCAGGCATCGGCTCTTCCTTCCTCTCATCCCACGATAGCCCGGTTTTAGCCAGGAATTTCGAGCAGAACATCTAGATCTAATTTGCTAAACCTTATCCAAAAACCCACCCCAACAGCCCCAGCGGCATCTGCAAAAGCGGTCAGCGAGTGTTGGCCAGCGTAGCCGACGCGTCCCCACCAGATCAGACACCTGAGAGCAATAAACTGGAGCCCTTCAACCCTAAGATGAAGCCACAAGAACCGCCAAGAAATTCAGCAATCAACCCACGAATAACTGCCGCCACGATACAACGTCTGAATGCCGTAGAATTTGTTATTGTTGTTGCCAATATCAGTTTTGTTCAACATGGCGCTGTAGATGCTGCCATTAGTCTCGTAGACGCGTAGGTCCACCTAAGAATCGAAGGACAACGAATCATCAGACGAGACGCAGACCCACCTGGGTGCAACATTCAAAAACCGGTGCCGGCCCAACTACTCGCAGCGTTCGAGGGATGCTTTTGTGTCCCGAGGACGTCGGCTTTTTGTCTGAAGCCAAACTTTTCACTATATGCACAATGGGTTCAAAAAATACAGCAGTCAACTTTTATCTAACAAAATGTGAAAACGTGAAATCAATGGTAAAGAAATGCGCATATCAGCGAGACTAATATTAGTTAGGCACCGTTCACTTCCTCATCTTCGTCTTTAGCAGCTTGCTTCGTTGACTTGCTCGTCGAAGCCGAATCAGCCTTCTTCGGGCGACCACGCTTCTTCGGAGCAGCGTCCGCCTAGAAATAAAAATCATGATAAGAAACATAATTAAAACGAACCGCGGTATCCTTTTTGACTTCTTGCTTCTTGGCCGGACGTCCCGCTGTCTTCTTAGGCGAAGCGGATGACTATAAAGAAAGTAACAACTAATTTCAGTAAAATCACCTTATCAGAAGACTCGTCTTCGGGCTCTTCGCTAGAGTCCGGTGAACGTTGGCGTTTCTTGGGGGGAGCGGTCTTGGCATTAGAAGCATCCTTTTTCTGGGGCGGACGGCCACGCTTCTTGGCGGTTTTGACATCGTCACCAGCATCGGCATTGTCGCCAGCGTCGTTCTTTGCATCATCTACAGCGTCCACCTTTTTGTCGATTTTCGCATCGTCGACGGCGTCGGCCTTCTTGTCGATTTTGGCATCATCAGCAGCGTCTGTCTTTTTGGCGATTTTCGCACCGTCACCAGCCGCGGCCGCGTTCTTCGGAGGGCGACCCCTTCCGCGCTTCTTCGGAGCCACGTCAGCCATGTGTACTGCTGAAAATAAGGATTGTAATGAATGAAATTGAAAAAGCACAAAAATATAATAGAAGCCGCGACCGGAAAAATTATATACCAACAGTTCTAGAAACTTATTAAAACACTGCAAAGGCCCCAAAATTTTTAGCGCAATCTAGTTAGTTTATAACTCATGGATAAGGGGTAAGAGGCGCGGTAAAAAAATATGAATAAAGCAATGAAAATTCCTGCCTCCCGCAATGTTTCCAAAAGTGCGTTTTTGAATCGGCGCGCGCCCGGGTGGAAAGAACGTGTCTGGACGAGGCGGGAGAAAACAGCTGCATATCGCCCGTTGCAAAAGCCACTAATAGAAAGAAAGAAGTAAAGAAAAACTTAATTAAAATTATAAAAACAATTAAAAGAAGTCTTAAATACGATTAAAAAAGGCATGGGGTTTTGGAAATGGTTTATAAATAATCCAATAAGTGAAAGACGCGGAAGAACCAAAAGGTGCGTGCAGGAAAAGGGACAAATCTGGCTTTGACAGTAAAAAAAAATCGAAAAATCACGAAAAATAAAACTGGCCTAAAAATCGGATAGAAAAATTCGAGAAATGGGGAAGACATTTGAAAGCTATCCCAACAGCTGCGGAATTCCATAAATTCGGAATACCGTAACCGTTGTTTGGAATTGGCGCACTAATAGATTAATAAAAATTTTGTAAGAAAAATACATTTATTACTAAAAAATGCTGCAGCTATAATAATTATTTATTAGGTAATTTAAAGGCGCAAAAAGTATAAAGTTAATGAAAATGCGCAAAACGGTAAAAATTATTTACGTGTTAAAATTGTCGTTTGGACAAATATAAAAACCCACAAATCACGTAAAATCGCCAGCCTAAAAAGTTCTTTTTTTTTCAGGCCAACAGCTCTCCTTGAGAAGCCCCCATAAATGTGTGGCAGGGTTTAAAAATGCATGACCACTTGGCTGGTCATAGCAGAATAGCGGCTCACAGGACGAGAACCATCAGTTCCCATCCCAGCCCATCTCAATTCGATGTCGCACCCGATCGGCGACTATCTAGCATCGGATACCGATATATTGGTAGCGGCTGATATTTTGGGCCAATATCTCTACGGCGATGCCAACAATGACAATGATAAAGAGGTGGTTTTGGCGTGACGCTGCGCAAAAATGGGGTGCTGCACCGTTATCGGGGGCTAAAACCCGTTTTCTTTAGGTAGGAATGCCTGTAAGTAAGTCAAAGTAGCCTACTACTCTACCTAATTTATTTTTATATTGATGGGGGTTCTTTCGCAGTATAGCGGGGGGGGGGTTTCTTCGAAATCATTTTTTAAATGAAATAGCGGAAGTGTTTCTAAACGATTTTTTTACTATTCCTAAACGTAAACACTTTAGAATTTTTTACTAAAAACCAATAAAAAAATATAGATTTTTGTTGACCAAAATCTCGACTTTTTGAAATAATTTTCAGTTTTCCGATTTTTCCAGTTTTTCGAGTCAAAATATAGTGTTGCTTTGCTAAAAATTTCATGAAAATGATCTTTTATTTTCTATAACTATAACCAAGAAAAATCTTGTAGACTCAATGCGATTTGCTGACGGAAGATGGGGGCCATATGATGGATCCGACTCGGCTACCCTACAGGTTAACATTAAATAAAAAACTTGTATCTTGAACCTTTAGGGAAAAGATAAAATGGCATTTGAAGGAATTTTGCTACAAGACGTCGAGTCACGGGATCCCAATGCTGGGCCAGGCGCCAAATACCGTCTATCGGTGGGTAGAGAAAGTAGGAAATTAAAACATAAAAAGTTATGTTAAAACCATAAAAATGTTTATCCAGTGTAATCTGGATGGTGCTACTAACGTGCTGCGGCGCCATGTTCATCTACCAAGCCTTCCACGTCGTCAGCAAGTATAAACGGATGGAGAAAATCACGGATATTCAATTAAAGTTCGATACGGGTATGTTTTTTTGGTTCTTTCGCATTATATGTCGCAGTAATATTTCAAATATCAATAGTGCCGTTTTTAAACGCATTCTTACTATTCCTAAAGGTGAAACCTTCACAAATTTTAGAAGAATGGTATCAAAAATAGCGATTTTCGACAAAAATGGCAGACTTTTCAGACGTTTTTTTGAAGATTTTTAGGCAGTTTTCCTAGTTGAAAGATTTTTATTTATTACTAAAAACACTATCAAAACACTTCTTATTAAGTTATTGCCATGTTTCTAACGTTTTTTAAAATGTTCTACTTTTCAGCTCCATTCCCGGCGATCACCCTGTGCAACCTGAACCCCTATCGCGATTCCCTTGTTCAAGATGTTGAAGCAGTTCGCAAGATTGTGAGATTATGTAGCTCAATTTTTATATTTTTTAGATAAAAGTTTATCGAGCCGTCATGGAGAAGGCGGGTGTGCTGAATGTAGATGTTCAACGCGAATCGCTCGTCGCGAAAATCGACTCGCCATGGCTTGATGGTAGCCTGAAGCAGGGGCAAAGCAAGGCGCGGCTGAAGCGGGCGCTGGCGAATATGCTTTTGAACCGGTGAGCAAATTTTCAGCCGTTTTCACATAAAAATTTATAAAAATATACAGGTTGTCGAAATTTTTGATTCTTATCTTTTCTTAGCTTTTTACTAACACTTTATCTATCAAAAAAACTTCAAAAATACTATAAAATACACGATAACACGCAAAATTCTATTTTTTTTGTGCCAGAGAGATATAGGTTAGATAGATTTTTCCTTGCTCCTTCCCGTTCCCCCCCCCCCCCCCGCTAATGAACCAGAATCCAGAGAAATTTTTTGTATTAACCCAGAAAGGCCTAGCAACTCAAAGAGAGAATTTTTGATCGAAAAATCTATATTTTTTGCATTTTTTAATCAAATTTTGTAATGTTTGTAAGCTTAGGGATAGTAAAAAATAGCTTAGAAACACTTTCACCATTTATATTTGAAAATTGAGTTCCGAAGAGAATTTTTTATCGATTTTTCACACCATTAATACCAATTTTTGTGTATTTTTAGGCGCTTTCGGTTTGCGAGTGCGAGCGAGAGGATGGTGAATTACAATGTACAGCGCTGGGACCGGTTCATGAAGATGAAGTTTTGAACAATATGCGGTTGTGGATTTCGCTAGCTAATTTTCGACTTTAGACCCGGCGCTAAAATGTGCAAATGCGCTTTCGACAGGGAGAGCGATGACGCGTGGCCCTGTTATCCTGAGGCGAGAACATACCCGACTTACAAATACCTCTTTTTTTGAGGCCGATTGGGTTTTGGAATCGTGCTCTTGCGACAAGCAGGGCCTTTGCCAGGTAAGTCCACGAAGTTACGGTTCTTTTGCATGATCGGGGAGGGGGCGGGGATTATTTGGATTAATCCAGAAATGCCTCCTAATAACGTGATAGTAAGGATTTTAATATTTGTAGGAAAATGTAACTATATTTCATGTGGAAAAACTACGAAAAAGTCAAAAAGTTTGAAATTTCGTTCAAAATGGGCCATTTTCCAAATTTCAAAAGTTCAAATTTTTAGGTTTTTCATCAAATTTTTAAAGTTTTGACGTTAGGGATAGTAAAGGAAGTTCAGAAACAGTTCCTCGATTTATATTACGAAAATTGCGTCCAAAGGAAAATGATAAATAAGCAGAGTTACTATAATAGACTTGGAAATCCTTTAAAGGGATGCCGACGGCATAGTCAATCGGTTACGCGCGGAAATGAAAATGTCTCTGCGCCTCTCCCCTGGGCGCGCTCTCTCCCCTGTTGGCTACTTGCCAATTTGTTGATGGGGGGGATCGACACATGCCGTCGGCAGCCCTTTAAAAAGTTTAGAGCTGATATTTTTAGAACGTCGACCAGCAAATAAATAACTTTAAGGCTACGCGTAATTTTTTTAGTAAATTAAACCCCTTTAGAAACAACGAAAAGCCTCCGGATCTTCGGATTGCTATTGCCAATCGCCGAGCACCGTCGCCAAGGATCGCCCCCAATTTTGTGTACGCGTCGATACGGTATTCGTTCTATTTATTGCTCCTGTGAAAACCAGTTTTTTTAGAAACGCGAAATTCTGAAGCTGTGGGAATATTATGGACAGCAATTGATGGAGGAGGACCCGCGGATTATTGAAGCTCTCGGCTTACAGGTTGATTTATTTTTATGCCAATTTTTTCTCTTAGGCGACATTTTTTTCAAACATAAATAACCGAAATGTTTCTTTCTTAACTGATGTTACTATTCCGAAACGTGAAACCTTCACAAATATTGGTTAAAAATATCAAAAATATCGTTTTTTCTTCAAAATGTCGACCTTTTCAACGTTTTGGATACCTTTTCTGGTTTAAAAATAGTTATATTTTACTAAAAACGCTAAGAAAATGAGTTCTAGTATGTTACTAGGAATTTCTGGAGGATACAAGAAATCCCCTCCTCCCGACAATGTGCAAAATCCAAATAACCTTTTGCAATCTCCAGAATATGACCGACGAGGTGGCGATCGTCACCAAAGCCAAGGAGAGCATTATTTTTGCGATGAGCGAGCTGGACGAGAAGATGAGACAGGTATCTGGAGGTAGGTTACGGGCCTAAAATCCGTGTTTTAGACGCTCAGCATGCAGAAACATCAACTCATCCACAAATGCTCCTTCAACGGGCAGGCATGTAATATCGATAAGTAAGCCTCAAGGATGACTTTTTATAAATACAAATTTAGCGATTTTAAGCTCGTTTCCGATCCGACTTTTGGGAATTGTTTCACGTTTAATCACGAGCGTCACCTCAACAAATCGAGTATACGAGCCGGGCCTAGCTATGGTAAGGTTTTTTTGTAGGAGATGTGCATTGAAATATAGAAGAGACAAAATCATCTAGTTCAAGCTATCTTTTAGGGAATTAGCAGAACAATTTCAGGCCTACGAGTTTTGATGTTCGTCGACGCATCCGATTATTTGCCAACCACAGAAGCAGTGGGGATCCGGATGACGATACACGATAAAGACGAGTTTCCGTTTCCGGTTGGTCGAAAAATACCAAAACCTTTCATAACTGACTACAAACTACAACGTTTTAGCCTAAAATATGGCCTAAAACGGATGCTTAGAAAGTTTTTTTAGGACACTTTCGGCTACAGCGCCCCAACGGGCTACATTTCGTCGTTTGGCATGAAGATGGTAAACCAGTAAATCCACAAATTCTTAGCAAACTGTTTTGCAGCAACAAATGTCCCGTTTACCAGCCCCATACGGCGATTGCGTACCGGATGGGCGAACTACGGGATATATCTACGCAGATTATGCCTATTCCACCGAGGTTTCCGAGGCAGTTGTATTTTGTAGCTTTGTTTTTAGGGTTGCTACCGGACTTGTTTCCAAGAGATGGTCGTTCGCGAGTGTGGCTGTGGTGATCCGCGATTCCCCGTACTCGGACACGTGCAGCATTGTCAAGTGTTCAACCCGGAGCAGCGTTCGCGGAAAATAGATTAATGAGTCTTCATGTTTTAGGTCGTTGTTTGGACGAGAAGACTCGAGCCCTTGGAGATGTTCATTCGTCGTTCAGATGTCGATGTCAGCAGCCGTGCGAGCAATCAGTTTATACAGGTTTATAAAGTTTGGTTCATTAAAGCCTGCTTCAGTCTCCTACTCCGAGGCGATTTGGCCCTCGCAAGCGCTCAATATCTCGCTGGGAAAGTGTGACATGACGCCGGAGGAGTGCAATGAAGAATATCAGTATGAATTTAATCCAAAAATCAAGCTTTCGCAATATCGGGGAGAACCTAGTTAGCCATTTTTGGGCGAAAAATCCGTATTTTTTGAGTGTTTAAGTAAAAATTTGTAAAGTTTCTAAAATTAGGAATATTCAAAAACCGTTTAAACCCTTCCTCTATTTATATTAGACAAAGTTGCTCCCGCGCACAATAATGCGAAAGAACCGAACAGAGTGATAAAATTTTTTTTAGGGAAAATGGCGCAATGATTGAGGTCTTCTACGAGCAGTTGAATTATGAGGTTTACACCGAGTCGGAGGCATATGGCGTAAGTAAAATCAGGTTACCAAAAGTATTAACATTACTAGCAGTATTACTAGATCACTGACATACAAGAAATAAGCTTAATAATAATAAAAAAACGCGAAATTTTTAGATCGTAAAAATGTTGGCCGATTTCGGAGGGCAGCTTGGCTTATGGTCGGGCGTGTCATTTATGACTGTTTGTGAATTCGGGACTCTCTTCATCGAATTGCTAATCCTGGCCGCCCATCATCACATTGCCATCTACAGGCGAAAGAAGATGGAAAAAGCACAAGCTGACAGGTTTTAAAGAGGCGAATCATAAAAATAAACTGCGTATAAATATTGCTATACAAATTCGGCAAAAAACTTTATTTGCACGGCGAAAATTCGGATTAAATGACTGATGACACTGATCACAAGACAGACAACGTTTTTCTAGTTTTTAAATTGGCACTTTCGAGGCGCGGGCACTTCAGCCACCACAACTCGGCGGTCCGTCCCGATTCGAGCGGTAGCTGACCAGATCGCCGTATTTCGAGAAGAACGTCACTTGGCATTTTCGACGGTTTCCGGTTTTCTAAAAGGGTGTGTGGAGTAACTGGTAGTTTGACGGCACTTTTGTTTGATATTCATTTTTCTGAAAAATGGCTGGAAATTGCAGGCTGGATGCGTGATCGAACCTCGTCGAAGTTGTTGCAAGTGCCGTAGGGGGGAATGTAGAGATGAAGGGTGACGGCGCCTTTCACATCTGAGGGATTCGCCATCCTGTGCAAGCCGAGTTTGTCTGAAATTCCAATTACGATGTTTGTGGAGAAAGAAACCTAAAATTTCCTATTTATTTCAATTTCAAATTTTTTCAAAAAGCCGAAATTTTGGTCAAAAAAACGGACTTTTTTAGAGTTTGTATTTTTTAATAGAAATTTGTGAAGTCATTACCTTTAAGAATAGTAAAAAACAGTTTAGAAACACTTAATAATACGAGAAAACCTGCGCCCAACGTAAAAAAATCACCATTCATATAGCAGACATTGTCGATGGTCTCGTGGAATACTTCGGTTTCAAAGGGGGGTGCACCCTCGTTCTCCGGCCATTTATACCGCGTTTCCGTCAATTCTCCATCCAGCACTTTCACAAAGCAATGGGAACCCGTGTGGTCGTGGATTCTAAAGATAGTGAAGACCATAATAAATGTTCTTACGGGCTCTTGGTCTCGCACGGCCAGCACAGCACCATCAGATTGTATTTGCCGTTGCCCTCATCAACCAGATTTCGCGTGTATCTACATGGAATGACGGTATAGATACTTCTCTTCGACAGATCTACTTGTTGGGATCCCATTTAGCGTATTGGGCCCAGTCGCTTTGCAGGGATTTGTAGCTTTCGAGCATCTGAACAAAAATTGAGGGTTAGAGTCCAGTAGTAGCACTACACTTTTGCCAAATTGAGGCCGCGGAGTGCCGATATAATTTTGTTAACGAAACCCGAGCTTTTATTCAAGAACTTTTTGACGACCTTCATAACTTGCTGCACATCGACTTCATCTTCACTGAATGTACGCCGTAATTGGGCGACCAGATCTTCTAGCGTCAATCGATCGGGCGGGGCCGACTGTTTGTAGAAGATGCACATACCATCGAGACAACTGTTTATAGTTTTTGAATTGTAGCCGCAAGCTATGCAAATTTTTATGATTCAAATGACGCCCAAACCTTTTGGTTCAGCGTTTGAATCACTAAAAACTGTGCAGCTGAAAAATGTCAGTGAGCTTGCCTTGCCATTCTTTTAAAAGTTTTTTGTGAAAGAGTGATAGAGAGAGAGAGGGAGAAAGAGAGCGTGAGAGACAGAGAGAGATAGGCGTTCACGCAGCCCATCTCTAAACGCAAGCCTTAACTTCTCTTTAATTTTTGTTCTTAATTTTATGTACCGATCAATCGAACGCGGTTTAGACGCTTTTCAACCCGTTCCTTCGGTTCTAACTAGGGAATGGTCTCCACTCGACATCGAATTTCTTGTTGCAAGTTAGCTCATTTTTGTAGATCTCGACGAGACAAATCGATTGATGTAACTTTTAGCTGCGGATACCTTATTTTAACAAAGTTACAGCCCTTTAAAGTTTTTGACCTACCTTCATAAGCCCTCCCCGCATCCCCTCCACCGTGGCCTGGTGGCCTAGTGGCGTAGTAGTCGGCCTCTGTGGAATCTAACGAGGGTTCGAATCCGCTCACTATTTTTATTTTTTGCTTTTTGGTCCAAACGTTCCTTTTTTGCATTCTCAGGACCTCGACAAACCCTTTTTTTTGATTATTTAACCTCCGTGAAGGTTTTAGAAGGAAGAACGACATCGGAAAAAACTTTCCAATTTTTTGCCCGAAGGAGTGGTCATGCTCCCCAAAAAAATTAATAAAATTTGAAATTTTGTATATTTTATTCCCTAGTAAATACTAACGCACCCCGGCGAATACAAGGTATTTGAATGTTGCAAATAACTAATTTGCCAAGGTATGGGAATGATGGGGTTGTGTCTCCGCCCCAAAACTTTCCGATGCAGTTTTTATCGTTTTAAAATCTTCACGGAGGTTAAAGAAACAAAAAAAGAGTTTGTCGAGGTCCTGAGAATGCAAAAAGGAACGTTTGGACCAAAAAGCAAAAAATAAAAATAGTGAGCGGATTCGAACCCTCGTTAGATTCCACAGAGGCCGACTACTACGCCACTAGGCCACCAGGCCACGGTGGAGGGGATGCGGGGAGGGCTTATGAAGGTAGGTCAATAACTTTAAAGGGCTGTAACTTTGTTAAAATACGGTATCCGCAGCTAAAAGTTACATCAATCGATTTGTCTCGTCGAGATCTACAAAATGAGCTAACTTGCAACAAGAAATTCGATGTCGAGTGGAGACCATTCCCTAGTAAGGGTAAAACATGTTCACCTCACCACAAAAGATGTGATATGATGGATATGAGGGTGGTAGGAGGGGGGGGGGGATGATCGAGAGGGATGTCAGACCTCTAGAAAGAGAGGACTTTTGGTTGGAAATGAGTGACATGTGTGTGTCAGTCACTATGGTCTGTTCTTAGCTCCGGCCAACGCCTGGAAACAATTTGCCGCTTCAGGGGGTGTCGCGATCTCTGCGTATTTTTGGGAAGGACTTTAGATTGCAACATTAGTCAATTCTCCGCTTTACAATGTCCGACGACGACGATGAAGATATGTAAGTTTTCCCCCTATTTTTTTGAAATTTTTATCGTTCCTCGCGGCGTTCCAAAAGTTTAGTAGGGTCGTAGGGTATCTCGAAGGGCCGTTTTTGGGTGTTGAAATGTGTGGAAAGGGTCTTCATCATCTATCTGACATCCCCGGGGAATTTCCCTTCTTGGCCATTCCGACCTCTTTCTCCCTCGATACCCGTTTTCAGGCTTAAACTGATCTTTTCAACCTTCCTGCCGGTTTTTGTTTGTGTTTTCTAACGGTTTAGCGTCGCAGAAAAATGATGCTCCTTTAGCAACACAAAAAATTTTGCTTTTTAACTAGACGAGAGTTCATGCTCAGAAACCTTCTCCTCAGCGGGACTTCTGGGATTTAGTTTAGTTTTTTCATCTTATAAGGCGCGCGTTTTCACGCTGAAAATTTGTACGCAGCGCTTCTATGGACGCGGAACTGTCCAGGGGCGGTGTAATTTGTACTCCATGCGCGAAAAATCCCCCAATTTTGCGATAAATGATGATTTAGCTTGAAAGTTTCATAGAAAAGTTTGACAACTCGATTAAAATGTTTTACGAAAAATTGTGTGTCTTTTGAGACCAAGATACCGATAATTTATTCTGGTACTTTTTTGTGATTAGGCCTTGAAAGACTTGAAAGATAGTAATAGATAACTTTAGAAACTATGTTTCTTTCTTCGAAAAGACACAGTTTCAATTTTTAGCAAATAATCCATCGTGATTGGTCGGGCGCTTTCTCTCGGCAGGGTAATCGCCGGACGAGAGCCGCATTGTTTTTGGGCCCCAGCGGCCGCGGGCCCCTTCAAATTTTCGCAAATCTGCACCCTGGGGCTTTCCTTTACTTACTTTCACCCGATTTGTGATGTATTCCCATCCACAATATCAACGGTTCGTTTGTTTATACAGGTTTCATCAAAATTCCTAGGTATTTTGGGTTCTTTGCAATATCGGGGGAGGACCTTTTTTAGTATCCAAATTTTCTAATATAAATAGATGCAGTTTTGCTAAGTTTTTTTACTATTCTACTTTTACTCGCAAAACGTTACAAATTTTTGGCGAGAAATGAAAAATATATAGCTTTCACGTCGAAATATCAACTATCTTACCAAAATTCAAATTTTTCTGAGCTTTTTTTAGATAATTCTCCACTTTAAATCCAGTTAAATTTTGCTAAAAACACTATAAAATACTCATAATTAATTTCCTAGGCATTTCTTGACTTATAGCAGAAAATTCATCCCCTCGATATTGCTCAAGAACCGAATTTTGTATCAGCGTTTTATATACAGTTAATTACGTATAATATTAATTAATTTAGAAAAATTCTCCTCCCCCGATATTGCACAAGTATCGAATTTTTAATCATCGTTCGGGATACAAAAAGTACCTTTATGGTTCTTTAGCATTATCAGAGGGGATGCGGAAACCAACTTTTTGCTATAGTAAAAAGCGTAAAAACAGTTTAGAAACAGTTTCTCGATTGATATAAAAATCAGATTTAGTATTTAGTATCTATCGAAAGCTCTCGAAAAGGCGAGAAAACAAGGAGGGTTGAATTTCTTAATTAAGTCTTTTTATTTGCTAATTTTATGTCCAAAAACCATGAAAACTGCCGATTTATGCCAGATCTGCATGCTAATTGCGAAATTCCTGATAAAAAATTCCCGGCTTTTTAGGAAAACCTGAAATATCGATAGAATCATATTAAATCTTAGAAAACGAAACCCGCTTGTTTTCTCGCCTTTCCGAGAACTTTCTATTGGTATAAAAATCATTCCGATCCGATCCGATTGACGGCCTCTAGGGGGGGGGTTTGGGACACCCTGTATTAGATTAGATTTTCGGTTTTTCAGCTGAAAATTTTCTATAGGCAACATTTTCCAAATTTTTACCTGCTTAAATACTTTACAATAAATGACAATTTTCTATAGCTTTTGCAGAATATTTTATTAAGATTCGGCATAGCGTGTGTTGTCTCTTTCTTGAAAAGCAACGCTGCCAAGTAAAGCCCTTATCGAGTGTGTATGTAGGTGTGTGTCGAGACGTCTTTCCCCTCCTATTTTCCTATTCTTTGCTCCCCTAGGGACCCTAAACTGAGCCCTCGTAATCCCTTTTTGGACTTGGGATGGGCCAACGGGCATCACCCACTCGTTACAAACCCATCATGCGCGCACCTCTCATGCATTTTTACACCATTTTTTAAGAATATATCTCTTTTTTGGTGCTTTTGCATTACCGGGGGGGGACAATTTTTTTGTATTGATCTAGAAATGCCTCGTAGCTTATTAGCAAATGTTTTCGTAATGCTTTTAGTAAAATGAAAATATATTTTTATCTAGAAAAACTATCTACAATCCGAAATTTTTTCAAGACTATTTTGGTCAAAAAATCTATATTGTTTGTAATTTTTAATAAAATTTTGTGAAGTTTTTGCGTTTAGGAATAGTAAAAAAACAGTTTAGAAACACTCCCGCTATTTATATTAAAAAATCTACGGATTTTTGGATAAGGATTTTCATTCCTTGCAATTTGGAACGATTTTAAAGGGACGCGTAAGGCATAGATGTATAGATTTTGTCGACCATGAATTCGCTGGGGATTTTACCTTTTCAGCGACGCAACACGCCAGGCAATTTCGCCGCGTAATCTGTTATGCCTTGTTCGCAGCCTAGCGGGGGGCGTCGCGTGTCGCGGGCGCGCCGCGATCCATAGCCACATACTCATATCCGTGCATTGCCTGTCCCTTTAAATGGACAGCCGAGTGCCAAAACCAAAATTTTACCTCAAAATTCTAACAATTATTTAAATTTAAATTTTGTTAGAATTTGCCGAGAATGGTTCTGGTTCGTTAGCGGGGGGGGGGCTTTATGAAAAAAATCGCGATAAGAGGCCAACTAGAATATAGGCTTTTCTGCGTGTTTCACAACGCCCTGAAATTCTGAAGAACTTTGAGACTGCGGGGGGTATTTCTCCGTGGGAAACCGGGGCGCTTCTTCTTATCAATCCTCATTTTTTATAGGGCACCCGTGCGATCAGCATCGTCTCGTTGGAGCAGACGCGGTGCCATCGCCGGATCTCCCGACGCTACTATGGGTGGGTCATTTCGGGTCATTTTTAGGTTTTTACGGTTTTAAACATTTTAAATCCCTAAAACTGTTGGAATTTTGCGCTTTTTGGCAGCGAGCGCTCTCTGGTTCGCGTGAAAAATTGCGGAATCGAAAGGGCTTATCAAATTTCCCGGGGGGGCGAGGGATGGGCCGATTCTTGACGCCTTTTTGAATGCTATCCGGGTTGTGTTGCGATTTGGCATCTGGGCGCCAGACGGAATTTGGTTCCTTGGCGGAATTCTGGTTAGTTTTATTTATTGTGATTTATCTATTCTTTTTATATCTTTTAATTTATCAAAAACATGCTATTCCACCAATAAAAACGTACAAAAAACGGTGGTTCTTTTGCGTTAACGGGAGGGGGGGGGGCAGAATTTCTTCTTTACAACTCCAGAACGCCTAGGAATGTAGTAGCAAGAATTTTAATAGTGTTTTTAGTGAAATTTAACTATGTTTCGAGTGGAGAAACATCGAAAATCTTAGAAGAATTCTAAGAATCCGAAATTTTGATCGAAAATTGGTCGAAAAATCTAAATTTTTGTATTTTTTCTAGAAATCTTAAACTTTTTATGTACAGGAATAGCAAAAAAAACATTTAGAAACACTTCCTCGATTTTTTTTAGAAAAATTGGAGAGGAAAGATTGGTCGCCGCCCCCCCCCCCCCCCGATAACGCGGAAGCTCCTACTTTAAAAACTCTATTCCAATTTTTGGATGATTTTGACGTATTCAAGTTCTCCGTAACTTACTTACCTACCTGAATACCGCACTTCTAAGACCACGTATATTTTTTCGCGGGAACACGGACCCCCTTCACACATCCGGACAGCTTCTCAATTTCGGGGGATGTCTAGGGGATGAGAGGGAGAGAGAGAGAGAGAGAGAGAGAGAGAGAGAGAGAGAAAAGGAAAGAATAGCCGAAGACAGCTTCTTCTTCTTCTCCCCTTCCCAACACCTCAACTAGTACATCCCCCCCTCCACCTGACAGCCCCGCGCCACCAACAATACTTCTGTTTTTCTGATATTCAAGAAGAAATAGAACTTTTCCTTTTTTCAAAAACTTTACAAATTGATTAAAACACACGCAAATGTATATTTTTCGTTCAAAATTCCGAATTTTCGACATTTTTCAACCTTTTTTAGGGAGTTTTCCGCTTGAAAAACGGCTCATTCCAGTAAATCACTATTAAATACTTACTATTACTATTACCCCAGTAGGCATTTCTGGACTAGGCCAACCAAATTTTGGTTGCTCCCTGATCCCCCCCCCCCGATAATGCAAAAGCACCGATTATTTCGTGAGGATCTTAATTTCTAAAGCTCAAATATTCTTTTTCTACCCCCATCCCCCCACCACCTGCCCTCTCCTGACAGATTTTTGACGAATGTGTGTAAACCTGGAGGGTCTTGGATGAGCGATTGGCTGGTTTGCCCAAGTTTTGCAGTTTTTTTGCCGAGTTCCGTAGTTTCTATAAACCCGTTTGCTTTTCGAAAACCGCTTTTCGCTTTGAAATCAAGGAATGATGCATCTGAGCCCGGAAGAATGGCTCGCATTCTTTTATCCACGAATAATAAAAAAATTTGTTTCTCGTTTCGTGCCGTTTCTGCTTGCTAAACTTGGATATTAAAGAAAATCAAATCCATTATTGCCACGACCCATTTTTTTAACTTTGTAACCTTTTTAGCATGAGTCAATGGCGGGTTGGGGCTAGGTATTGTGACTAGACGTCAGCAGTGCACTGATGGCGCTTCGGCTGTTACACACAAACATCCCTCTCTCTCTCTCTCTCTCTCTCTCTCTCTCTCTCTCTCTCGCTCTCTCTCTAGTTCCATTTCCTCAAGCTCTTGCTCCCCTGCTATTCGCCATTTCGGCTCTAATTTTACGAGCACCCACTTTGCACACGTTTCTCAGGTGGGGAGGGGGGAAGACCCGTAAACCTCGACACCTTCTCCGGGGCGGACCGCTGATTGGGTACATACTTTGGATTTTTTTAAAAGTAAACCTAATGTATTTTTGAGAATATATTCTATAGAAAATGTCATTTTTATTAAGATAATTTATTCAGCTGGGCTTCTTTTCCTGATTTTTTGGAGGTTTAGAAAGGAAATTAGGCCTATTTTTAGTCTAATTTTTATTTTGTCGCCGAACCTATATCCATGGATGATCTATAGCGTATTTGTACAAGGTTTTTAGTAGTTTCCGATTGCAAAAAAAACGCTAAAAAATCTAAAAAATGGAAATTTTTGGCCGTTTCCTAAACATTTTTCATCAAAAAGTCAAAAATTTTTGGATATCATGTTTTTATATCTAAAAACTGTGTATAATACTCTAAAAATGGTTTATATTTAGTTATAGGGCCGTACGGAAATACTGAAAAAAATTTGGAAAAAAAAACTTTTTTTGCGTCTCGCACGTGTTTCGGCTCACTTTATAGCCTGACGTATATAATTATTTATTTTACGGTAAAGAAAGCGCTAAATTAATTTGTTTTCTTCCATTCTCAGGCTCTCCACTTCCCTTGGCTTACTATGATCTTCATTATTTATTACTTTTTTTTGGCCCAAACGCACCCCGATACACCCGGCTAATTGGCACTCTGCCAGCTGACCCGAATCCCTTGATTCACCCCCCTTTATCACTCGATCACCCACCCCAGATCTCGGCAAAAAAACGAGCCGGGAATTGTGTAATGCCCCCTCCACAACGAGCCGCTTATCCTCAAAAACCCGGTTAAACGACCCGCTTTGTTCCCTTTTCCGGGCCGCGTAAGCAGAGTTTTTCTGCAAAAAAAGCTAAAAGATTTTTTTCCATACGCTTCAGTTTACGGTTTATTTTATGTTGAAGTTTGGCTTACCGGTTCTTTTGCATTATCGGGGGGACCGATTTTTACTATAAATCCAGCAAACGGCTTTTCGTCGCGCTGGCTCGGTCGCCGGCATGGTGTACTGGTTAGCACGCTAGGCTGTGGGGTCAACCGTCGCCGGTTCGACTCTCATCCGCTACAAAATTTTTTTGCTTTTTGCCCAGATCCCTGAATAGTGTTTATTTTTCTAGCGTTTTTTATTAAAAATTTCGCAACATGTTTCAAGCGGAAACGTTAAAAGATCTGAAAAGGGCATCCTAAAAACTTTAAAAAATCTGAAAGCTGGCAATTTTCGTCTAGGATTTTTAGAATATAGAAAAATCTTCACTATTCTGCTTAACCCACAAAAACCCAGGTTAAACGGCACGCTTTGTTCGCTTTTCCGGGCCACGTAAGCCGATTTTTTAGGCTGCAAAAAGGGTGAATGGGTCAGGAACGGAAAAGTGTCAGTTCCATACGCTTACCTTTTCACTCGAGCTCGACCTCACCTTTTTTTAAGCTAGCCATACTTGTTGTTTTTCAGCGCACTACTTTGACGAGAACATTGGCGAGCGGAAACCGCTCTATGGACTCTACGCGCAGAGGCAGAGGTGAGTTCCGTCTTTGGCTTTTCATTTGATCTTTTTCTGATGCTTGTGCATTATCGGGGGGACCAATCTTGTTTTCTATACGTCCCGAAATGCTTATTAATGTAATAGCAAGTATTTAATGGAGTTTTTAGTAATAATTAAGGATATTTCAGGTTAGAAATCATCTAAAAAACTTTTAAATTTTGGAATTTTGCACGAAAATTTGAATCTAGAGTTTTTTGTATTTTGAATCAAGACTTGTAAAATTTTTGCTTTCGGACTAGTAAAAACAGGTTAGAAACAATTGTATTGGAGAAATTATATCCTATGGGTAAAACCCCTCCCCCGATAATGCAAAAGCACCGAAATTCCTCAATTTTTTCTTGGTAAAAATTTTAAAAAACTTTGTTTAGGTCGATCGCCGAGACGCCCAATTACATGAGCATGGGCCCGGCGAATGCACCGTAAGTTTTTTCTATATATTTTGTAACAGCATGTCTTATTTAATGAATTTTGTCTAAAATTTTACGTTATACATCGATTTCTTTGATTTTAGGCCAGCGCAAGTGGAGGACGAGGAGGACGGGATCAATTGCAGTCCGTGTTGTGATGATGACAATGTTAGGTGAGGGCTCTCTCTTTCTCTCTCTCTCTCTCCAATTTAATGCTAAAAAACAATCTTTTTCTTCCAGACGTGCCCTCCGTGCAATCTGGCTTGGCCAAGTTCTGTCCTTATGCCTCTGTGGCACAGGCGTCTCCAGTCAGCTTCTCTCCAATGCTGGCATTAATGCGCCGGCAGCTCAAAATTTGACCAACTATTTCCTCCTCGCCTGTGTCTATGGCACGGCACTCGTTTGGCGAGGCGATCGAGATGATGGCTTTATCGCTGTTTTGAAGGTATGTTTAAAATTATAGCGCTTTTATCGGACGAAATAAAATAGCTTAAAAAGTACTAAAAATTTTTTTTCATGCTTTAAGACGTCAAAAAACCCACATAGATAGTATTTACAAAATTCTATCCAATATACACATCCTAAACTGTTTTCTATCCCTAAACATCGAAAATTTTTAGATTTAAATCATTGAATTTGTATTAAAAATACAAAAATACCGATTATCGCTCAAAATTCCAAAATTTTGAAAGTTTTGCGACTTAAATATGGTTAACTTCTGAAAACACGATTACATTACTATACTTTTCTGGATTGGTAGGGAAAACCCCCCCCCCCGATATTGCAAAAGTACCGCTGGTTGTGCGGCCTTTTATAAAATCCAGTTTTAGACGCGAGGCTGGAAATACTTCATCTTAGCCCTAATCGACGTGGAGGCAAATTATATGATTGTCTACGCCTATAAATATACTACCGTAACCAGTGTACAGGTATTATCGATTTTATCTATTAATTTATTAATCCAATTTAGCTGCTGGATTGTATGACAATCCCGACGGTCCTATTATTATCATGGTTATTCCTCTCCGTCCGCTATCTTCTTTCGCACATCATCGGAGTGTGCATATGTTTGCTCGGAATTGCCTGCCTCATCTATGCCGATATTTTGCAGGAGAAGGGCAGCATTGGAGGTTGGTTTTAAATAAAATCTAAGGCATTAGAATTGAGTAGGTACCACAGCTACGTGCCACTCCAAAAAACGCACACCAGCGCTTTTCAGAATTTTTCAAAAGCTGGTATAAACGTATTTTGGTATCACGCGTAGCTGTCCAGACCTAGTCGATAAGAGGGGTCGATTCTGGGACTTCCCAGCTCCTTTAAACCCCTAAAAACGTACAAAAAAATAGGAAGCGACAGGCCACTCGGCGACCTCTTATGTATCAGCGGTTCCGTTCTTTACGCGGTAAGTACTACGAGACACCACTCCGTACAAGCTACGTCAATAGGTGTCAAACGTATCTGAGGAATTCCTCGTGAAACAACACTCCCGCATCGAATATCTGGCGATGGTCGGCACGTTCGGCACGTTCATCGCCGCCATTCAATCGTACGTTAAACATATGATTATTATCGAATATAAATTTTAATATTTGAAGTTAGTTTATAGGTTAACGGGCAATATTTTAGCGCGATCCTCGAGCACAACACGTTGGCCTCTATCTCTTGGACATGGCCTCATATTGGCTCGTTTGCCCTCTATGCACTCTGCATGTTCATCTTCTACTCAATGTTTACGGTAAGCACCTAAAAACTCTATATTTTAAACGTTAATGCTTAATTGTTAATATTTTACCTTTTGTTAAAATAGGTGGTCCTGCAACGCACCTCGGCGCTGATGATCAACCTGGCCACGCTGACCGCCGATTTCTATTCGTTGCTGTTTGCGCTGTTTCTCTTCAAAGATTCGGTAAATTTTTAGGTTAGGGTATTTTCCCCCAAAAAATCTCTGCTAGTCTGCCCTTTCTCCAAGAATCCCTGCTAGCCTGCCCTCCGATTCCTCAAAGAATCTGCGCTAGCCTGCCATCCGATTCCTCAAAGGATCTCTGCTTGCCTGCCCCCCCGATTCCTCAAAGAATCTCCGCTAGCCTGCCATCCGATTCCTCAAAGAATATCTGCTAGCATGCCCTCTGACTCCTGAAAGAATTTCTGATAGCCCGCCCCTTTTTCCTGAAGATCTCTACTAGCGTGCCCCTTTTTCTTGAAGAATCTCTGCTAGCCTGCCCTCCGATTCCTCAAAGAATCTCTGCTAGCTTACCGTTTCCTGAAAATCTCTGCTACCTGCCTATATTTCCTCAAAAATCTCTGCTAGCCTGCCTTTCTCAAGGAATCTCTGCTAGCCTGTCCCAAGATCGCAAACTCATTAAAGCGACCAGAAAGTAATACCTATTTTAGTTCCACTTCCTGTATTTTGTGTCGTTCGTGGTGACGCTGAGCGGTTCGTTGCTGTACACGCTGAGGCCGACCGAAGTAAGGTGAGTGGCACTAACCTAAAAATTAATAAGCTAGAAGGGTACCTAAATCATATGCCTTTCCAGGGATGCCGATGAGCCGCGCCGCGTGTGCCCTGTTTTTTCGCGTGTTGTTATTGTTGTGATTGTTGCTTCGAGGCGACTGATGGGAGCACGAGGGGCAGTTTTAATGTGAGTGCACAGTATCGTGCCGTAATGAGAGATTGACAGATTTCTCCTTCACCCCTTCCATCCTCATCTGCCCCATCGAATACATTTGCGTTGTATATGGGGCATACGGATACAAGGTAGGGGAGTGGTGCTTTAAAATCAGGTTCTTTGGCATTATCGGGGGGGGGGGGGTCCTAACAGTGTAAATAAGCTTGTTTATGTATCAGAAGGTATTACCATAGAGTTTTTTGTCAAAGATAGCTCCACTTTAAGTCGAAAAACCGATTTAAAAACGTAGAAAAATGGAAATTTTGGTTAAAAATCGGTATGTCGTATTGTTAAGTTTTTAACTTTAAGATAGTCAAAAATTAGAAAATTCTCCTTTTTTTAATTAAAAAATAGGATGCTAAAGTAAATAAACAAACCCCCGATAATGCAAAAGATTGAAAAATTCAAACAGCGATAAGCCAACCTATTTTTTTAAAGATTCTGCCCAGTCCATGGAAGCCGAGCAGCAGCTCATGCTCACAGCACACCCATTATGCCAGCCCGAAATGGAAGACTGGCCGAGACGCGGACTTGATCGTCTCAACTTAAATTTAAATCTCAAACCCCAGCCTCGTTGCCATCAATTCCAGCACTACGGGTCTATTCTAGCCTCAAATTACTGTTTTCCAACACCACGAAATCGTTGGTCATCTACTGCCTCCCTATCAAATTATGTAACCGAATGCTTTCAGATACAATTTGTGCCATATTCCAATGCTGACACGGGTCATAGGCGAGATTGGGAATAAAATTTAATACGATCTGAATTAAATCAAACAATTCAACAATTTAATACAAAATTGCGATGGAAATGCGCGGAAGCTGATAAGAGAAACTGCACTGATAAACAAAAAGGTACCGGTCGATTAGCGGGGGGGGGGATGGAATCTATCCATCGCAAATTTTACTAGCTTTTAGTGTTTTTTTATAGTTTTTGATCGCTAAAGAAGCATAAAAATCTTCTAGAATTTTTTCTTAAATCGAAATTTTGCCGCATTTAATACATTTTGGAGGATAACTTAAAAATGTTGAACTTTCTAATCATTTAAAAAGCTTTCTATGCCTAAAAACGGTGTCAAAAGCTATATAAAATTTCTATATTCAAAAACTGGGACCCACCTAGTGGTAGACCAAAGTCAATTCCCCCCGCCAATAGCCCAGTACCTCCAAGGAGCAAAAACTAATTCATTGTGACGATCGTTGTTCGGACATGACCTCGGATTTGACGGTGCCGGAGGGCATCGTAAAAAGGGCTTGCTCGAGTTGGCCGGCCGCTTCTTCCAGCTCCTCATCATCACCGTCAAGTTCAGCCTCCGCCGAGCCGGTCCTATCCGAAGAGTTGCCATTCGCTTGTTGTTCGTCGTCTTTTCGCGATTCTTGCCCGATCTTGTCCAAATTCAACGGGTCAACCAGCTAAAAAGGAAAGAATTTTGGGATTTTCGGTGTTTTTGCAATACCGGGGGGCAGGGGGGATTTTTTCCCGATTTTAACAGTCTTGTTTATTAAACCAGCTTGATTTCAGGTACAAAACTTTTCAGAAAACCCATAAGCGTTTAAAAATTTGCAATTTTACCAAGAAATCAAAAATTTTGCATTTCAGAATACAAATTGTTGATTTTTATGTCCAGGAATAGCAAAAACAATGCAAATTCACCGCCTCTGTTCTTTTCTATTCAAAAAAATAGAAAATTTCCTAATGAAACGCCCACGATATTGCCAAATCACCGTTTTTTCAAACTTACCAAATGTTGAACAGTCTCCAGCGTGGGCGGCTTTGAGCAGGGGAAGAAACGCCTTGAACCAGAAAGTCCATTTAAAAGTCAATTAACAAACCTATAATCATCCTGGATCATACAATCAAAGATTCCATTCAAGTGCATCGCCTTTTCGGGGCTCATATTCACGGCGGCATCCCTCATCCCATCAACCACGTGCAGGAATACAGACGCTTCTGAAAATACGTAAATTAATTGATTTAAGCTGAGAAATTAATGGAGTTTTAAGCTGCTAGTAAATCAACAGGTAAAATAAAATTTTGCTTTTTTAAACGTTTTTTGGTCCGTTGTCCACGGTTAAAATTTAGTTTCAGAAGGTTTGTATTAAAAAAAGTGAAATGCTGTAAAAATATTTCCTAATATGACCATAAGGAAGAAGTATTCACATCTTATTTAAATTTTGGCATTTTCACCCAATTTCAGCTGATTTATCTCGAGTTTTAAACGTCTATGGCAAATTTTAACACTAAATGAAAATAGCAGCATCATCCTCTTTATATTATGCCCATTTTGAACACTACTCGGCTAATGATTTACCCATGGGAACCCACGATTTACCCATGGGTAAACCCACGATTTACCCGTGGGAACCCATGGGTTCCCATGGGTAAATCATGGGTTTCGTTGGGTACCCATGGGTTCCCATGGGTAAGACGTGGGTTCCCATGGGTTCCCATGGGTAAATCGCGGGTTTCTCTGGGTACCCATGGGTAGATCGTGGGTTCCCATGGGTAAATTACTGGACAGGAGGTGCTTGTAGTTTACACTTTACTTTTATTTTACTTGGCTTTTCACTAATAAGGTGGTACTTTCAAAAGGCAATTGTTTGGCAGTCCGACGCTGAGTTGTGACCCTCATGTAGATCGAGGCGGGAGCATCGGCAATAACTAAAATAGCCAGCTTTTTTACTTTGTCGTTTTCATAGCTTCAAGGCTGCTGCTTTTTTTGATGAACCTACGGTTAATCGATTGGAAGCAGTCGATGGGCGTGTAGAGCAGTCCGTGATTTAGGCATAGAACCTAGAAAGTATCCGTTTACTGCTCAAGGAGCAAAAACATACTTACTTTTCGTTTTTGTCCTTGCAGGGCCTTTATAGTAGACGAATCCCCTCATAAAAACACATCGCGGCTACCCATAGCCCGAATGCAGGTTCAGTACCTAAAGAAAGAAAGAAAAGTTGTAATCCTACTCACCATCCAACCTATTCTTTGTAGCAAGTAAATGTACTCTGAAATTTCGAACGTATTATAGGAAACAGAGGGTATACTTACAAAACCCGCGTAGTTGATGGTGAAGTACCTATTTCTTCTTGAAAAAGACATAAATAAGCACTACAATACGTCTAAAAAAATTAGATCGATCAGAAAAACATCGTTGCTTCAAAGCCAATCATCATTTAAAAACCTATAGTACGTTTAGCAAACTTACCTACTCCAATTATTTACCAGTTTTTATGGATATAAAAGTTTATTCGGTGAGAAAGTTAGAAAAACCAAATAAAATGAAAACTTGGGAGAAAATTTCTAAAAAGTAGGATGTGATCGTGACAGTACTATGCACGATTTTACCCATGGGAACCCATGGGTTCCCATGGGTAAAACATGGGTTCCCATGGGTTCTCTCCCCCCGAGATTTACCCATGGGTACCCATGGGTAAATCGTGGGTTCCCATGGGTAAACACGGGTTGCGGGTTCCCATGGGTAAAACATTACCCGAGTATCTAAACCTATTAAAACTAAATAAACCGCACCTAGTGGATTCAACGGATCTCCAAAAGTGATGCCCGTCTCCTCGCTGCCGACCGTTGCCGCGCTGTTCGCCACATATTGGTACAGCTTTCGCCATGAAATTGTCTAAAAGAAATATTAATTTTTGGCTATTTTGAATAATTGCGAACCCCGTTGTGTATGCTATGAGGGCCGAGCTTCTCGGGGTGGTCGGTCGCCTTGTACACCTTCGGCTCATCATCAACCCGGCCGGCCGTCTCTTGCAAAATCTCCTCCAGGGCCTTATCGCAAAAGTTGTCCTTCTCGAAGTTCTTGGTCGAGATGTTCATCTTCATCATGCGGCTCAAGAATCCGCGCCAGTCATAGCCGCGCTAAAATAGAAATTTATTATTGAAGTCCAAAACTCACGCGGCCCTTCGGCATCATTTGCCAATTCTCCTCCTCAATTTTCTCCCGTTTTTCGGTGGCCATCACGTACAGCTTGCGTATTTCATTAATTTTGGCACTAAAAATTGGGTTTAAATAATACAAAAAAGACGTACAAAACTTCTTTGTCATCCCTGCCACGCACAAAGCGCGTCGGGATCGAACGGCTGGCCAGCTCGTCGGCGCCATAACTAAAAAACATTGGTTCTGGTGCTTTAGTGGGCGGGGACTTTTCCGATGTACTCTTAAAGGGATGCCGACGGCATCGTCAATCGGTTACGCGCGGAAAAGAAAATGTCTCTGCGCCTCTCCCCTGGGCGCGCTCTCTCCCCTGTTGGCTACTTGCCAATTTGTTGATGAGGGGGGGATCGACACATGCCGTCGGCAGCCCTTTAAGGTCCTATTTGCCTACTGATGGAATAGACAACATTTCGATAGCTATTTACACCATTTTTAGATGCCAAAAAATCTTAAAAATTTACTAAACCTTTCGAAAAATATCAAAAAATTGAATTAAAACGGTTTTTAGTCATTTTTTCAAATCGGAAATACTAAAATACTATAGGTTTAGGTTTAGGTTTTATTACTACCGCGATTAAGCTCAATAAAATGAGCTATTCCCCTCCGCTAACGAACCAGCAAATATTTATAAATTTAACGTGTAAAACCCACGCTTTCACTCCTCCCAGCAACGCTTCCAGCTCCTCGTTTGACCACTTGTCCAAATCGAGGTCGATGTCGTGCTCACGGGCCTGGAGACGCAGAAATATAGGTAAGTATAATGGCTTCTTACAAAAGGCAAAATCGGGAGTTCTTGGGCGGCCACACGTAACATTGTATATGGAATGTCGCCTGATTCGGGGTAAGCTTCTTCAATTTCTTGATTTCCGTTATTTTTCCTTGGTCCTCGATTGACCGTCGGTGGGCGCCAGGCTTCACTGTCGTCCTCATCAGTGGTTATGTCTAAAATTATATAATAACGGTCATAGAATAAAATTACATCTCTATAATCGAAAATCTAAGATTTTTTAGGTTCCACAATCGACATCGATTCTAATTTATAAATCTTGTCCTTTCTGCCTTGCCATTTAGTTTTATTACACGAATTAAAGTAAGGAACTAGGAAAAATTAAGGAACTAACTCAGTCATAGAAAACTCTCACCAGAAAGATCGCCGTACGGCTGAAAGCTCAGTTCAAGCTCCTCACCATCCTCCGAATCCTGAAAAAAATCGGTTAAAAAATAGGGAAATCGGCAAATCGTTTTTGAACGAAATTTTGACATTTTGAAAGTTTTTTCTAGTTGAAATGTATTTTGTTTCACTAAAAACATTATTATTCTACTCTCTATTAAGTTACTACCAAATTTTTGCCCGCCTGATAATGCGAAAGAACCAGAAGTTAATATGACGTGTTTAAAAAGTAAAAAAAGATAAAATCTCACCGGTTTGTCGCCGGAACCTTGATCAGTAGCCGCTTGTTCTTTACTTTTGGCCAAAGCGTCGTCAACCATATCCCGGAGAGCTCTAAAATGCAAATAATTAAAGGTCAATCTAACAAACTGTGGCCGGTCCAGCTGCTTCGGATCTTGTACTCTTCTGGCAATTTTCAGGTAATCACTGATGGTCATGTTGGGGAAGTCTTTCGCTTCCCTAAATCCAATTTAATTTTGCAAAATAAGATACAAACATTGGGATCTGCACCGTCGGACCCTTCTTTCTGCCACGTGCAGGTCTGTAAAGACTTTTTAAAATTTAACAGAACTATAATACTTCATGTTTTTGTGAGTAATAGCGGTCTTCGAACAGCCGGGTTCTGGACTGACTGGTCTAGATGGCGGGTCCGATGTTCTAAAATAAAAAAATTAAAACTATAAATATAGCCCTGCCTTTTTTGCTGGTGGATGAAGTCATAAATCGTCGGGGGCTTCACTTGGGAGCTAAAATTAGTACTTTTCTGAAAAGTGAATAAAACCACCTAGACTGAGCAACATCTAAAGTTTCGGACTTCTTCTCCTTTGCGACATCTCCATCAAGTCGTTGCGATCCACTAAAAACAAAGGTCTTTGACATCTTCCTTAAAGGGATAGGGGCGGCATACGTCAATCGGTTACGCGCTGGAAAGAAAATGTCTCTGCGCCTCTCCCCTGGGCGCGCTCTCTGCCCTGTTGGCTACTTGCCAATTTGTTGATGGGGGGGATCGACACATGCCGTCGGCAGCCCTTTAATCAAGAGCATTGCAATTTACCTCGATTGCGCTTCGGATTCCGCTATTTCCGAATCAGCCTCCCCCGTATTTCCAGCGCCAACCGCCTCCTTCGCCGCACTAATAAGAGTTCCCGACTAATTCAATCAAATTACGCATTTTCCAGGGGCTCGATCGACATTTCCTCATTCCCTGCGCCATCGTCCTTGGAAGAATCACTAAAATCCAATATACCAACTTCAATAAACCTTTAAAAACGCACCCATCACCCTCCAGCCGAGCCTTTTTAGGAGCTGCTTTCTTCGGGGTATCCTTCGACTTGCGTTTACGTGCCATCTTTTTCGTGCTTTGTCTTATTTAGACGGATTTTCAATGAATTTTAGAAATGTTTTTGGCTGATCCCGGCTTTCCGAATGTGTCCAGAGGTGCCCTTCGTTTTCGTATTTTCATGGTGTCATCGTCCCGCGCAGACGATTTTTAGTTTTTCTTGCAGTTTCGAGCCCTTTTATCAAAAGTTTATAAAAACTGTTGCGTTGCAAATATTTTTTTTCTGCTTGAATTTTCGATGTATTGTTGATGTGAGTGGAGAAGACGGCTGTAGAAGTGCTAGCTGAACCAAAATCGTTACATATTGTTTCTTAAAATTTTTAAGGAGCGAAGGTAAAGCTTCTTTCCTAGGAAATAAATATAATTATCATGCTGGAAACCTTATTACGTCTGCGGATAGCACACGGCGAAGAAAAAAATCTGATTCGTACATCAAAGCTTCAAAGGCTTTCGGGAGTCCGGGATTTTTTACTTCTTTTGCCCTCTTACTTCAGGAAAACTCGTGGAAATCCAAATACTTATATACATTTCAGGCTGCTCAAATGTCCAACGAGTTGGAGGCCTGTTTAGACCCGGTGCGCAGCGAGTACCCCGCGCTTTTCCAAGAATTTCTCCTAGCAAGTACGTTCACAAATTTGAGCGCTAATTTCTCGGTTTAGATTTGCTGGACCGAGAAGATGATGGGCTGCAACTCGGCGCTGCCGGACGCGAGGGATGGTGCTGGGTGGTTGCGCAGAACAAATTGCATTTATGGAACCTAAAGGTATACATTTCTTTCTTGTGCTAAATGAGGATTTTTCAGGACGAGAAGCCGCAATACCACACCTTCAATCTGCTGCCGAATGGGCGGCCATACACGGCGCAGGATATTCTGATTCATAGACGTGGTGAGTTTCTGGGTGATTTTTTGGTTCCGGACCGTTTACATAGCTTTTTAGGCGATTTTGAATTATAGAAAGTTCCTAAGCATTATTATAAATTTCGAAACCTTTCTTTCGTTGGTTTGTAATTTTCGAGGCTTTTTAACTACTTTTTAGGGTTCAAAAGCTGCTAAAAAGTTTATATAAGTGAACTGGAAAACCAACGCACAGCCCGTAATCTTTTTTATTTAAAGATGTCTCTACCATGTGCGTCATGGCCGTCTCTTCAAACAGCACACTACGCTACTGGCCAACGCTACAGTCGCGCCACCACGACATCCTTCTGAATCTCAACAACGAAACGACACGGGCCATTTTTACGGCAATTGTGCAGGGTGAAGGTGCGTCGTATGCCTGTAATTCCCGAACGGTATTTTAGAGCGTATTCTCCTCCTCACCGGCGTCGGCTCCGTCTATGAAATCCACTATCTACGTGACAACGGGCGACTTTCGTATAAACTGGTGGCTTCGTACACTCAGAATTCGGGCTTTGGTGTACGACTGACTGCGATGTTCCGTGGAAATTCCGACATCAAAGAGTAAGCTTACCTCGGAAAATTAAAAATTGGAAAACTTTTAGTAAGAGGGCCTTGCGCTGCATTTCCGTCCCTAAGAACGCGGAGTCGGAAGATTCAGCCCTGGTCGTTCTGGGTCCGGGTCATATCACCGTGTTCGACGAATCGTCAGTTCAACCCCTGTTCAGCATCGCGGCCGAAGAGCTTCTCGATCTGCCGTTTGGGGATTACTTTCGGGTATCTAATATCACCTTTAAAAAAGTTTCCAAGTTCCAAGTTCCAAGTTCACCTTAAAAACTACAAATTTTGTTTTATCAGTATATTGTAAATCTGGATTTTTTTTACCGCTTCTAAACTTCTGAATCTTCTAAGTTCTCTCACTGGAAATTTGGCTAAATTTTATTAAAAGCGCTATTAACCCTAAAACTCGAAATTTTTGCTTTCAAATACTAAAAATCTCGATTTTTTTAGCAGAAATTTCGACTTTCTAAAAAATTCTAGGTTTTCTATCTAGCTTTTTCAATTGAAATCTGGCGAAAGTTTGCAAAAAGCCTCGTTCAAATAGTTGCTAGCAAATACTAGGAATCTTTGGTATAGAAAAAAAGTCGATCTCCCCTGGAGATACTAATGCCCCTGTTTTTAGTCGCGAAGTCCTGCCCCACCCACAAACTTGCGATACTTCTTGCTGGACATCACGGCGTACAAGGGCGGATTGATGCTTCTCATTTGTGCTGTACACAGCATGTCGAAGGCGCCGTCTTTCGCATTGGGTAACGATCTCCCTAAATGACTAAAAGAATTCTTTTATTTAGTGTACTACAAGTCGATGGAAGAGCTCCATTTACAGCCAACCTGGTTCGCGTGCTGTCCACTGGCCAATCTGCAGCTATTCTCGGTTAGACTGTTACTTCCGGTTATCACTTCTTCTAGGCAAACATTGAGACGTCGTACATCGACAGGCTGTCTATTCACGTCCCGGGTGACAACCAAGCTTCCGAAGGCATTGTCATCATCCACAAAACTTTTGCTCAGGTTCGTGGAGTTGGTATTGAATTATGTATTGTCTTAGATTGTTCAACCCCCCGCCGATTACAGCTGGCATGGTCTGCCCGTCAACAGGGCTGTTTTCTTTCCTAATGCCGATCGCTTGGTCGGGCAAGGTATGATTTATCCTTTCATTTTAGTTTTTTTCACTAATTAAGTTCAAAAAATTTACAAAGTTTTTAACCTGGATCAAAAATTGTTCGAAAATGCTGCTAATTTTTGATAAACTTTCTTTCGATTTTTTCGGTTGAATCCATAAAAATCAACAAGCTTTTCGAAAAATTTCAATTGTCTATCTTGTTTTAAGATGCGTTTATAACTTTTTAGTAATATATAACTAAATTCCCGGCAAAACGAACAGGTTTTAGGTTTTCTAGGCTAAATGCTCCACTCGCTAAGAGGCAGTACCAATTATTATATTTTTTTTCAGGAAGCGACGAAAAATTTACCTACGCCCTCCTGGCAAAGAAGGGCATCTGCGCGGTGCGGTTGTTGCCTCGGTTTGCGCCACTATTTAAATAAATATTTTTTTCAGGGGTTTCGCCGACCAATTCCCACCCACCGACAAGTTGTTTGGAAGCGCACAAGAGTCGGCTAAGCGGATCTTTGCCGAACATGGTATCACTGTCCTCGGCAATCCATTAAACAGAAATTTCAGGGCAAATGAAGCTCGCCAACCCAAGTTTGAGGGCATTCCTCGAGGCCTTCGTCGAGTTCAGCGCTACAAAGATTGTAGGCCAACCTCTGTTTTTTTCAAAATCTTTTTTTAGAAAGACGCAAAGCGCATATTGGCCCGGCTTACGGAGGCCGACCTTTGCGATGCCGTTCATCGTTTCTTCGAGGAGCTCATGGGAAAAGATGGTAGCCACAATTTTGGATTCTTTAGCATTATCGGGGCGGGGGGAAGGGGAAGCCGAGGGTTTTAGATGGCTAGTAACTTACTAGCAAGTGTTTTACAAGTGTTTTTAGTAAAAAATAACTAGATTTCAACCAGAAAAATTTCTAAAAACCCTTAAGCGGTCGAAGTTTTGTTTAAAAAATTGGCCATATTTTCGGGATTTTTTGATAAAATTTTGTAAAGTTTCACGGTTCTGAATAAGAAAAACTAGATCTTGAGAAAAGTTGGTCCCCCTCCCCGGATAATGCGGAGCCGGCTTTTCGCTTGATAAATTTAATTTTTAGAGCTCTTCGTCTCCAAAGAGCGCTCGATTTCACAGAAGCTTGCCTTCCGCCACATCGTCGCCTCGAGGATCGTTTTCTTTTTAAAGAAAGTTGATGCCGAGGATACGGTAAGCCAGAGAATTTTTGTAAAAATTCATTTTAGTTGGTTCGTACAAAGTGCGGCTCGTTTGGGCTACTGTTATCGCGTGGGTCTTCCGGTGCGGCAATGGTAACCGAGTGTTACGAGAAAACTGCTGCCGCTCTAGCTCTCTGGGATTGGATCGATGCTGATGAGGATCACAGATTGGTATGGGTTCTAGAGGTGTTTAAACCCACATTATTTCTGTTACAGATGGTTCAATACACCGCCGAGCACTACGCGCAAAGACATGAGCTGGCTGAACGGAATGCGTACGATGTCTTCTTCCGAAATGTAATGGATTTATGAGGATTTATGGTTTTTTTTTTGGCAGACGTTCTTTTTCATAAATTCATTGCTTCTAAAATAGTTTTTGTGGGTATTCGAGGCGTCAAAATTTACTCGCCTACTCGACAGTCGTTTGTTTAGGCTTTCGGAACCTGTGTGGCTTGAAGTAGAATTATCAGATCTACCTGATCTTAAAAAAAGAGCAAAAATGAGGTGGACTCCTTTTTTCATGGTCAACTTGCAATTATTAATTGAATCAGATCAGTTTATCAAATCATTTAGTAGTGGTAAATCAGTATTCTTCAAAAACTTGATTTTTAGCTGACTGCCTTCCACCAACTCCCCACAGCGGCCGTCGCCTTCGTGGCGGAGCAGCTGGAGACCTCCAGGCTGGCGACGAAGCCCGTGGAACAAGTGTCGTTGCTCTCCATCGCGTGCGATCTTCTCTGCTACTTCTGTGATGCGATCGATCGAGAGCGACGGTATGTTAATTTGCTAGTTCTTGATCATTTGTAAAATTTCGACGTTTATGATAGTAAAAAACCCAGACATAGCAAAACGGCCGCCGCGGCCGGCCGGAAGCCGCATGCAAATTTTTTTCACGGCCGGGGCCGGCCGCAAAGCCGCAAAAATTACCCATGGCCGCAGCCGGGCCGGGCCGAAAAAACGTCCTGGGGCCGCAGCCGGCCGCGGCCGGCCGCGGCTTTTGCAATGAACTGCTCATTGCCTTTTTCCTTTTCAGAAATCATGCAAATCAGTAAAATTCAACTCGAAATCCTAAAAATAGGTCATTATTTTCGCCATGGTGCAGCCGCGGCCGGCCAGACTCTTTTTTCGAGACGGCCGCGGTGGGCGGGATTTATGCTAATTTCATATGCGGCCGGCCGCGGCCGGCCATGGGTAGCTACGGCCGGGCCGGCCGGGCTGGGCCGCGGCCACTTGCCATGTCTGAAAAAACCTACAAACACGTCCCCTCTGAAAAATTCCTTTTTTCATTCTACATTTTTTTAGGAAGTCGACATGCATCACTGACCCTCGTGTCGTTGAGAAATGGACTGGGGGAAGGCTTTCGGAAGCTATTCAGAGCATGGTCATGATGGGTGCGTAGTTGACTCCGGAATTAAACTAGTCTCATTTAGTGCTAAAGAAGCTAGACTCAACTGTGTCGATCACATCCCTGCAGAGGAAGAGCGCAGTTGATCAGGTATTCCATCTTCTTATTGTTACACTTGTTCATATCTATTTTTAGGTGCGCCGCCTCTTGTTCTTCTCGCTTTCCGAGTCCATCACCCAGCCCGAAGGAAACGAAGCGCTCTTGCTCCTCTACAACGTTGATGAGCGCGAATTGGCCCGAGATCTTGCCGAACGTTTCAAAGTAATTTATTTTTGCCAACCGCAATGTGTGCTCTAGGACTTCAAAATTCTGATCAAAATCGCGCAAGCCTGCGAAACGGACCGTCAGAGGAAGCAGCTGGTTGATGGCTGGAAAAGCAAGTTTGCGGCAGACAACTTTGACATCTACCTTTGCAACTACTACCGCACTCATGGTATGTTGAAGATACTTTTGAAAATTTACTTTTTTAGGTATGAACGAAGAGCTGCTTGGCGAGAATGGCGAACAGGCGCAACACTTTATCGAGGGCTGCGAGGATTTGCGCTGGAGACGCCATATCATGAATGACGAATATGAGAAGGCTGCCCAAAATCTGCTCTCGCTTGGCGACCGTACCGAAGACAAGGAATGTAAGGAGGTAAGAAGCGTGCGGTTTCTAGAGTTTTCTCTTTTTCAGAACGCCTACGTCTTCGCGAAATTGAGCGCCATATGTGCCGGCAAAAAGCGCCAAGACCTCGTGGACCTTGCCACCAAGAAAATTGTCGACACGAAAAGCCAATGAGCATTCATTTTCGATTACACTTTTTCAGTTTGTGACTCCAGTTCTTGTTCATTTATTTATATTGATCTCTCAGTCCCGATGTGCCGTAACGTTGTTCCCATCCGGCATTGTATTACTTTGTCATTCTGTCCGGTGTCCATCGCTTCCGTGAATGAAGTTTTAAAAATAACGCGTCGAAACCTGTATTTGTTAAATCCAAAAGTTCGAATTACATATTACAACCTATGGTATCGTAGGCAGAGCAAAAATTATTACAAAAAACCGTGAAAATGACTAGCGAGAGAAACGAATAAAAAGCAACAAGACCTACAAGTAACTAATATAAATTCACAAATAGAAATCTAGCAAAAATTTGATAGCCTATTTTGAAAAATCACTCGGTTCTGCGGGCATTCCAATAAGCGTCCGTTTGCATCTCGTAGAGACGACTCACCGTCCGCTCCCATGCAAACACCTCTTCCTCCCCGGAGAACACGTTCGCCGACGACCCATCCTAAACAGGTTGATGAAGTAGCGATTGAGCCCCACCATGCCAGCCTTGATCCCCAAATCATCCATCAGCACCTTCTGCGAATCGCTCAATTCAATCGCTTGGTCACTGCCCAGTTGAAACAATTGATCGAGGGGGGCGGCAGCGGAGACGACCACTCGCACCTGAAAATAGTTATCTAAAACCTGCTGACCTCTTACCCGTCGATCATAAAACGTGTCGATCAGGGTGATGAAGCGTCGCGCCTCGCTGATTCGTTGTCGCGTCAAAACCGGCACATTTCTAGAAACTAAAAATTCCGAAAGAAAATTATCGGTACCTCAAAAGAATGGTGTTGAACACTTGTCCGAGGACCAGATAGTCGCCTGCGCCGAGTGGCCGAGCGCACAGCTGAAAATACGGAATAATTATTCGAGAAGCAATCCGAAAACCCACATGTTCGAAAGGAATATCAGCCACGAAGCCGCACGCCTTTTCCACATAGATCTCTCGACCCAAAACGCGCAGCGGGCGCGGACCGACGGCTAAAAAGATCAAGGTATTTAGAAAAGTCTTACCTTCCGTTTCTTGAGCACAAAGCTCCTTGAAAATGTTGTTCATATGCGCATCGACGTCGCCATCACCAAGCACAAAATACCTAAAGTCGAAAACAAACATTTTGACCTTTAAAAACTTACCTATGCGTCCCTTTTCCACCAATCTTACGGTAGTCAGTCCCAGATTGGAGCGCTATCGTATCGCAGCGAGACTAGCCGATAGTGTTTAGAAGTTTTAGCGAAACGGTTTACCTCTAACAACCCAATAAAGGGCACAAATTGATGTCGCTGCAACCCATTTTTGTAAAGATCTTTCGGCGGGCGATTAGAAGTGGCTATCATAATAAGGCCTAAAAAAACATCACAGAAAAATAATGACTACCAACCTCTTTCAAAAAGCAAAGTAAACAATCGCTTCAAAATCATCGCGTCGGCAATGTCGGTGACCTTGAAAATCGAGCGATTAATTAATTATAGGTAAATGTTTGATACCTGAAATTCATCAAAGCACAGCAATCGTCCTTCCGCAATAATTTCATCGACAACCTGCGTCACTGGATCGAATTTCCCGCGTTCACCGGTATATGCCAATTTCAGTGCATGCATGCCTAAAAAGAAAAAAATTTTACTTCAACAAAATTTTTACGTTTATGGACGCCTTGCATAAAATCGTTGAAATGGACGCGTTTCTTGCTGGCGACGGGGACCTTCAGAAAGTGATTTTCATTAGGCAGTATCACTCACCTCTTCATAGAAGAAATCCATAAGCATCGTCTTCCCACCGCCAACGGCTCCCCATAAATATAATCCTTTCGCTGACTCCTGTAATGAAATAAAATCAAGGAATACAGGAAAAACTTACCCTGGCTGGAGTTTTGCTCGAATTTCCTAGCAGACTAGCGAACCAATTACTAGAGACGACCGGTGGCGCGACTGCTTCATTTTCCACCACTCGAGCGCTCAAATCATCGAGGTGTCGAACAATCTCCACCTAGAAACGAAATAAAAAAAATAGCCGTTTCCAGCGGTAATTTAGACAAAAGTAAATTTGGTTACCTGATGCGCATCGTCCTTCAATTTGCCCTCTTTCACTAGCTTTCTATATTCATCGAGAAGATGGTGTGAACGTGGCGCTGATGATGAAGCGGCGACCGCAAATTTCGAGGTTGATGGCGGTGAATTGAGCACGAGTAACGTACGCCCAATTGATCTAGCGATCATACACTAAATTACGTATTTCATTTTATACGTAAACAAATAACTTTGCTAAATAACGTGAGTCATGCTCCGCCTTTTTCTCAAAAACGTGGTGTCGCTGTCGTTAGCAGATGTATTTCACTAGTCTCGTGTACTGTTCACCCAATATTTATGCAGGGTCATCTTAAAAGAAACAAATCATCAAGAAAACAGGGTAAAACATTTCGGAGGATCAATGCTCATTATTGAGTGGGGAAAAAGGGCCCGGCGTTTGTGTTTTGCTATTCTAAGAATTGCATACGGGGGTGCGGAAGTGAATATTTGGGCGCTGCAAGTGCGCCAATACAGTGCTGCTGCAACTCTCTGCCGGAGAAATCGAGAGCAGAACCAGAGTTTGTGGTTTATGAGGAACCCGGGGTACGCTTTGACAACCAGATGGGATAGGATAGGGGTAGTAGGGTAGGTGGAGTAGGGTAACGAACGAAGTATCGACAACCATTTCTGTAGGGTACTTTGGAAAGAGGTGAGCTTCAATCCGAGTCTGATGCCAGCGATGGTTTTTTTTATTTTTAACAGCTTCAGAAAACCCAGGTTGAAGCTAGTACTAACGGTAATATGTTTTGACCTAGGCTTAAAATTTCATTCGTGAGTTTACCTAATTTGCGCAGAATTTTTCACTGAATCCGAATCTACCCCCAAATCGGGAGGCGCTCCATTTCAAAAGTAACAGCGTTTTTGTCGAAATTGGTATCCAATACTTTTTAGGCACGGAATGTGTTTCGGATCAACTCTTTCAATTTTCTTAGAAGAGCATCTTTTTCTACCCTAGGATTCAACCGGAATCTTAGACCCTTTATACCGTCAACCGCTATAATTTTTGAGCTCGAGCTCCTCCGCAGATTTCGAGAACACTTTCGGACTCAGCGTAAAATTCTGCACAGAATAGACTAGGTCTCGAAAGGAATTTCCAGCCAATCCCAACACATAGGAAGGAGTAGGCTTGGGCAGCAGAAAACAAATGAGAATCACATGAGTGAAATTCTAAAGGAGGAGACACGACATTCGACCTGGGCAATCGAGGAAAACCGCCAGGTCAACACAAAAAGAGGGGAAGTTGTTTTTCGAAAATGACGGAAAACGCGCCAGGATAATACGCAAAAGATATCGTGCACCGGTGAGTAAAAGCATGAGAATGAAGGCAGATGGATGGGTCGAGGGGGGTTTTGGCCTTAGAATAGGGACACTCGCAAAACAGAAAAAATTGGCATTGTCGAGAAGAATCGGAAGGCGAAATGATGAAAGGGAATGCACACATCTTGATAGGGGCACCCGTTGGACACAGCGAATCACCATTCGCTCATTTCTTCTTCGCCGTCCCGTTCAGCTGGGCGAGCTGAAAACAAGTTGTTGAACTGCTGAATTGTTGAATTCTGTACTGTTGAATTTTCCTAAAGCGCTAAAAAACCATGGGAAGAACATTTGATGTCCCCCAGAAAACAAAATTTGATGAGTTTTAGATTCGCTACGTGATCGCCTGTTGACGATGTGAATAAAAAAGAAAAGACGCAAACTACTAGATCGTCCACTAAAGTTAAAATTTCATAAGGTCGAAGTTTGCCATGAAGGAAAACCTGAGCAAAAGACTTATCATGGCAAAAATAGCGACATTCAAGATGTCGACATTTTGAAAATAATCCCCAGTTAGGCGAACAACACGTCTCAATTTCCAGAATTTGCTCTCTAGAAAACCAAAACAAATAAGGTACCTTTTGAAACAACGCGGGTCCCATAGACATCATCACGGCAGGCGTCAGCCCGGCAGCTTGTAATTGGGCTAGCTGCGCCGCCTGATGGTTGTTGGTGGCCGAGGTAGAGGCAGAATTGTTGCTCTGTGCCATCGCCTGAAGGGCAGCCAATGCGGCCGCATGTTGGCTGCTCGTCCCACTGCTGGAAACCCTCATCACGGTTAACAAATCACGTTCTGGCAATAGTACCTGGCCGTATTTGCAGCGGCAGCGGATTGTTGCTGCAGGGCCGCTTGCAGCATGGCCGTCATGTTGTTGGTGTTGGCTTGCTGGGATTGAGCGGCAGCAGCGAGGCGAGCCTGAAAATAAGAGGGTTAGGAGAGGCAGGTAAGAACAGGGAAATTGCTGGGTTCTTTAGGGTTTCAAGGTGGGAACGAGGGCATTTTTCCCAGAATTCCGAGATATTCCTATTTCCGTCATAGAATTTACTTGAATATAGTCATTCTAACAAAATTTAGTCTATTTCGATTGGAGAAAAATTTTTAGAAAGCTGGAAAAGTGGTTAAAAATTTCGAAATTTAATAAAAAACTTATTTTTAAAATGTACAAAAAATCGCGTGAAATCCTTTTTTGTTTATATTAACTGAATTCTAACGAAAAGGCTTATTCCCCCTTGCAATACTAAAGAACCAAAGGGTCATCGCCAAACTTTCAAAACTGAAAGAGTGCCAGAAGTCGAGCATGCAAAACCTAGGAATAAACAAAAAAACAACAGGAAAAGGGCACCATTGAGGCGCGCCGGGTTGCGTGAGTTTTTAGGGAACCAAAAATAAACTGAGCATTCGGGGGAATCGGGGCTATGGGTAAGCGCAAAACAGGGGATTTTCAAGGACCTGGTGCAGAGCTGCAGCCGCATATCCTGACTGCAAAATCGGGGGCGGTTTTTGAAAAGCGGAAATAAAACGTTACCTGTTGAGTAGCAGCCGCGGCCATCATCATCGGATTCCACTGCATCTAATCGAATGAAAGTGCAGAGAAGAAAGGGACATACCTGCATCATCTGGGCCAATAGCTGTGGATTCTGCATCCCCGTCTGCATGATTGCAGCGGCCATCGGATTGGCGCGCGCCATATTGGCAAACATTTGGAGTTGAGCCGGCGACTGAAAATTACGATGATTTTATACAAAAATCAAAATGACGAAATTCTAACGTTTTTATCGGGTGTCAGGGTATGAAAACATCCAAAAAACCAATAAAATTTTGAATAAAAAATTAAAACTCGTATTAAGAAAAAAGCTGCTGAAAATCCTCACCATATTGGAAAACTGATTGTTCATCTGCTGCGATTGGTTGTTGCGGTTACGCGACGATGTCGTCGAGCTGGGCGTGGTATTCTGCGTGGCCGCGGGCTTTGGTGGAGCTTGAGGGGTTGGCAACTAAATGAGATTTATAAAATTTTAATAAATATTGCATATATCGCCTCGTGTGCTAATAGCAGCCTCGGTATAAAATAAACTATTAGCAAAATAAACTATTAGTAAATTAGTAAAATAAACTATTAAAAAAAGCCTTACCGTCGGCTGGGGCTTCGGCTGAGGGGTGGCTGTCCGGTTGGGCAGACTAGCGGCTTGCTGAGCAGCCTGGGCCTAAAACATAAAGCTATCCCAGAATTTAGGCCTCCAAAGTACCTTAGCGGCCTCGGCCAGCGCAGCTTCCAGCTTGCCGTCGGCGATCTGCTTCTCAAAGTCCTTCTCCTGGGCGTTGAACTTGTTGAAGATCTTCTTCATGTTGGCGGTGTGGTCGGCGCGCAGCTTTCGCTTCTGCGCCTTCTTCACACAGGCGTCACAATAGAGGTGCATATCCTAACAAAGCTCGTACTTGAAAGGATGGGAACACTCACGTTTTCATTGGAGCCGATAGCCCGCCAGACGGTTGTGAAATCAGTCTTGCATTCCTCACATTCGTACGGCTTCTCGGAAACGGGGCTAAACGGATATGAGGAAGGAATGGGGTTGGCTTACTTCTCGACCACCTTGTCCTTGAGTAACCGCTGGACGACATGATCAAGCCCAAGTAACAGGCAAAAGTCGGCGGTGGTTGCTTGGGGGATGAAGTCGATGTTGTGAGGTGGGGCTTTTGGAGGGATGGCCACCTGAAAAATGGGCTTTACAATTTACAAAAAATGGCCTCACGCTATCAGTTTTTTTTTACTTTAGGGCCGAAAATTTATGAAAAAGCCAAAATGAACAAACATGGCTTTTTGTTGTTCTGGAAAGGTTTTTATGATGTTTTTTTGCTATGTAAACCACTAAAACATGATGAAAACACACTCCATTCCTTAAATGGGCAGATATAGCTACAACAAAAACAAACCTGAGACAACTGCTGATCAGCTTGACGGCGAAATGCTTGTCTGGCGGCGACGGCACGCTGCTGCGGTGTTTGAGCTGTCAACGGATTCACAGGCATGGCGGAGGCGTTTGACGAGCTGGCCGTGGCTGCAGCTGAAGTCGAGGCAGCAGCAGCCGCCGATGAGCTTGACGGCCCATTGGAACTACTGGACTGTTGCTGGTGCTGTTGCGGCTGCTGTTGATGCATTTGCTGTTGTTGTTGTTGTTGCTGCTGCTGTCGCTGGGCTGCTTGTACCGCCTAAAATCAAGTAATCAGCTTTTCTCGGATAAGTTTACCTTTTGCAGCAATGCCGTAATATCCTGGCCTCCAGCCATGATCAGCTGCTGGAGCTGGGCCCGGTCCAGTTTGAGCGCCTTTTTCAAGACCTAAACAAGAATAGGATAAAAATTCCGAATTCTTACCTCTTCTAGCTGTGCCCCAGATAATGCATGGTTCAGCACCGACTTCTTAGCGTTAGCGTTGCCTGCAAAAAAAAATCAAAATAAAGCAGCAGGAAGTAAAGGATATACCTTTATCTTTGTTGGACAAATTTTGGGGCTGGTTTGTCGGCTTGGCGCTGACCGGCTGGTAGGCCTTGTCGTTACACTTCACCTTCTGATTTGCCGTATTCTACAAAAAAAATATTTTTAAGCAAAACTAGAACACCTGTGCCCTGTTCGGCTCCGTCGTCGACTTCATCACACGCTTCAACATCAGCAGTTTCGACTCCTCGAGTTGGAGATCGTTCTCCGCCTGACGTAATAGCCGAATTCGCTCCTCTTTCTGTTCGTCGGTCGGCTCGCGAGCTTTTGCCTAAACAAAATCATTAGTAGACGAATTTTCCTGACAAGCGCAGCGGAACCAAAGAAACACCAAAAACGCCTACCTTTTCATAATTTTTCCGCAAAACATCGACTTCTTGCTCGTTAAGGGAGGAAATGATGCTGTCGTCGGAAAATGCGTAAACAGCCCCCTCTTCCAACTGAAAGAAGCAAATTCTCTTCGATAACCAAAATTCGAGACTTTCGGGAAAACACGTACTCGGATTCCAAAGCGATGGCTAAACTGGTTCAAGGCACGTCCGTCCTCAAGTTTTCGCTTTTTTGGTGCGGGATTTGAGGGGCCATCTTCCATGTCATCTTTCAGATCCTAAAAAGTCGAATTAGATGATCCCGTCAGAAGCTCAATAAAAACGAAAAAGTAGCGGAAAAATCGCGAATAAAAGCAAAGCTCACTTCATCATGGCCAGGAGTCCCCTCCGGCAGAAAGTCATCTTTGTATTTGATCTTCTCTGCCGCCTAAAAAAATGCATTTTCGACTATTTCTCATCTTGTTACCTTAATGGCACTGGCCCTGGTGCTCCGCCGTCGACTTGAGGGCGAAATTTGGCCCAGCTCATCCAGGTCCTCCTCCATGTCGTCGTCCCCATGATGGTGGCCATTGGAGTCGTTGACATGCTAAATACAGTTATTTCACACTTATTATCTTTAGAAATAAATTTTTCGTTTTTTTCAAAAAACCAACATTGCCATTAGAGCTAGAGTGGCCCTCAGCCCCGTTGCTGATCGAGTCATTTTTGCCGAGTCCGTTCAGCCGCAGGTCCATTTTGACCTCTGCAGCCATCACCGTCCAGCTTGAGCTTCTTTCGGTTTCCAAGGCCCACCAGGTTGCGGTTTACACCTGTTAGCCAGGGGATCTGAAAATCTACAGGGGTTATACGGCATCTCAGTCACAGAACACGTATTTGGAAGAAGAAAAGTAACTCCTAGAACTGTTGGTTCTAGTTTGTTAGCGGAGGGGGGATTTTTCCTATGCTTTGGTAGACACCACATCACGAAAATTAAACTATTGATTGGCCCGTAAGCCTTTTTATTAGCTATCAAAAGTTCCAATAAATTCATTAAAAGTCCCGAAAGGTTGACTTTTTGAAAGAATATAGTTATTTTATAGTTTACTTTATTTTATAGTTATTATTAATAGGAAATTGCTAAAAATACTATACAAATCGTCTATTTCCTATTAAAATAGAGGTTACGCCCGAATAAATTAAGTCAGCCCCGCGCTAATGAACCAGACCCATTGGCTTGTACCATGGTGGCTGTCGGCTAATCCTGAGGCCCAATTTTTGGCGCCAAATCACCCAGTCCATACAAGTCTCTCAGGCACAGAAAATGGCGGTTCTTTAGGATTCCCGGGGGGGGAAAGTATTCCCGGGGGGGGGAAAACAAATTTTTTTCGGCGAAAGCCTAGATTTTTGTATAAATTGCGGATGCGTTTCTAAATTGTTTTTAACTATTCCTGTGCATAAAAACTACACACATTTTAACCAAAAAAATGTAAAAAATTAAAAATTAGGTCGAAAAATAGACCCAAAATGACCAAATTTTCGACTTTTTCAAACATTTTTCTAAATTTTTCTGAAAGTTATTCTGCTTTAATTACAGTTAAAACTTACAAAAAACAATTCGAAAACACTTTATATTTGATTACTAGGCCAACCGGGACCACCAGGAAAAAAATTGGTTTCCCCCCCCCGGGAATACTTTCCCCCCCCGGGAATCCTAAAGAACCAAAATGGCATACAGCCGATGGCCCCAGGGGTCAACAACACCAAAGCCCGATACCAAACCAAAAGTAATACCCATCGAATGACAACGCGATGACTAGAACCCCGAAAAAGAGGTCAACACACACGAAAGCAAAGTAAGGCTGTGTGCCCCCCAAAATGGGGTAGGTGAGGAGGGGGGCTGAGGAAGTTGGTGAGAGAGACGGATGGCCGGCGGAAGGAGGCTCGAGACACAAACCCGCGAATCAATTCGGCCTTTCGCGGGCCGATCAAAACGCAGAGCCCTGGAAGAAGAGGAAGAAGAAGAAGTAGAAGCCGGGCGAGTAGCCCTCCCACCCCAATAGCCCACAACCGGACACCATGGCTAGGCAAGCGCGGCTCGTGTCAGCTAGCAAGGAATTAGGGTTGGGATTGGTACGGATCCGAATAAAAAGGTCGCCTAAAGGATCGGGATATGGTTCTGGTGCGTTAGCGGGGGGAGCAACACCTAATAATGAGATCCAAGAAATTTTAATAGAAACATATGCTTATTTTAGATACAAAAACGCTAAGTAAAATTATAACAAACTCATGAAATGCGCGAAAAATTATTTTGACTTTTGCGTTAAAAAAATACAAAAAAAAATCGGTGTTCAAGACCTAATAAAAACACGATAAAGAGTCTCTCTCGAGTTAAGGCAGAAGAACGTAAGTTAGTCCCCCCGGCTAACGTAATAGTACCTGGAGCGCCAATTTTTCTAACTAATCGGGCAGTTGGAAAAGTACAAAAACTAAACTACAGTTTAGAATACCAAAAACCACGAAAAACACTTTTTTCCGTCCAAAATTGGTGCTCCATGAAAAATGATGTTTTTCCAAGCCAAACTTCACGCCGCGTGTAAGAGCAGCCGGATAACATGCTTAGGGGCAGGCGCCAGCCCAAAAACCACGAGATGACCAGCTCCTGGCCGACCCTCACCCCCCAACCCCCCACCTATCTAGGCGATCGATTGGCTGCCCAAAAATGTGTAGGAAGTGCTGGCGAAGGGGGGGGGGGTAGAGGCAGCCCAATTGTTGCCCAATGCCCCAAAGGTCATCCGAGGGGCCCAATGTCATCGCGGTGGGGGTATTTTCGAATCGGGCTTGAAATTGTAAACAAGTAATGATAAGTTTGGGTTCTTTAGGATTCCCGGGGGGGGAAAGTATTCCCGGGGAAAACAAATTTTTTTCGGCGAAAGCCTAGATTTTTGTATAAATTGCGGATGCGTTTCTAAATTGTTTTTAACTATTCCTGTGCATAAAAACTACACACATTTTAACCAAAAAAATGTAAAAAATTAAAAATTAGGTCGAAAAATAGACCCAAAATGACCAAATTTTCGACTTTTTCAAACATTTTTCTAAATTTTTCTGAAAGTTATTCCGCTCTAAATATAGTTAAAACTTACTAAAAACAATTCGAAAACACTTTATATTTGATTACTAGGCCAACCGGGACCACCAGGAAAAAAATTGGTTTCCCCGGGAATACTTTCCCCCCCCGGGAATCCTAAAGAACCTAAGTTTGAGCAAGACTACAAAACTGGCGAAACCACCTTTCGTGGGTTTTGAAAGATAAGGATCGAATATAGTCACGTACATAAACGGTACTGGACTGTTAGCGGGGGGCGGGGAGGACGCGTTGACTCTAGTTGCCTGCATAAGTCTCCCCCATAAAGAAATAGTTACGAATTCAGTAGCTTTTTACCCTGTTTAAAGTACAGGATATGCAGAAAATTATCAACCTTATCAAAAAAAATTCGTATTTATGTCGTATATAACGGAAAATCGTCAAAAATTACCATTTCTTAACCTTTTAACGGCAGTTTTATTACTTTTTCATAAAAAATCTTGTAAAAGTGGCATAAAAATAGCTTATAAACGCAAAAAAAAAGTTTTTATAGGTATGTAACGGCTAGAAAACTTACACCGGCTAAAACCCCCTCGCTAACAGCCCAGTGCCAACAAAACCTAAAATGCTAAAAAGAAAGTTTTTATAAGTAAAAACTACTAACCATCAATTCGCCAACTAGCTCGCCAAAAACCCTCTAGCTCCCATACCCGTTAACAACATCTCGAAAAAACCGCGCGTTAAGTCCCATCGCGCTATGCGCAGTTGCATCAGGTGCGACCCGAAGAGAGGTAGTGAGCGTTCGAATCGATCGTTTGTCGGTGGCTTCACCCCTTATGCGCCTTGAGAAGGCACACTCCACAATTGACGGGGGCCAACGGGCGGAGGGGGGGAAGAGGCGAGTTCCGCCACAATCCAAATGACACCCGCCCGCCTTCTCGTATTATGGGAGGCCGGTACACCAGTTCGGCGGTCAGGGAGGGGGGAGGGGAATCGATGCCTGGATTGGGTTGAGATTTATGGGTCAGCCAGGCCATGCTCACGCACCGGGAATACACTGCATGTGTTAGAATTCAGAAAATTTAGGTTGGCACTACGGGTATGGTTTGTACTTTATGTGGGGCACAAGGTTAACTATTCTAGAAAAATACGCTTTTCAAGGTTGGAAAGTTGATTGTGTCGCTAAAACTGGCAGTTTGGGATTTTAACCGTGTCGAAAGAGGCGGAATTCTGTGGTTCCTACGCCTATTCTTTTTGACAAGGCACTCAATATGTTGAATGGAGTCGAAAAATGATAAAGCCACGAGAATTTTACAAAAATCGTTATACGGGAATTTTTGACTAAATTCCACGAGCTCCGAGCTACACCGGCGCAACCATAACGGTGCGGAGGAGCATGACGTACTCGGTTCTTTTTTGCGCGGCCCAGTGCGCGCCCAAATGCGCGGGCCGCGCAATGGCAAGCGACAGGTCCCGCGCATTTGCTAATGCGCGGGCCATTGCGCGGGCCTGGGGATTGCGCGGGACTATGCGCGGCTCCCGCCGAAAACCACCATGGGGGCTTTTCCCCCCTTATAAAAAACTCGGTTCTATACCGGTAACGGGGTCCTTAAAAAAAATAAGGGTCCTGAAAAAAAATAAGGGTCCTTAGAATTTCAGGTTAAGGACCCCTGTCCCGACAGGGGTCCTTAAAATAGATGCTATTTTTAAGGACCCCGATTCCGGCAACTCCCGAAAATACAGTATTTTCGCCGTTTTTGCACGGATTCTCCTCGTTTAGCTATTTAAAGGGATGCCGACGGCATAGGCAATCGGTTACGCGCTGGAAAGAAAAATGTCTCTGCGCCTCTCTCCTGGGCGCCCTCTCTCCCCTGTTGGCTACTTGCCAATTTGTTGATGAGGGGGGATCGACACATGCCGTCGGCAGCCCTTTAAATTACGCGACTCTCTTACACCCAGTTTGTGCCTAAAAATAAGGCTTCGTGCCACCCGGGGCCTAGTCGCTTCGGATGGGCGCGAGCTCCTACAGGGTTTCGAAATCGGGGCGCCCGAGGAGAGCGCGAAGCGCCCAGGCGCCCCGATTTCGGAAGAGTGGAGCGGCAGCCCATCCGAAGCGACGGCCCGCCTTGCCTGACACGCCATAAGCCTGAAATCGTGCTCATCCCCACAAAAATTTCCACGCAACCCGACGTGCTAGGTTTTTTAGCCAGGGACAATTTGACGCTTATGGCGTGTCAGGCAAGGTGGGCCGTCGCTTCGGATGGGCTGCCGCTCCACTCTTCCGAAATGGGGCGCCCCCGGCCGCTTCGCCGGCCTTGGCGCCCCATTTCGAAACCCTGTACGAGCTCGCACCCATCCGAAGCGACTAGGCCCCGGGTGGCACGAAGCCTTATTTTTAGGCACAAACTGGGTGTAATGCAAAATGCGAAACAAAGGACAATCTGTCGCGAATCTGCGTCTGCGCGAAAACGGCGAAAATACTGTATGTTCTGGAGTTGCCGGAATCGGGGTCCTTAAAAATAGCATCCATTTTAAGGACCCCTGTCGGGACAGGGGTCCTTAACCTGAAATTCTAAGGACCCTTATTTTTTTTAAGGACCCTTATTTTTATTAAGGACCCTTATTTTTTTAAGGACCCTTATTTTTTTTAAGGACCCCGTTAGCGGTATA